CTGAGACTGAGACAGAACGCCTGTTTGGTTCTTAGGAGGCAACCTAATCTTAGGTGCCCTGACAGAAAGAATGAAAGGGTGTCAGGACTGATAAGTAGCAGGCCTATGGAACATGTTCACAGCTTGGTACAAACTTAAAAAATAAATAAATGCCAGCCCTATCAGATTTCTGTGGTAAAGTCGCTGCACATTCCTAAGAAGGAACTGACTCATGGGGAGTTGGAAAATCCATTCCCTGGGCAGAGATATGGAGCAAGCCAGACTGATCTCAAATCAGCTGCCAAACAGGGCTGATGGAGGGCGGGGGAGCTTTCATGTCCTGGGAAGCAGCAAAGACTCTAAGACTCTGACTGATCTACACTGTGGAATTTCACTGCCATGGTTCTGTGAGCATTTCGAGAGGATAAACTGATTCACTCCGCCTGTATCAGCCCAAAGGGTCAGAGATGTCACCCACCTGGGGAATCTCTGGGAATTGTCCATCACAGTTTATGCCTCACTTTAATGGAATGTAATACAATACCAGCTCCCTAAAGTCTGTCCTGCCCCAAGCAGGAGCTCCTTTTCACATTCCAGAGGAAGATTCAGGACCCTTCGTGGCCATTTGGTGAACTGTTTTTCAAGCACTTTTGAGTATTTGGACCACTGGTGAAGGAAGGATCTCTTAAGTTGTCTGGCCTTGCCTGGATCGCTGTTTGACCTGGGAGTGTGCTTTCCTCCTATGTTTTACATTCTCTCACCTGTCTACTCTGTGCACAGTAAGAACTGCTCCCATTTTTACACATGACTAAATTATGCACCAGAGAAAGAGATGCCCAATGGGTGCTTGTGCTTCCTGCAACCAATGTCCGTACCATGGAGGCCCATTCTGACAACAGTTAGAACAAGGATGGGGAATCTGTGGCTCTCCATATGTTGCTGGACTGAAACTCTCCCTGAATATTGGCTGGGGCTGCTGAGAGTTGGAGTCCAATGGCATCTGAAGGACCCCAGGAGCCTCATCTGTGAATAAGATAATGAATAAAAAATATCAGTGAGAGATCACCTTGTTGCAAAGAGTCTACAAGGTCATTTGCACCTTCCAAGCATTGAAATTGTTTTTTAAACAACAACTGCTGGGTGTCTCCTCCTTCACTGATTTTTCTTGCAATGTGATGTTGCTCAGACCATTGAGCGTTGTGTTCTCCCCTCCACACATGCGCACCTTTTATTGCAAATCAAACAGCTGCAGGGTTGCACTTCTGCTGTCTGTATGTAGAGTTAGGTTGCCTGAGTGATGGGGATTAGTTTGAGCCTTCCCATTCTCCAAATGAACCACATTGTGTAAGGGGTTTCAGCCTTTCTTTAATCTGAGGGTCGCATTCCTCAGTGCGCGATCTGCCAGGAGCCACATACCAGCATTGCGTATAGTGGGTGAAAAGATACCAAGGGAAGATAAAAGACAGTTTATGTATGCAACAACAGCAGCAAGAATTCTTTTAGCCCAAAAATGGAAACAGCAAGAACTACCAACCAAAGAAGAGTGGCAGATGAAAATGATGGACTTTGTGGAACTGGTGAAGCTGACAGGAAAAATCCAAAACCAGCATTATCAAGTACAGCGGTACCTCGGGTTACATACGCTTCAGGTTACATACGCTTCAGGTTACAGACTCTGCTAACCCAGAAATAGTGGTTCAGGTTAAGAACTTTGCTTCAGGATGAGAACAGAAATCGTGCTCAAAGGCGGCGCAGCAGCAGCAGGAGGCCCCATTAGCTAAAGTGGTGCTTCAGGTTAAGAACAGTTTCAGGTTAAGAACGGACCTCCGGAACGAATTAAGTATGTAACCCGAGGTACCACTGTATTCCAAAATGACTGGAGCAAATTTATATGATATTTGAAAGATTACTGTAAGCAATTAACAACACTAGCAGGGTTGTCTGAAGACTAGTAATGAGAAATTTTCTCCCTCTTTATTTTAACTTAAATTTTATTTATTTTTTCGTAATGAGTGAAATTAGAATTGGAAAATGTATAAAATGCAACGCTATAAAGGCTGATTTTGAAAGCCGTAAGGCAGGAGGGAAGGAAGTCAGTGGACTCTAAAGAGCCATGGAGGTAAAGTGGAGAAGAATGATATGATTGCATATTATTAAATGGAAAACTAATAAAAATCATATACAAAAAAAGAAAAGAAAGTGGTGTAGTCAGACCTACAGCAGACTCCATTCTTCATCCAGGCAAGGAAGAGATATTGCCATGGTTCAAGTACACATGCCAGACAGACCAAATCATGAGAAAAGGGCCAAAGGAGAGCCAGTGAGGGGTGAAGCCAGGCTGCTTGGCAGAGTCCCCACAGCTAGGCCAAGAGTTCTGAAGGACTGCATTTGGCTCCCAGGTCTGAAGGTGCCTGTCCCTGACAAAGCGGATTTAGGTAGAACCAGAAGCGGCTTAGTCATGCTGTCCACATGACCCGGAAGCTATACGTTGGCTCCGCAACTCCAGAGTCATCCGCAACTGGACCTAATGGTCAGGGGTCCCTTTACCTTTACCTTTAACTTCAGGAGACAAGAGCCCATCAAGCCCAGCATCCTGTTCTCACAGTGGCCAATGACATGCCTGTGGGAAGCCTACAAGCAGGACCTGAGCACAAAACTACACTCTCTTCCTGCAGCTTCCAGCAACTGGTACCCAGAAGTACAGAATCAGAGCACAGCTGTCATGGCTAGTGGCCATCAATAGTCTTACCCTCCACAAACCTGCCTAATCCTTTTTTTTAAAAAAAAAAAAAAGCCTTCCAACATGTGGCTGCCACCAGCCCGCATCTCCCGCACACACACCTCTCAAGTAACATTTGGGCTGTCGTCGTGTCATTGAGTTCATTGCCTACTCTCTCAAAGCAGCAGCTGATGAATGGGAGAAGGCAGCAAGAACATGTCAAGTCACTTTCACGATGTATTAACAGGATATCCTCTGGTTGGAAAGCTGCTTTTTGCCTGTTTGGACAGTGTAGTTGCAACCAAAGGAAACTCCGGAGTCCTGTCTCATCTTGGAATCTCAAATATTGGAGCGAAGGCTGATTTTCTTTACCATTCCGCCTGCATTGCTGAAAAGCAACACCATGCTGCCCTCTTGTGGCCATTTCATTGGCTGCCCACTTGGTATTCCCCAAGGAGATTCCACCCTATATAGGAAATTCCTGCCAGTCTGTTGCTGCAAAAGCAACCAAAAGTCCTGCGGCACTTTAAACACTTAGGCAATTTATTGCAGCATGGTTGTTTATCCATTGCATAAAGTGGGCAGAACTGCTATTCCTTCCATTTCATAGCATTTTTGGTGCCACTGTTTACAAACATTGTTCCTTTAGAACAGGGGTCAGCAACCTTTTTCAGCCATGGGCCGGTCCACTGTTCCTCAGACCATGTGGTGGGCCGGACTATATTTTGAAAGAAAAACAAAACGAATTCCTATGCCCACAAATAACCCAGAGATGCATTTTAAATAAAAACACACATTCTACTCATGTAAAAACACCAGGCAGGCCCCACAAATAACCCAGAGATGCATTTTAAATAAAAGGACACATTCTACTCATGGAAAAACATGCTGATTCCCGGACCGACTGTGGGCTGGACAGGGAAAGCGACATGGGCCTTAGGTTGCCTACCCCTGCTTTAGAAGATTGAAAGATACAGTGGAATAGTTAAATCTACGAACAAGTAGAGCCTACAACAAAATGTTGCAGTGTGGGGTACAGCACTTCCTTGTCTGGTTTCCAGCCCCTCCATTCCATTGTCCCTCCCCACCAATCTTTCATCTGCCCTGCTGGACCCCCAACAGTCAGCATTCCAAAGCCAATGAGCATGCAGTCTCTAGTGCAGACATAGGCAAACTCAGCCCTCCAGATGTTTTGGGACCAGAACTCCCATCATCCCTGACCACTGGTCCTCTTAGCTAGGGATGATGGGAGTTGTAGTCCCAAAACATCTGGAGGGCCGAGTTTGCCTATGCCTGCTCTAGTGGGCTGTGGGGGGGGGGGGTCCCCCAATTTAGGTTGTTTCTCTCTAAATATTTGTTTTGAACTTCTGCAGGCCTCAAAATTTGCCCCCTAGCCTGCAAATACCGTGTGTGTGTGTGTGTGTGTGTGTGTGTGTGTGTGTGTGTGTGTGTGTGTGTGTGTGTGTGTGTCATTTTGGCTAAATAAGCAGCAGCAGCTGAAGTCTAAACACCAAAAATGGAGGGCATAGCATTGGAGGAGGTGGGGCTCTTCCCAATGAATAACTTTCGCACACACATGTGCCATACATTGAAAGCACATAGCTTCCCCCAAAAAAAACAGGGAATAATTTTCATCCAGTTCACGTTTAAAGAAAAACTAATCTAATTTGCACTTTTCGAAACAATATGGGAAATAAAACACAGGCATCCTTCAAAAATCACACTTCTCAAAATTTTGCAGTGTCTTTCTCCAGCCAAGTATTATGTACAAAAATGCACATACTAGGGCATAGTGCGTATAAAACACATATATTAGTGATAACAACATACAAACATGCATTGTACATAAAACGTCTTAGCAAAACTGTGCACTAGAAGAAATTTGTACTAAAATGCCGATGGATTTTCATGGGAGTTTTTATTTTAAAAAAATAATAATAATCTCAAACTGATCTGGAAAAGTGGAGAACTTGAATTTATGATTGGAAAAGTGAGAAACAGTGAGGAATTGAAATTGGCCTGCCCCTAGTTGCAGGAGAAGGAGATAGATTATGATTTCATGGACTATCCGTATTTTTGCATGCAGTGAATCTGCAGCGGTTGTTGCCCAGAAGGAATGACAGTGCCCTGTTACCCTGTCATATTAAGATTCTGGATTATTAATAGGGACGATACCTCCCTTGCAAGCAATCAAGCAATCAGGTCTTCCAAGTGACCTTTCAGTCACTTCCCTTTATGGCTAACCTGTAACTGTATCCCACCCACATGCTACTCAAAAGGCATTCATTCCTCTGTGCCAGTTCTTCCCACTGTTACGTTGCGAAAGAGCAATATGAAAAACGCTATTGCTATTGAAACACACTTTGTAACTGGGTCTTAAAGGGCACAAATTATGCAAATAATCAAGTCATCTTTAAAACCCTTTTCGTCTAACAAAACAAGTGAATAAGTAACAAGTTCCTAAGGTATTTTCAATGCTGGAGAAGGTAAAGTTCATTGGCTTTAGCCCAGATGGTTGACTTGACATTTTTGCATTACAGGAGAAGCAAAGTTGTTGCTTGGCTGTCATTTCTCCCCCTTCCCTGGACTCCTCATCTGGAATGATTCAGTGAACACCTAAAACCTTGCAATAAACAAATCTTCTGGGACCCGAAAATGGAGAAGCATCTGAAGAATATTATTCTGGTTTCAGTTGGATTCTTGTTTCTATTTACTGCTTATGGAGGGCTCCAGAGCTTGCAGGTAGGTGGACCTTGTCGCGGAGTGTACATTTTAAGGGGGTATCTTTGAAGACGATCTGTGGGGATATAATGCAACAGGGATGCTAGCCCAGTGAAAGGTAGCATGGGTCTTCCATAACAGAAGAGAAATCCCTGGAGATCACACAAACATCCGGATCAGGTTAAGGGTCTGTCTAGTCTAGCACCATAGAGACCTTTGGAAGTCAACAGCCCTCTTCCACCGTTGCTTCTTAATGGCATGTTGTCTTTGAACATGAAAGTTCAACATCATCATGGTTAATAGCTGTTGGGAGACAATGCCTCTATGATTTTGCCTAGTTCTCTTTTAAGCTAGTGGCCATCACTCTTCTAGCAGTGAATTGCATTATCAAATTATGCATTTCTTTTGTCTCCCCTGAACCTCCAACCAATCGGAGCTAGAAGAGTCTGATATAATGAGAGAAGGAGAAACTTTTCTCCCTTCTATCAACTTCTTTGACACCATGCATCAGTTTATAGACTTCTGTCATGTCCCCGTTGGACATTTGTTCTTAAAAATGGTTTTTAACTTATTTTAATATTTTGTGTTGTTGTTGTTGCATTTATTTCTGACCCTTCTTCCTCCAATGAGCTCAAGGTGTCATGCATGTCTCTCTTGCTCTCCATATTATCCTTAGTCCTTTGCAGTGTTTGTGCTTCCAAATGCTCCACTTAAGTCCTTGTCTTAAGGACTTGCTGACTTCTCTCTCTCCCACCCACCCCGGTCAGTCAAAGTCCCCTTATTTATTGCAAAGCTTTTGATTCCATTTCATTTTGTCTCTATAGAGCAGCCTCCACTCTCAAGAAGGCCTGGGAGTTGCCTCTCTGAGTGTTGTCTATGCAGCCCTTATCCTCTCCTCCATGTTTCTCCCACCGATCCTCATTAAGAAGCTTGGGTGCAAGTGGACCATTGTGGGCTCCATGTGCTGCTATATCACATACTCTTTGGGGAACTTCTACGCCAGCTGGTAATGCTGCTAGCCTACTTCTGATGAGATCTGTGGGACTGTGGTCTACTTCCATCAGCAGCCAGACTTTTGTCCATAGAATGACTGTGGCATCACTGCAAGGCTGAAAACCAAGTTGGGCGAGGGGGATTATATGAGCAGAAAATCTTCATATCTTAATTCTTTGTGGTGACTGCAATACAGAGGTGGGGGCCCTCAGCCCTCCAGATGTTGATGGACTCCAATACTTGTCAGTTCCAGCTGGCACGGTCGATCATCAAGGATGGCAGGTGCTGTTGTCCGGCAACATCTGGGTGGCCACAGGTCCCCCAACCTGCTGTAATATGTAAAGCAGCTTCTATAATGTGGGTGGTTTCTGGGTCCCTGCCAGCAATATCTCACAGTGGTGTGGAAATATCCCATAACGCAATGTGAGCAAGCCACAGAGTGAGCCACTGTCCACATTATGGCTGCCACTAGGGAGTGGGCCATTGCCACGCAGCCACTGTTTCCATTTGCAGGAGCTTCCCTGTGACCATCCAATACAAACTGGCCTCCAAAATATGCATCCACACAAGGAAGAGAAACAGCTCTTTCCAGTAGGCTTCTTTATGACTGTTTTGTGGTCAGAATTGATACCACCCCTAATCTGGACTAGAGTCCATTATAATGAGACACACAGAGAGAAGGCTGGAGAATGGTGTTCCTCTTGCTCCAAAGAATCCCAAAGCTGACCCAGCCCTTTTAGCAGAGATGTGCTGAATGGTTCCATTGGGTATATGAGCGCAGCTTTAATGTTGTGGTTTTCAAATCACTCTGTTGAGAGCTGCATGAGCTTATTTCAACCCCCCAACCCCACTTAACTTAAAATGAACCTGATACACAATTATGCCCAGCCTCCTAGACCTGGGGAAAAACTTCCTGGTGAAAAGTCCAATGCATATTGAGGTCTCCATCTATCATGTATTAGACAAACATGAATTCTGAATATTGCTTAAAATATGATAAGCAGGGAGTTAACAGCAAACCTTCAATACAATCTAGCTCCTTACCGCTCTTATATCACATGAATACGTCTCCTTATAGTATAGGGGTAAACATTTGAGCAATTCATCTTGAATTTAATGATGTAACAAGCTGTCTTTGGCCTTTCTTTCAAGAATGCTAGCAGCGTAAAAGAGATATCTAAATAACGTGGTTTTTTGCAGGTACACACTGATCCCCACATCGATGATCTTGGGGCTGGGAGGAGCACCACTCTGGTCAGCCAAGTGCACATATCTCACCATCGCTGGAAACTCATATGCTCGGAAAGCAGGGAAAGTTGGGAAAGATATTGTCAACCAGTACTTTGGAATATTCTTTCTGATATTCCAGTCCTCTGGAGTATGGGGAAATCTTATATCATCCCTTGTATTTGAGCAGACTCCCAACCAAGGTAAATATTACATACACACAAACACACCCTAGGGGCTGTGTCCCTGCTTACACCACTTGTCAGCTCCCCTGCCATTCCCCCCCATACGAACCCCACCTAGAGCTTGCCCACCCCACCCCATGCCACTGCTGAACTCTCACCCTCCCAGCCCCATTTCTGAAGCTGCTTCTCTCTTCTGTTCTACAGTCCTGCTTTGCACCTGCTCTCCCCTTCGCTCCCATGTCCTTGCATCCTACCTCTTCCATTTGTGCACCCTGCCCTTATGCACAAACCACCCTCCTGGTAACCTCTGGCATCTTCCTCCTCTCGCACATTGCAACTACCTTTTCACTCTGACTTCATGAAAATCCAGGATTCTGGATCCTCCAATGAGGGCTACGCAATGACAGCCTTACATTTTTATGATATTACCACAGGGTACCACGTCCTTGCCTATATCTGCCTTTGGAAGTGCTACTGATAAATAAAACCACTTTTTCATCATTTTTTTTTTAAAAAGTGTGATACTGTATCAGATACAGTAGTATAGATGCAATTTTAAGGATAATGGAATAACCAAAGCCTAGCGTGATTCTCCCCTCTTCCAGCAGCCCGCATAACCTAGCTACATTACTCTGGAGGGCATTCTGATACCACCACCACCCCTCAGTGTGGCTGCAGGGGAGGGAGGGCAGGAAAATACCTCCTGTTCAACTATCTGAGGATCTAAACTATTAAACCCAGTTAAAGGATTGTTTTCTTATTGGCATGGGTGCCCAGTTTGCAGTTCCTGTGGACAACTTCCTAGAGCATTGGGAAGAGGTCTAGTGGAATGGACTCCTTCGGATGGTGGTGGACTCTCCTTCCTTGGAAGTTTTTAAGCAGAGGTTGGATGGCCATCTATCATGGATGCTTTAGATGAGATTCCTGCATTGCAGGAGGTTTGGGTCCCTTCCAACTTGATATTCTAGGTCTTCTAATGATTCAGTCTATGGGTTTGTCTTCTATTTGTGTGTGTGTGTGTGTGTGTGTGTGTGTGTGTGTGTGTTCAGCACAGGAGTTAAAGGATTAATTGGGCAGTGGTTGTTAACTCAGGCCAGGTGGAGTAGGCCGGTTAAAAGCAAATCCAGGGATAACAATAAAAGCAGGCTGCCTCAAGGGACAGATTAGGGCTAAATGCCACCGGAACTATATAGGGGGGGAAAGCCTGTCCCACAACTGCAGTCTTAAGCTAGTTTAAGGGGATAAAACTCCACTGGCTGACCAAACCAAAAGTTACTGCTAGGAGATTAGAAAATGCTGGTAACGTCCTTGAAGACTGGCAAGGGATCAAAACATTTGATCATGGCTCAAAGGCACGGTTACTTTGAAACTGCAAAATACCAATACTATATGAAATAGCAAAGCTTAATGAACAGAAGTAGCATTCTCTGAAGCTGTATCCGGCTTTTACACTGTTGTTCATGCCAGTCCAAGTGAGCTCCCTACGGCACTGTCAGAACTTATAGGACCAGAAAGGGCAATTTAGATGGTCCTAATCTTTGAAGTGCAGAGGGCACAACGGTGACCAGTTATGCATTGATGGAGCACATCAAATGCCCTGCTGCTCAAGCAGCTGCTTCCACATGGATTTGTCCACTAAAGGAACCCTGTCAATTGGCTATGGCATTTCTGTGTGTTGCAAAGGATTCCTGGACATGTTCCACTATTGCCTCTCAAGCAGCCTGTCCACCATTCTTGATTTCATTGGTGATGAGAACCTTGATCATATTTTGAAGTACCTACCTCAGGGTTTTTTGGAACACAGCTTGAAATCCATTGCGGATGTATGCTTGAATTTATGGTCTTGATTTTGACCACTAACAACCACTGCTCTTTTCTTTTTCCTATGGCCTAGTGGAACACTCAGACGCAGATCTGTGCTGTGGTGCAGAACATTGCACGGGGGTAAATGCTACAAACAGCACTGTGGCTCAAAAAAAACCACACGATACCTTAATCTACACTCTGCTGGGAATCTACACAGGTAGGTGCTTCCAGACACCATTTGTTTGTTTGCTGTTTGCTTGCTATTTCAGTTGATATCACCTAAGAACAGTTATCTCAGGTGTGCCAGGAAAAATGTCTTTTAGCCATCAAATGCCTAGGTAAACAGAAGTGAACTACATGTCCCAGGATTCTTTGTGGAAAGCCACAACTGTTAAAGTGTTAGCTGTTAAAGCTTTAACATATAGCATAGAAGGTGTGCACCAGATCATCTCCAACATTTCACTTTGGATGGTCATTGCAGAGGAAGAAAAGGAGTGGTGGGCAAAGTGTATTTCATGGACCTTTGTCTGCCATTATTGATTTTATCATCTAAGAACCCCTTGATGTGCTTTTTTTCCTGGAAAACCATTTGTAATATATCATATTTGACAGTATTTTATGGTATGCAATATAATTTAACTGTTTTTGATCGCTGTCTTGTAACTCACTTAAAAAATCTTACAGCATTTGATAAACAACATTCAGTGATTTTTAGTATTTGACAGCTTTCAATCTGCAAAATCTAGGACTGGTTATGATAGAGGCCCCCAGGCAAAATTATAACTGTCAGAAAATACTAACAGTTCCAAAGCCTTCAAATTTTAATTTTTCGGGTCAAGATTTCATCTTCCAAATTGTTGATTCAGATTTTGAATATGAATTTTCCCACTCAGAACTTAACAGGAAAGTTCAGCAAATTTGGCGTATTCATGAATATTCATTTCAGCTGTAAATTGTAAATTGTATGGCCTATGAGTGATTCAGGCCTCAGTTAATGAAATAAAGTCTAACATTCCAGTTCCATAGTATAATTTCCCTCTTCACATGTGCTTTGGAAAAGACTGTCACTAATTCTGAAGCCAGAGGCTCAGGAAACAAATTCATCTAGAGGCAATGTTGACAGATGCAATCATGGTGCCCCCATGCTGATCTCTCTTTAACCTCTGACCTAACCTGGAAGGGTAAGAAATCTGTCTTACGCAACAGCACAGTTGGTTTTTCCAGCTGCCATAGCACAAATGACACAGCAGAGCAGTTTGCTGTGCATGGTGGATGCCCTGATATTGAAGACAGAGACTTCAAAACAGTTAATTTTATTTAAACTCTCTTGGCCTCTAGAGCTGAATTTAAAACACTTATTGACTGAGTATTCTAAACCCATAACTGAGCTCTGAGAATAAATCTATGAATTGCTTGTCACTTTGGGACTTGGTTCTTATTCCAATGCATCCAGGCAGTGGGGTGCTAGCTGTGTTGCTAGTTGCTATTTTTCTGGATCGGATCACAGACGACCAAGCAGAGGGTGAGAAAAAGGAGACACCTTCCTTGTGCTTCACTTTCATGGCAACATTTCGGCATCTTAAAGATAAACGCCAGTGTCTCCTGATTCCCCTGACCATGTACAGCGGGTTTGAACAAGGATTCCTTGCTGGCGACTACACCAAGGTAGGAACGTGAGCGAAATGTGGTTGTTACATCACCTACCCTGAGTTCTTCAATGAATACATGGGGAAATGTTCATGGGACACTCAGGACTCTTGAGTCCCAACTCCCACTACAGATGGATGCCCTACTGAGAATACCTGAAACCTGCCCAAGAAGCCTCTGGAGTCAGTGAAGAAAGTGTTTTAGATGCCATTAGCCAGGAAGAGCAGGAATCAAACAAAACACACCAGTAGGTCCACCAAGGGACCAGAGAGACCTGATGAAAATCATGTGCCATCAGAAGTCAAATAAATCCCATGTGGCTCCAATACTTTCTAAAGGTCCTGTTGTCACTCAGGTCCTGTTTGTGGGCTTCTCATAGGCATCTGGTTGGCCAGGGTGAGAACAGGGTGCTGGATTAAATGGGCCTTTGGCTCTTATGATGCTCTTGTTATGTACTTATGTGACCTGCTGAGGGAAAGAGGGAGCGGACAACCACTCGGTGCTGCAGGGATCAGAGGGAGTTGGATCTGAATGGGGAAACATTGATACAAGGAGCAATTGCCATGGGTTAGAAGTCAAGTGTCAGGTCACTTCTCTCACACAAGACACAACACGCTGGCAGTTTAACTAGTTGGGGTTTATTAGCAATAACAGGCTTCCAGCAATCCAAGCTTCCCACAGCTCACTCCTCACTGTCAGAGTCAGTTGACTCGACTGGCTTCCTGCCCTTCCCAAGGCCAGCTATACCCCAGGCCCGCCCTCACTTCCTGCTGGTCCTCCTTGGTTCTAATTGCTTGCTCCGCCTCCTACTTCTTGGAGACTCAGGTGCAGCCAATTTCTCTTCGGGAGTTGAATCCAACTACCTCATACGGCCTGCATCCTGCTCCTTCATCTCTGTGCTGCTGCAAAAACTCACAGGCAGCATTCCAGAGCGAGAAGGGCTTACCTCACTTTCATTGTGTGAAAGAATCAAGTTTCTATTTCCCTCTGCCTCTTCATCCCCCTCTGCAGATTCCTCTCTGCCGGCCATGTCTCTGGCATCAAGCCTAGAGGAGAAAGGCATCTTTCTGCCTGCCATATTGATGGATTTGCTTTATTAATTTATTGTCCATATTGTCCTCCAACCCAGAGTGCCTTGCAAATCACAAAGGTATTTCTTATTTGGGTAGCCCTTGCATTGCCTCCTAAATGGCCCTATAGTCACACAAATCTAGCTGGCTGACAGTTTGCATACCCTGAATGGGCATGCACAGGTACAATATCAAAAAGATACGAGGTTAATGTGAGCTTAGTGGTAGCTATAAGTGAGCATACAAGCAGGTCTTATTGTGCTTTTTTTGTTTTAATGATGCAGATCTTAGCCATATTTTTAGTACTAGCATATTGCTTCTGTGGTCTCCATCTAATTAAATGCATCATACTCTGATGTCCAGGAAGCCAAAGAGTTACTCATATGGTTGGCAATCATCTACCTTGTGGACACTTCCAGGCAGCCTGTTTATGATGTTACTGGCAAGTGTTATCCTAGATCCACACTTCCCAGTGCATTTCCCCATCACTTTCCTTACTGCAAAAAATCCCATCTTTGGGGGAAGCAGGCATGTTATGCAAGACCTTCCAAATCAATTACTGTTGCCCAACCTGAACTTACTGGTGGTATGTGATTGAATCCCACCCCAAAAGAGTGACAGCCTGGAAGCGCTGTGTGTCAACTCCTCTCCCTACACATCCCCAGTTCTTCTGCTGCTTTAGCATTTGATAACATGTACGGCACATGAGCAAATTATCCCCCCCCCCCGTCTCTCAACTCCATCACTGCACAGCAGGCACACACATTAAATCTGGAGGCCCTACGGCAAGGCACAGAGCTGTGCTTTATTGATCGCATCTTCTCTGTATGAATATTCACCCAGCACTCAGAAAGAGACACGAAGTCCTAAGCCTCAGATGACAGAAACAACGTTGCTGCGTTGAATAATATTGCCATGTGCGCCTGTGTGTCTTTCTCTTTTTCTCTAGTCCTATGTGACCTGTGCCCTTGGGATAAATTTTGTCGGCTATGTGATGATCTGCTTCTCGGCTGCAAATTCACTCTGCTCCCTGCTCTTTGGGAAGATTTCCCAATTTACTGGCAGAAAAATTCTATTTGCAATGGGTATGTAAAGGCTAACGGAGGACCGGGGGGCTCATCTAGTGTGAAAAATTGGGTGTGCTCATACTAAGAGGCAGGGGGTATAATTTAATGAAGAACTGGCTAAAAACATGATCAGTCCAGATGAGGATTCTCCCCTCATTACTGGGAATGAAACAGTCTTGGCCAATTTGAATTTCAAATATGTCTGTTTGCTCAGTCACTTCAGAGAAAGTCTCAGCATTTCTAACACAGCAGAAGGTGGTTCTCAACTCATGAATCACATATACTAATAGCAATCTCAATTCTCTGGGTGCCAGTTCTGAAGCAGTCAAAGCAGCACTAGTCTCACACAAGAGAGTGGTATCAGCAGAGCTGGTTTGCAGGGGGATAAAAAATAATATTGAGGGTGAGGACCCCAAAACAGTCCATTGAGGACTGAGGGTTGTATCCAATGTAATACTAACAAACACATTCTGTCAGGAAAAGATTTATTCTTATGCAACAAAATGTCCCCCCCCTCCTCCCCCTGTGCACCCCCTAAATGTGTTCTGGGGGTTCTCCGAACCCTCCGGGGCAGATTTGGAGAGAGCACAGAGTGTGCATGAGGGAAGGAGAAAGAGTTCCATTGCATAAGTGAAAATCCTTGCGCCAACAGAACACAATAATCAATGTCGCCCTGAGCACGCTCACTGGCGGCTAAGAGGGGGAACAGGGAATGGAAAATGGAGATGGAATAGAGGATCCTAGAAAATAACGTGGCTGGTTGGTTGGAAATCCACAAAGCAACATTTTGCTGCAGGTCCCCTTTGTATTTCCTACATTTGAAACTTTACTTTTGTGTGTGCACATGGGGTTCTTGGAGTGGTTGCATGGCATACTGATTTATACCACGCAATCCTGAATGAAATGACCCACAAACAAATCCCATCCCAGCGTCTTGGACGGGGAGAAGAAGGTTCCCTTCCTTTCATCTAATGACTGGCATTCCCTGAACAGGGAGGTGTCACGGCTTCTGCAGTCATGAAGCAATAAGCTACATATTTGCCTGTCCCTTTTGGAGGTGCTGATCTGACAATAATATAATTTATAGGGCCAACTGGCAGCACTTGCTAAGGCACTGATCTGACCAACATCAGGGAGGGAGGGCAGACTATGAAGAAACGTTTGGAGAACTTGGCACTCCTGGCAAATTATGTCTCTTGGGGTTCTCTTTCTCATGTTTCACTGGAGTTTTTTTTTAATGAGCTAGCTCTGCACATTCTCCAAACTGAATGTACTTCACATCTAATATGACTTAAGAGAAATGTTCCCAACTACACATCCTGGATAAAATTTCACTCTTGAGAAAATCAGCTGACATTTTGCTGCCTACTTCACCCATATCATTAGGCTGACAGGTGCCCATTATATGCCAGGACTAAATTACTTGCCTTGACAATGGGCTGGCTGGCTTGTTAGGCTAAGCCAAGCCAAGCAAGAATGGGTGGGCATGAGAGACCCCAAAGAACAGATTGTGGCTCCTGCCCGCAATCCTCCTGCTGCAACACCACGGTGAGCTAAGCTGTGGTTTGGCTTAGCCAACACGTCATCTGAACCAGGACTCAAGGTTTGTTTCCTCCAGGCAACCAGCAGAAGAGATAGCAGGTCCTTCCCTCTGTGACCTTGGGGGCCAATGGAAATGAGAAGACTCTTGATTTGTTTCCTGAACGGCAGGGTACATTGCCCAGCCAATGTGCTCCTAAGCAGCCTCATTGCCCCTCTGTGCACTCTGGTGGATCTCCAAAACATTTATGTAGCTGGAATTTTGACATCCCAGGTGGTTGCTTACTTCATCTTTATTCCATAGCCAGCCTTGCTGATACTGCTTCTTTGCTTCCAATGTCACCTGGGCAGCTGCCACTGCTGGAAACTAATGCACAATGTGGACCTTGGCCTGGTGCAGCTATATAATTATCACTATCTGAAATGGCCTACTTCTGAAACTCTTTATTGTTTTCTCTCAATCTGTCATCATCTTCCAGGTGGAGTTCTCAACCTTGCCTGTATAATAGGACTATTGCTCTGGAAACCTCGCCCAAGCCACCTTGCCCTGTTCTTCGTATTCCCTGCCCTGTGGGGTGTGGCTGATGCTATCTGGCAGACGCAGACCAATGGTAAGCCTTTTCTATCATGGAAGACTGGCAGCACAAGCACAACTCTATGCAAGTCAGTTCCACTGGGATCAATGGGGTTTACTCTGAGGAAAGTGTGCATGGGACTCTGTGGCCTTAGTCTCACTGAAAGCAGATTCTCTAGACTCCAGTAACTATCAGTGCTTCCAGATGGGGGCATAATATTGCAAACTGACTGTTGCAAATGGGAGTTGGTAATAGCTATTAAAATAAAATTTAAAAACTGATTAGATTTTCCCTAGAAAGGGTAACTTGAATTAAGTGGTGGGGTGGGCACTTTTATGCTGGCTGGCATTCTATGCTGACATCACATGGATGCTGTGAAACATTTCTGTGCATGAGGAGCACCCGTCTGGAAGCTCCTGAGATATGTCTGAGTAGAATGCACCTTGGCAGAAAGAGTTGGAAGACTGGGGCTAGATCTACACAGCTGTAATAAAAAAACAACCCACCGTTGTAAAGCTCACAGTGGAAAATATCACTGAGTTGTGATTTCAGCTCTACAGCACCATCTGATGTCACAGTGTTATAACACATTTTTAATGTTGTAATTTGATTAATGTAGCTGAGTCCTGGGTCCAAAACAGGTATGCTGTAACATCACGGGGGGGGGGGGCGGGTTAAAACTTAAATAGCATTTTATGTTTTTGGCAAACTTTTCTATAAATCTTTGAATGCTGCAAAATCAAATCTGGCTTATTTTGCTTCAAATGAAACATAGTTTTGGTTTGTTGATGCATTTCCTCCTGACATGTTAAGTGCTAAGCCACAGTGCTTTTTTCTAAAAAAAAAAAAATGTTTAGGGGTACTCTCATTTTGACTCAAAAAACCCACCATTTTATAGTTCAAATTGGGAAAAATAAATACAGTAAATGGACAAATGATCTTCCATATACAACAGGAAGGAGAACCATCACAGCTTTCCAAGTAGTGATAGTTGGGCATGTAGCGACTCCTGACAGAAGCTCACAGCACTGGCATTAAGCCACAGGTGTTATGCATAACCCAATTCAACACTTGTAATTCAATACCTATGTGTCAGGAAATTAAGCCCCTTCCTTTATTCATCTGAGATTGCATTCATAACCAATGAAGAAATACGCTCTCATTATTACCACTTACCACATTTGGTATTCGTTTGTATACAGAGAGAGAAAGAGAGCACAGCCATGCCACACATTTCAAGCACATGACTTTCCCCAAAGAATCCCAGGAACTGTAGTTTAAGGGTACTGGAAATTGTAGCTCTGTGAGTTGTAAATGACAGTTCCCAGGATTCTTTGCTGGAAACCATTTGCTTTAAATGTGTGCTGTGGATGTGACCAGAGAGCAAAGGTTTGAAAGGAATCCTCAAATGCAGGCTGTGTGCTAAGTCAAAAGGAATGCAGTGGAACCTTGGTTCTCAAACGGCTTAGTTGACCAATAAATCGACTCCCATTCCAATTTTCAAATGTTTTTCGGAAGCCAAATGTCCGATGCGGCTTTCGCTTGAGCGCAAGAAGCTCCTGCAGCCAATCAGAAGCCGTGCCTCAGTTTTCAAACAGTTTCAGGAATTGAACAGATTTCTGGAATGGATTAAGTTCAAGAATCCACTGTATCTGATAACCAGGAGCTAATTGAAATGTTTATTATCCCTGCTGCGTGTGAGGGGAGGGGCACGGAGATTAAAATAACATTGCATAAGAAAAAATAAAGATTAAAGGCTAGAAAGACCTTTTGTAATATGTTGAAATATTTACACTGTCATCCAAGGAATAAATCCTAAACTAATTAGCTATGGAGATTAAATATGTCACCACGTTGCTTACACAGGCGAAATACAAGCACTTGCACACCTCACCAACAGATCTCGCTCCGTTACAAAGTGCCACCTTACATACATTCTCTCTCATTTCCTGGGAATGTCAGGGCAAGAGAGTCTTTTGACAACAACAAAGCTGAACCAAGCAAGGATTACATACAGGTTAGATGAGGTCATGCCAAGGGCTTAACTACACTTCCGGGTGCCTCCGGTCCAGACCGCAAATATTTTGCAGGAGGGGTTCAAGGCTTCGAGCACATAACAGGACTTCAGACTTACACATTTAAAGTGGGTTAAAGCTCAAGCAGTTTGGAAAGTGATGAGGAAATGCACTGAAAAGCGTGGAATGAACACATGCTGAATTGTAAGAAGCATAAGCACCTTGTAAGCAAATCAGGATGAATGTTCAACAAACCAGGAAGCATAAAGCAAGCCTTCCCTCCAGATGTTGCTAGACTACTGGCCCTGACTATTGGCCAAGTACCTGCATCTGATGGAGGTTGCAGTCTAACAATGCCTGGAGGCTAGCAGGTTAGGGAAGGTCCTGGCCTTACATGGAGATATGGTGGCTGTGATCTATTTCTTCTTTTTGCACATTACAGAACTGTGTGATATGTAGAAGCATATGTTCTGGACTTGGAGAAGTTCTACTGTATGTTGAGGATATGACTAAGCTTATGAAGTTATTGGGGAAAGGGACACCCTTTACAGACCCTCCAAGTGTCCCTATTTTCCAGGGACAGTCCCAGATTTACAGTAGCTGTCCTAGTTTCTGATTTAATCCCAGGATGTCCCACTTTCCCCAGAGAAACATATGGTAGGGCATCTCTATTTTCATTGGAGAAATGTTGGAGGGTATGGAATAAGACACCCCCAGGTTTTTTTTCAGCTGGAACTCACCAGAACTCAGTTCCAGCACCTCTCAGGTAGGCACTATTGCCATTCTATGAGGGATGTGTTTATGGTGAGTTCCAGCACCTCTTTTTCTAGCAAAAATAGCACTGGACATCCCTATTTTTGTCAGAGAAATGTTGGAGGGTATGCCTTTACAAACTTGTATCTGTATTCTTCTGAACAGGAGGCAGCACTTTGCTTAAAGGAAATCCTCTGTTAAAAAGTACCATATTTTTTGCTCTATAAGACTCACTTTTTCCCTCCTAAAATGTAAGGGGAAATGGGTGTGCATCTTATGGAGCGAATGCAGGCTGCTCAGCTATCCCAGAAGCCAGAACAGCAAGAGCAGTCCCTCTTGCTGTTCTGGCTTCTGAGATTCAGAATATTTTTTTCTTGTTTTCCTCCTCCAAAAGCTAGGTGCATCTTATGGTCTGGTGCATCTTATAGAGCGAAAAATACAGTACATTGTTAAGGGATATGCAGGCCTTCTTTTGGGCCAAGGTTCAACTCCAGAACATGGGAGCAGAACCCCAGAACTCGATATAGGTACTAGTTCTTGGATCTGGGAAATGCGAAGAAATAATAAGAAGCTCAGCTCAAGTCAGCTGAAGTTGAAACTCCATGCAGTAAATATAAAATGATAACTCTTGAGATAGGACTAGCCCTGAATAATCAACAGAAGATTTGTGAACATGTGCAGAGTGCCTTGCAATTATCAACCGCTGCTTCTTCTACCATTCAAAAAAAAAATAACACCAAAAACAGTAGCCTGTGGTACTTGATCCATTGTGGAAGCTGTATCTTATCTTTGCTGCTTCTAAGAAAGAAACACTCCACACGTGTTCAGAGCTCCACTCTTCCTAATTATTACTTCACACTGGAGGGCACAGGTCTGCCATTGAAAACAGGTTCACAGCAGAATTCAAATTAAACCCTGTGCTTTTGAATTACACACAAAGTGAGGTAGGCATGAGCTGCTCAGTTTAATTATCAGTTACGACTCAGCTCTTACTTTAACAGAGTTTCATTACAAAGTTCCAAAGAGAATTCTAGAGACTGAAAATTTAACTCCTATCAGGGTTTAAGCAAGTAGCTGTTCCAGGAGATCTCTGGAATATTGACCAAGGGCTCCCCCTAAAGGATTTTAATGGAAAATGCCTGAATCCTTGCGCTACTCCACATTTTCAGATTCATCTATCCAAAAGCATGTGTCATATTTTGGCACCTCACTGTATTGTAAGTTAAATCTGTTTTATTTCATTTGTTCTTCTATAAGAGCTGCTTCATGTGTAATCATATGCATACTATTATGCACACACAAGCATCTTCCATGCTGGAGTTTTGCAGTAGTTGTGTTGTGGGTTCGAACCCCATGTTGGGCAAAAGATTCCTGCATTGCAGGGGGTTGGACTAGATGACCCTTGCGGTCAGAGCCATCTTTCCCATAGGGCTTAGTGGTGCGCCATGCCAGAGCGCTGGCCTCTCAGGGGCGCCCCAGCAAGTGCGGGAGCTGCACGGCTTTGCTGACGGCCTCCCCTTTCCCTGCACACCATATGGATGGCGGGCATGCAGCTTCCCTCCCAAGCCTCTGCGGGGATCGCTCTCCCGCAGCAGCATGGGGGAGAGTTGCGCCCCCCCAATGGCTGGCAGTGCACAGCTATGGCCACCACAACACTATCCATAGTAATTTGGGGGCACTGGGCGGATATTTGCACCCCGGCGTCGCATCTGCTAAAGACGGCCCTGCTTGCGGTCCCTTCCAACTTTATAATTCTATGAGTCTATGCTGTTTAAAGAGTTGCGTGGGCCTGAAAAACACCATTATTATCCTCTTCAGCAGGATGTAAAAAGAGCTCTAAACATGTTAGAGCCTGAGCATGTTCTGCCTTTGCTCTTAGAGGGTATCAGTTGCTGGGAATCACAAGTGAGTAGAAGCTGTTGCATTCAGGTCCTGCTTAATGGCTTCTCACGGGTATCTGGCTGGCTACTATGAGAACAGTAGTGCTAGATTAGATGGGCCTTTGGCCTGATCCAGCAGCTCTTGCATTCTTAAAAGTAGAACAGATGTTCTAGCCAGCAGCCTCCCCAATGTAGCATTTCTAACAGGTTAATTATAAACATAGGCACTTCCATTTGACGTGTGGATCATCCCGGGAAGTTATGCAGCCTCTGTATATTACATACCAGAACTGAAACCAGATCTTACCATACCCCTATCCTTTTTTTAGACATGAACTGCCTGATGTCATCATGGGTTAGTTCATATATTCATTCCTGCAGCAACAGAGCCCATAGTTTGCATGCGTAAGGATTCCAAGTAGCACTGTTTTAAAGATACTACTAGGAGCGCGGATAACATTGGCCATATTCACACCATACGTTTAAAGAATTGTGATACCATTTGTCAGGGTGTCCCTGCTTTCCTCCACTCAGAGCTACAATTCTCTGAGTGGTTTAACAAGCCTTCACAAGGAACTCTTGAGCATTGCAGCTCTTGTGTCTCTGCCCCTTACACCAGCTGAAGGTGTCGCCCTCCAAAAGCAGGGGAGAGAGATTTCCCACACCAAGGAACAAAGATCGTTTTTTAATGTCCCTGGACCACTGTTGCCTGGCGATGGACCTGTTCACAGTAAACTCAAAACCCAGCAGTATATGGTTTAAGCTACAACGTTGTGTGATCCTAAGCAGCTTCCTGGTACAAAAGAGAAGACATCCATCATGTATTTTCTTGCAGCATGACCTTTTCCAGGGAGAAAGAGGGTTAGCTACTGCTGCTACAGTTACAGACCTGGATGGGGGTCAGATTTAGGCTTCAAACATAAAGTTTTGCCTAATTGTTCTCTTTCCATTTGTTTACAGCTCTCTATGGAGTGTTATTTGAAAAGCACAAGGAGGCCGCCTTTGCTAATTATCGCCTGTGGGAGTCCCTGGGGTTTGTCATCGCCTTTGGTTACAGCACATTCTTAAGTGTCAGCGTCAAACTTTATATTGTGCTGGCTGTACTGGTGGTGGCCATGGTATGCTATGCAGCAGTCGAGCACCTGGAATCACAGTCCTCTCCTGGTCCTGAACTACCCAGTATCTCAAAGCAGGAGCCAAACGAACTAGGCGAGAAAGATCCGCAAACCCATTTGTAGCCCAGCAAAGCAAACCTCTGTAAGGCCAAGCAAATGGCCCAGTCCAAAAGTGCCTAATTTTGTTCATTTTCGTTTTGTATGGGCTACCAGAGAGTAGTGCTGATACTGAAAGAGGCAGAGCATCACAGCAATGGTGCCACAGATGGCTTCTCAAAAGGCTCAACACCAAAGAAGGCTACCAAGGAACAGATAACATGATCTGTGCAATATGTAAATGGAAACTTCAATTCTTTCGAACTGGTGAAAAATGTAAATAGGATTTTTTTTCCTGCCAATACAATAATGGCTTCAATTAAGACAGTACAATACTAGGGACCTTCTCTTCTTGCTACTAGTGACAAAAAATGTTTTTAATGGGTCTTTGATTTTTTTTAATGGGGGGGAGAATAAATGTACATTGATAATTCAAAAATGTTCTGTTTCTTACTAAATCACTCATATCCACATAGAAAATATAAATTGACTCTCATCTGGAATACAAGCTTACCACTCCCCTCAAGGAAATAAACATGAAACTGTAATTTCTCCATCCAAGTCTCCTAAGGAAATCGTTGGAGAACGCCCTGGGGGTGCCTGCAGTCCCCCAGAACTCTGAGCATCCTCCGGTACGCGCAGCTCTGGAAAAGGCATCTCCCTTCTCTTCCAATGTGCTCCTAGTGACATACATCATAATGATATATGCACACTAAGCTTCTGACAGAACACAGCAAGAAGCGTGAGACATCGTAGAGCTAATCTACTATTTATTTACACACTATGTAAATCTGATGAAATGGGGTGAAGGATGTGGCATGGCATTTGGATGAGGCCAGTGAGCCACACCGAGCCCACAAGACACTGCCATGTGGAAGCAGTCATGTGGTGCAATGAATGTCCCTCCCATCAATGGGAGGAATGTCATGGGGCAGCCAAAGAAAACTTCAGGAAAGGACAGGAGAGTGCAAGAACCAGGGGTGCCAACTTTACTAAAATATTGGGGGGGTAAGCCCCATCCTGCATAATTGATCACATGATGCGGTGCATGGACACCATTTGAATGGCTATAAAGGTAAAGGTAAAGGGACCCCTGACCATTAGGTCCAGTCGTGACCGACTCTGGGGTTGCGGCGCTCATCTCGCTTTATTGGCTGAGGGAGCCGGCATACAGCTTCCAGGTCATGTGGCCAGCATGACTAAGCCGCTTCTGGCGAACCAGAGCAGCTCATGGAAACGCCGTTTACCTTCCCGCCGGAGTGGTACCTATTTATCTACTGGCACTTTGACGTGCTTTCGAACTGCTAGGTTGGCAGGAGCTGGGACCGAGCAACAGGAGCTCACCCCGTCGCGGGGATTCAAACCGCCGACCTTCTGATCAGCAAGTCCTAGGCTCTGTGGTTTAACCCACAGCGCCACCCGCGTCCCTTGAATGGCTATGCTCATCAATTTTTTTAGGAGGGAGGCCTCCTAAAATATTTTATTGGGGGCTAAGACCCCACAGTCCCTAGGAGTTGGCTGCTCCCAGCAGCCCACCAGCACAAGCCCAGCACAATGCTCAAAACTACAGTTCAGCAGCCGCCACTTCCCTTTTGGATTGCAGCTTTAGTTTTGTATTAATTATCCACTGCTTTGGCACATCGTGCTGTCATTATACAGACTGGATTCCCACACTTCTCGTGTGATACAGCAGCCACATGAATACCCAGAGAGAACCGCGTTCTTCTCTGCCCTCTACGGCTTCATTCTTTGATGAAAAGTTATGCTGGAATGGGACACAAATTCTATGCCATGATTATACCCATGACTGTGCTTTAACATTGCAACCCATCCTTGGACCTTAGCATGAAGGTAGGTCAATAATAAATAATTAGGGTGAAGGCAAGTAAATAATAATATTAATAAGAGCATAGCAGCAGGGCCTGTAAAATAGCTGGCTCAGTTTGAGAAGAGGCCTAGAGTTCAAGGAAGGGGGAAGTGGAAAAAGCTCCTGTGACCATGAGAGCATTCGCTTTTGTTCCTAGGATCTGTTTTGCATTGCTAAGCAACCAAGCTTTAACCCTCCTGGCTGGCTGGCCATCCAGGTGAAAGCAGGAAACAGGTGACAATTCAGGCAGCCCACAAATTCCTCTTCGGGTCTCAAAAAGAGACCGAAAGAAAAAATCCTTAACTGATGCCCTCAGCAATGGAGCTAAATGTGTTGCACTGATGACTCTGGGGATAATTTTTATGCTGAAGGAGAGGAGTGCCATTGCCCCAGTGCAGGTGTTCCCAAGGGGAAAGGTATGTGGATATTCTTGCAATAAAAAAGTAACAGGAATTAATTTTAACTATGTGACCATGAATGAATGAATTGGGCCACAGGCAAGCCGCACACTCTGGGTTGTATCCAATGGGAGTAGGGTTCCAGTGGTGCAACAGGACTTCTGTTTCTCCTCCTCCCTTCACACACCCCCCCAAACTCTGCTGTGGGATCCCCCAACCCTCCAGAGCTGATTTTGAAGTTGGGGGGGGGGGGACTGGTGGGAACAGGAGAGCAAATTCAGTTGCACAGATGGGGCACTTGTTCAAGTGGTTAGGGCCCCCAGTCCCAACCCCAGATTGGGATGTAATAAAGGTACACTGGCCTACCTTGGAGTCATGTTGTAAGAATTTCTGAGGTACGGTATGAAAAGCAACATGAATGCTCTGGGATCAGCAACTGGGCATGTGTCCAAATGTAGGATACCCATTTTACTAATGGGATCGTGATTATGATGTCGCTGCCTATCAACAGGATTATTCTTAAGTGCCATAAAGGGAAACAAATTGTTAGTACTTAATTTATGGTTATAGCATTCCTGTTCCCAGTCAGGGAAAGACATAGGTGGGAGTCTCTGTCTCAAGCGTCAAAATAACTTAGCCAGCCATAGATACTTACAACGCTATGCACATTGCTGTTCTCTCTTGGACTGGCCTTGCTATAAGGATGCAATCTTATGCACACTTATATTGAAGTAAGCACCACTACATGGTGGGATTTATATCTAAGTAAATATTATAGGGGGACGCGGGTGGCGCTGTGGGTAAAACCTCAGTGCCTAGAACTTGCCGATCACATGGTCGGCGGTTTGAATCCCCGCGGCGGGGTGCGCTCCCATCGTTCGGTCCCAGTGCCTGCCAACCTAACAGTTCGAAAGCACCTCCGGGTGCAAGTAGATAAATAGGGACCGCTTACCAGCGGGAAGGTAAACGGCGTTCCGTGTGCTGCGCTGGCTTGCCAGATGCAGCTTGTCACGCTGGCCACGTGACCCGGAAGTGTCTGCGGACAGTCCTGGCTCCCGGCCTCTAGAGTGAGATGAGCGCACAACCCTAGAGTCTGTCAAGACTGGCCCGTACGGGCAGGGGTACCTTTACCTTTACCTTAAATATTATAGGACTGCTCCATAAGTAAATCAACGTTCTTTTAAATCTGTGGCCCAGTCTAAAAGCTGATATGTTTAATATAAAGGTTACAATCTAATTTTTAAAAAGTTAACATGAAAAAGATATCAAAATATAACATATAGAGTGATATTCAGCCATTTTTAGTCCGTGTAGGCCAACTGGAATTAATGAGCATGACTGAGTTAGGTTCATTAATTCCCACTGGGTATACTCTGAGTAAATTGATTACCACCCATGGCTTGGGAAGCAATTTCCTTATCGAATACAAGAGTTTAATGCAGACGGAACTCCACTGAGAGCTTTCCTCCTGGAAGCCCATTTCAATAAAAGTGAATTGTGGGGATTCTGCAAAGATAGATTCGAAGTAACCGCTAGGCCAAGCTGGCACAATCTGAAAAGCTGTTCTAGCTGTGATTGACCGGGTAGTAGAACAATATGTGAGATGAGGGTGTCCCTGAATATTCTACAGAAAGGGCGGGAGGGAACAAGGAAACAGAATGCTGAAGTGTGTGTGACATGCTGGCACAGTGCAAGTTTCTATGGTGATTTAGAACTTGAGAAATATACATTATCAGTTTCGCTTCGAAAGCTGGAATTCCAGAAAGGAAGAAAAAAGGATTCTCCAACCCAGCATGAGATGGTAACAATGTCACTTTGGCAAAAGGCGAGCCGCAACTCTGAAAAAGAAGAACAGATTTGCACAGCTACAAGGGAACTAAGGTTTGCACATTTTCCTTTTGAAGTAAATGTGGGTCTTCAGGGATAAGGGATCTTCTGTATTACAGATGTATAACAGGGAAGGGGAATCATAGCAGTACAAGAGGACAGAATAGCTAAGGACTGCCACTGAAATAGGAAAAGAGCTTGCAGCTCTGATTCATAAATATTATCTAATTTTATATGGTGCCATCACCACAGCTGGTAGTATACATAGAACCAAAATAAAAGTACTTGCCCCAAATAACTTACGATCTAAATTTAGATGGGTTGAGACAAGAAAACAACACAGGATAGGTAAGAGAGACAAGGGGCAACATGGGGACTAATACAAATGGAAGCATTTGAGATGGAGATGCATGCTGGTATGTAATACACTTTTATTTGACAGTTTCTCATTTACTCTTGCATATTCACAGTACTGAACAGCTGGTGGGATTGAGGAGTCCGAGAAAAGGTATTTGGTTTTTTGAAAAATTCTCTTTAAACCTTCCATAAACTCAGCTGCCTGAGTTTTCCCAAGCTGGTATAAAATTATATTCATCACTGAAGCCTGTTGGCTTCCTAATGCAAAGCCTACAAAACAACTTAATTTCTCTTGGGACCTGAATATGAATAATATTGTACTTTCCCTTGTGCTGGCTTGAGCACCTGACATAGTTCAAATCAGAACCTCTCTCTGCTCCCCACCACATACTTGCTGTTTACAATCAAGCAAAAAATAAATGGGAGCTTCCCTCTCATTGCAAACAGCAGGTATGGAGTCCCATGATTTGGATCGTTTCTGCCACAGCACCAATCTGGCTTACATGCACTCTGATGTCATTTTTTTAAGTAAGTATGGCATTAGCAACATCACATCAAGCTTGGCCAACCCAATAACCCACCATGCTAAGGTGGTCACACACATCACAACCAAGAAAGAAGCTCATCACTCAAGGAGAATACAAGAGATGGGAAAGATCTGCAAGAAATTTCCAGACACATAATTTATAAGTGTTTATACAAATTTAGAAATACAGTGGTACCTCAGGTTAAATACTTAATTCGTTCCGGAGGTCCGTACTTAACCTGAAACTGTTCTTAACCTGAAGCACCACTTTAGCTAATGGGGCCTCCTGCTGCCCCCAGGCCGCCGGAGCACGATTTCTGTTCTCATCCTGAAGCAAAGTTCTTAACCTGAACCACTATTTCTGGGTTAGCGGAGTCCGTAACCTGAAGCGTATGTAACCTGAAGTGTATGTAACCTGAGGTACCACTGTAATTACTAGAATCTAAGCAGAACTACAATGCAGCCATTTCCTCATGATGGGGAAGACTGCAACCCAGTGATTAAGTGTCAGCTTAATTTGTTGTCTAGTAGTTAACTGTTGATAGGCATCTTCAAGCTCTGCTTTCCTTTCTTAGGGTTATCTTTAAACTGACCTTGGGCCAGGCAGCCCTACAAATAGAAGACTTCCCTGTGTACAGTAGGACGCACAACCACCTTAAGGAACCCAGGGTTGGAGAACACATGCTAGAGGTCCCTGTTACTCATGATTCTTCCCTGGGGATCAGATCTATGAACATCAGTGTGAGTCACTGGACTCACATGCTGAAAATGAATGTTGTGTTTTATTACCACGCATCAATCAATGTGTTTGTACCCTGCATATAATTGTATGAACGGGGCAACTCAGGTTCCAATCAAAGGAACGCATTCCTGTTGCTATTAAATTACCCAAACCGATAGAGTCAATTGTTTGCTTCCCCCACAGAAAATACCGATTTTCCAGAAAATCAAAGCTCCACCACAGCAAAAGGGGTTGATTCAGGAGGCTCCATCAAGCCACTAGTCTTCCGGCTACATGACAGCGTTCCTGAATTAGTCCGTGAGGTTCTACTGGAGCGTGGCTGGATCGAGTATGATGAGCACAAGCAAGATAACGAGGACTGGAACCTGTGCTGGCAGAACCAGCCTTTCCGGATGACAGACCACCGAAGCATTAAACCATGGCAGAGGCTCAATCACCATCCAGAAACCGTCCGGATCACCAGGAAGGACTATTTGGCAAGACATTTGAAGCGCATGAAGGGAATCTATGGAACAACCCTCTACGAGTTCAGTCCAGCAGCCTTCATCATGCCCAACGACTACATTAAATTTATAACAGAATACACCAAGGAGAGGCAAATACCCGGCAGGAAGCTGAGCTACTGGATCTGCAAGCCTGTCGCCAGGTCTCGTGGGAGGGGCATCATCATTTTCAAGGACATTAAAGACTTTGTTTATGACTGCATGGTGATTGTGCAGAAGTACATCAGCAACCCCTTGCTTATTTCCGGGTACAAGTGGGACCTCCGCTTTTACGTATGTGTCGCTAGCTTTTGCCCCCTCACTGTTTACGTGTACGAAGAAGGGCTGGTGAGGTTTGCGACGGAGAAGTTTGACCTCGAGGCCCTGGACAATGTTTACGCCCACTTGACAAACACAAGCATCAATAAGTTTGGGCCCTCGTACAGGAAGGACAAAGACGTCATCGGCTCCGGCTGCAAATGGACGTTCAGCCGTTTCCGGGCCTACCTACGTAGCCGCCATGTGAACGACGTGCGCCTCTGGCAAAGGATCAACCACATCATCACCCTTACCTTGCTTGCCATCACCCCCTCGGTGCCGTTTACCTCTAACTGTTTTGAGCTCTTTGGGTTTGACATTCTCGTGGATGACAAGATGAAGCCCTGGCTCCTGGAAGTGAACCACAGCCCGGGTCTGCACCTCGACTGTGCCACAGATGCAGCTGTGAAAAGAAGGTTGCTCCATGACATCGTCGACTTGCTGAACTACAAGGAGGCCGACGTGCTGAGAACAAGCAAAGGGGTGATCCGGAAAGTGTCGTCCTTTGGCCGAACGCAGTCTTTGTTGACTACCAAAACTGACGTCTCTCTAGATTTCATGGCTTGTGGGAAAAGAACCAAGTCTGCAGTTACTTCCCCATCTCCATCACTCTTGCAGGTTAATAAGAGGAGCCCAAAGTCTGGCAGGACAGGCAGTGCATACCCCAAGAAAACCTTAACCTCACAGCTGCGTGAACGAATGAACACGCCCAAAACTTCCCTGCTGCCATCTAAAAGCAAACAGTTATTTAGAACTAGTAGTTCCCTATATGAGCCTGTTCAGTCTACCCGGTGGCTTAATTCAACTGAGCTCTGTACACACAAGCCATCTATCCCTCCCTTTTTCCTCTCAGATAAAGACAAAAAGCCATTCCCTCGGGTGGGTGACTTTGTCCTTATATTTCCTTTCAGTGATGCAGTCCTTGAAGCATCTAAGAATGGGATCCATGTCAAAAGTGTAATAAAAGAAATACACAAATTAATGAGCAAAGAATTGCAGCCAGAGCACCAGAAATCAAATAAAAGCTTATTTAACCAGTAGATGAGCGGGACGAGCAATCCTGTATGTCATTTACACCAGAGGGTGCATGTGCTGCAGTTACGCTGGCACACTTTATGCCACGTTCTATAAGACTCCCACAAAAGTTGGAGGAAGGATGCCACTATGAGGACACATCTGCACCACAGAGCAATGGCTACACCACTTTAACAGTCAGGGCTTCACTGCTATGGATCCCTCTGACCTGAACAAACATTAGTTAGTGTCCCTTTTTTCGGGGGGGGAGTGGTGACTTCACCTCCAGGTGATTCTGGATGAGACAAATTGTATAGACTTATTTCAGTTAGGATTATAGCTTAGATCTGGGACAGAAACTGTTTTTTGGTGGCCTTGGTAGATTGATTGTGTTTGTTTATTTATATAAACTGCCAGATCATAATAAAATATTACAGCAATGCACACACACAAAAGTACAATACAAGTTCATTAGCTCAACAGCTTATGATATTATTCTGAACCCACCCTACTGCGTTAGGGCCGAGTAGCAAGAGTTTTGTACTGGCATTGGTCCTCCCCGAATGGTAGACCCCAGAAGATATTGCTGGGGAATTAAACATTACACTCATTGGCCTTTGACACACAGCATCTCACAGGGATCTTATCCTCTCACCATGAATCTCCATGAAACTGTGGGATCATCTGTAGCGTCTGAGTGCAGTCCAATCAATATGCCAATGATACCCAGTTCTCCCTTCCTTTTCCATCAAACCTGAGGCTATGGAAATTTAGCACTGTAGTTTCTCAAAACTGAGGCACCCATTTTAGCTGCTTCATTTACAGGACACATTAGAGTTCCTTTATAATCTTGGTGAGTGCAGGGCTGAGCTTGCCAAAGTTGTGTATGTTTCTTTAATTTTGTCCAGCACTCTGCAGTCTCCCTAGCTGCCACATGCTGCCATTCCCAGGCTTTTACGTGAAGTGTGGGAAGCCAAGCAGGATGATTACTAGGAGCCTGAGATTGGGGCACTTGGTGGTTTTGTTTTTAAGGGAAGTCGCTGGTTATAAAACAACAGCAACACTTATTTCATTAAAAATAAAAATACTTTCAGTTGGAAGTGGTCAAACTCACATTAGGCAGCCTCCCCAGCTTCCGGTGCTTCCGGGAAAGCCCAGCCAGGAATGTTATAAGGCTTTCAGTAAGCACAGGCACCTGGGAAGGCTGCAGGTTGCAGACTCCTGGAGAGTTGATTTGTAGAACAAACAGAAAGGACACTGTAAAGCTTTTAGCCGTCACAAAAGTAAGGTAAGTGCACCACAAACCCCACACCCTGGACAAGGTGACTCTTGGGCTGATCCAGCAGGGCTCTTCTTAGGTTATTATTGTTTGAGGCTAAGCTGATATTTGGTCATCTCCATGGTGGCTCCCAGGCTTTTGACCTCCAGGTGGGGTCCATACTCCTTTCTTTACTTCATTCTTATGACAGAAGTAAAAAATTAAAAGCTATTTGGATGCAGCAAATCTGTCTGGTTGTTTAGAAGACATTACTGATATGTTACTGTTTTCAGCAGCAGTAATTGTCAGTTATATTTTACTGTATTGCTCAAATGGTGTACAGTCATACCTTGGTTCTCAAACATAATTCATTCCGGAAGTCCATTTGACTTTCGAAAACCAAGGCACGGCTTCCGATTGGCTGCAGGAGCTTCCTGCACTTAATTGGAAGCCACATCGGATGTTCAGCTTCCAAAAAAGTTCACAAACTGGAACACTAACTTCCGGGTTTGTGGCGTCCGGGACCCAAAACATACAAGTACCAAGGCGTTCAAGAACCAAGGTACAACTGTATTTGTATTTTTGTGAGACACTTCATAGACCTTTCTGGACAAAAGATGGAATAAAAAATAAACTATAACATAACATCATGAAACACGACATAAGAGAACATAATGAAATGCTAAGACCACCATCCAGGGAACACAAGTTACTCCTTATCCAGGATGACGATCTCCTTCTCATCTTTGATTCGAACCCGTCCTGAAGAATACTTGGTTTCCTGCTGGCCATTTGCATAGACAGTCTTGACAGTCCCATCAGGGTATTCCCTTCTCGTAGACTGTGCCATATGAATCTCCTTTTGCCCATTATGGAACTGGATGGTTTTAACTCCACTTCTGTAAAGCAATAAAATAAAACAGTCCACTTCAGAGCATGTATACCCATGGGAACCCTGTTCATGCCAACAGACTTTACATTTTACACATAAGAACAAACATAGCAAATCAGCCCAGTTGCCCATCAAGCGTAGTATGCTGTCTCTGGGAATGGCTAGAGTTGGATGCTTGGGGCAGGGGGAAAGACACAACAGCACAAGTGCCCTATAAACCTGCAGATCAAGAGCAATTTAGAGCTTGGAGTAACATGTCTTATTGTAATGAGGACCAGGGCAGACAACTGCCTGGCTTTATTGGTTTCTGGCATAGGTGCCAATATGATTTTGCTGGCCAAAAGTTTCCTTGTAATACGGCATTGCAAATTCTGAGATCAAATATGTTAATATCCTTTGTACCTCAGCACCGACAATCAACACAAGGAGTTGGGGCAGACAGACTAATGGATTCCATTGATAGGGCCCATTTGGGTTAGCACTGGCTCTATGTTCCCTGGCCCCATTGGGAGACATAGTTATGGGGGTACCAAATACAAATGTTTCTTTTTAAGATTATGACAAACATTCCCTGTTGCATTCAACCTCAACTTTGATTGTAATTCTCAAAAGGGTAACCATGCTATTCCACTGCAGCAAAACAAAAAAGAGTCTTTGGGCAGCTTAAAGACGAAGAAATGTATTACAGCACAAACTTTCATGGACCACAATTCATTGGATACACAAAGTGTATCCAGATTTTTTAAGCAATGAGGTCAGAGGGAAATGAATGCAGAAAACACAGAGGCAATGTTGATTATGTAACTGACAGTGGTTATTCTCGTTTAAAAAAACCACCTTTGGTTTTGCTTGTATTTATGTAAATGGGAGGACAGAATCCTAGCAAAACACAATCCCTTGCAACAATTTTGCCTTGCAGAGCTCTACAAAATTATCCAATGTGAACAGCAGAGTGTTGAGACAGTGCTGAAATGGCACTTCTATTGAATGGTTCCCCCTTTCCAGTTCCTGAGTACTTTATTACTTACTTGTCCACTTTTACAACTGTACCGTCTGGGAAAACAGTTTCTTCCACCATACCTCCATCATAGCGGCGTTTCACAGTCTGGTCTGGAAACACGATTTCTTCAGTACCGTCAGGGTGGTACTTTTCTGCGGAACAGGACATTGTTAAGAAGTCTCATTTGAAACATGTGTGAGCTTACCTTCCCAGTGTGGGTACATCATGCCTGATACATTGACACACGTGCATACACTGCATATTATGACCTACACACAGATTGCATGTTATTTCTTGTGTGGATGTGCCTCAAATGCAGATATCTGGCATGTCTGAAGCAACCTGAAATCTGCCACTGGGGATGCTTCGCAACTCAGCAGGGATTTCTGCACAGGCTTGTTGGGTCCCACCTCAGTGTGCAAACTGAATTTCTGAATGATATGCAATATGGAAGTTCATTTATTTATTATATATAAGTTCTGACATAATTTTTAAATTTATCGCCCTTAAAGGAGAAAAAGATAGAAAACTTATTATCTGATACGCATATCTGTTTGGTAAACATTGCCTTTAAAATCAGTTTTAAATTCATAGTAAATTGACGTTACCAATCTGATTATTAGGAAACTGCAAGACTTCCAATCCATTTGGGAAAACGGTTCTGGTTGTCTGTGTCTCTGCATAGTAATAAATCTGCATAATAATAAACAAGGGAAATGATAGGAAAATGCATTGGAAAGTGTGGAATAACAATTGTCGATGCAAATTCACAAACAAATCAGAACGAATGTTCAGTAAACAGCTGACATCATCTAACCTCCCCACAAACATTCTGCAAATAAATCAAGATGAATGCTCAATAAACTGGTTGTGTGGAATAGATCATAGTTCCCTGTCCAATGCTGATTTAATCTTCACTTTTGCCCCTCTCTCTCATCTCTGGTGAGTCGTCTAGCTTTGTATTGCTTCAAGTATATACATCAACACCTTCAAAGGTTTGTTGACTTATTTTGAGGTGGAAAACTGCTCAAGAAGGGGAGGGGGATATGGGTGCCACCACAGTGACTTTGTTACTGTTTTTAAACAAACTGTTAAGCACTCTCAGAAGCCAGGAGGGTGGAACTGCTGTACAGGATTTCCAGAAGGAAGAGATTCAGTGGCGTGAACAACTCTTCCCAAGACTGGCAGAAGTGAAATAAATTATGCAAAGTTAGGATTTGCAAAGTAAGCATTTGCATAATTTATACATCGCAGAATTCAACCATTGAGTTGCTCTGGCACAGATTTCTTTCAGCACAACAAATGTGGAGACTTGCTAACTTGCATATAAAAGATTGTTTAAGCTCAGGTCAGAGCTCAGCTAAATATTTATTTCCCCCTACTTGGAAATTAAGACATTTAGAACTGAGGTCCATCTTTGTAATCACAGTTTAAAGTCCTCCTTCAAAGCAAAATAAAATAAATATACACACCACTCTCTGATCTGGCAAGATCTTCTTAATATCTCCATTGTAAAAAGTAACAACAGTTGTTCTTTTATCTGTGCTAATCTCCATTTTTGTCCCGTTTGGATATTTCGTAATCCTGCGCCCATCAGTAAACAGTTGTTTCACCTTTAAAACAAAGACCAGATGTGCAGGGTTGGTGTGTATTCACATTCTCTTTCTTCCCTCTCTTCCCCCCACAACCCACCCCCCTGTAGTTAAACTGGAATACTTGAATTGAAGAAGACTCTGATTCATCTAAATGGATCTCTGTGCTTTATTACATTAGATATTTAAACATCTGTGACTTTTACTAAGCTTCAGCCCAGAACACCAATTTTAACATGTTTCACCAGGTTAATTCAGAAGGGCAGAGCTGCATGAGAGGTGAGTGAGCAGACCAGGGGTCATCCAGTGTTCCACCTGAATGCTCAGAAACCCTCAAGGGCCTGTGTGCCGGCATTTGAAAGAAAGCTAAAAGGAGCCAATTGATTTCTTTTGTCCAGAGCGAACTTTCCCCCTCTACTTATTCCCAAGTGGGAAAGTTCACAATGGGAGTCAGAAAAGAATAGCAGGCAGCAGAGACAGTTCCCATCCAAGATGAAACAGTCCTCTCTTCTTTCCTCTTGATTCTTTGTAAAATGAAAACACGCTGCCAGCACCACTCATGATTCCTGGGGGTGGGGGGGTGGGGGAAGAGGCTGACAGTGGCACTGTGTTGGCAGTGGCTTCACTGGGAGAAATATGAGAGGCCCATCTTCCGGGTAGGCCTTTTCACAAGAATTTGAGAAGGGGTGTTAGCCTATGCAAGCAGCCCTGGTCAAATTCCCATGGCACCACCCATAAACTGCACCTGTCTTAAACTAGTTTAATACAGTGGTACCTCGGGTTACAGACGCTTCAGGTTACAGACTCCGCTAGCTCAGAAATAGTACCTCGGGTTAAGAACTTTGCTTCAGGATGAGAACAGAAATTGTGTGGTTGCGGCACAGAGGCGGCGGGAGGCCCCATTAGCTAAAGAGGTATCTCAGGTTAAGAACAGTTTCAGATTAAGAACGGACCTCCAGAACTAATTAAGTTCTTAACCTGAGGTACCACTGTAGTCATTCCCTACTCACAGTGAAATCTGAAAACTACTTTGTGTCAAGAACATGGGATCTCAAACAGAGAATTTGTAGGGGCGGGGCGGTTTGGAGGAAACAGTTAAGTTTGTGGTGTAGCTATGCCCTAAGACCATAATTCCACAGAAGATGGAGCAAACTTGTATTCTGCTGCTGCAGAGGGTAGGACCTGAACCAATGGCTGCTAAATAGAATAAAGGAGATTCTGACTAAACTTTAGGAAGAACTTTCTGATGGTAAGAGCTGTTCAATAGTGGAACAGAGTCCCTCATGAGGACTCTCCTTCATGGACGGTTTTTAAACAGTGGTTGGTTGGTCGTCTGTCAGGGATTCTTTAGATATGATTCCTGAAATGCGGGGGTTGGACTAGATGACCCTCAGTGTCCTTTCCAACTCTATGATTCCATCTAAGGTGGCCACTGTTCTTGTCATGTTTGAGTTTCGCTTCTGCTTCCCCCACAACATTGCTCTCCTGTCCTGCTTCGTTCCTGTATGGCTCTTTGCACATATGCAAATAAGCACGTGCAAATATCAGCACAAGCACAAGGTTGAGTTTACCAGCAGTTTACGTGTCATTTGAAGTGAGAGGCTGGAATGTCTCTACTCGCAAACAGGCACTCTGGCTCCTTCCTGTACAGTGGTACCTCGGGTTACAGACGCTTCAGGTTACAGACTCTGCTAACCCAAAAATAGTACCTCTGGTTAAGAACTCTGCTTCAGGATAAGAACAGAAATCGCAGTGGCAGCAGCAGTGGGAGGCCCCATTAGCTAAAGTGGTACCTCAGGTTAAGAACAGTTGCAGGTTAAGAACGGACCTCCAGAATGAATTAAGTTCTTAACCCGAGGTACCACTGTACTGTTATAAATGGGGAGTGCAAAGCAAGGACACCTGGGGAAGTTGTTAGAATTTTGTTCTGTTGTTGTTGGGTTTTTTTTTGGGGGGGGGGGGGACAAGGATCAAAAGAAAAGGTGAGTTGTCCCGAAAGTGTCCTAGGCATTTCAGAATAAGTGCCAAAAACAGCCACCTGGTTTCTTTAGAAAGCTTCAGGTTATGGGAGACACACGCCTGCCATTCACTTAGGCTGATTTGAGATCTATGACCGGCACAAATGGCATTAAAAATTCTATCCGGCAACTCAGCATAATCTGCATTCCCCTGGAGACCTCCGGTGCTGCAGAGGGTGCTCCAAATTGTGCTTTGATGAATTACCATATGGCAGAGACATATGCTTGCAGCACTTTTATTTTCATGTAACGTGACCCCCATCGCATGCATGCCAGCTCAGCAGGAAGTTAGCTTCGTTTCATGCAAAGAGCTCCTGGGAAATCAGCCAAGACCCCTCGATGAGCAGATGGGGAACGCAGCCCTGGTGATGTGTGTGCCACACGGAACCAGCTGCCTTGCACTCCAACACAACCTCCAGTTAAGACCGTGTACAAAAGGAAGCTTCCCTGGGTGGTTTGCAGGTGAAAGGCATATTAAATCAATGGAGCCAACTGTGGGGAGAGGCATTTGGAGCAAGGAAGGGTTTATGCACACACATCAAAAAGCAGTTCAACACTACATTGGCACCAATGTAGATTTGCCTTGGGGGTAGGGTTTGCAAGTCAGCTTCAAACCCTGGTTGCAGATACTAGCCGAAGGAGTTCTCAACAATATCAAATCTGCTTAATGTCAGTGATTGAGGACAAGAGAGGAGAGGATGGGAAGAATGAGATCCTATAGTCCACTCCCGATCTCTTAACCATGGTTAAGAGATCCCTCCACCAGTCCAGTGAGAGAACATACACTGCCTTCCAAATTCGCTGTCCATTTTGTAATTCTGTAAAGCATCTGCCAACATAAAGGTGCAGAAATCTGGGGCGCAAGGTTGGAAGAATATTCAGATGCCGTCCCCAGTGGCATGGGGCCATCCCACAAAGAAGCAGCTCCCATCATTGTACAAAATGAAGCTAAGTGTGAGGATATGAAGGCCAGAAGACCCTTGTACAGTGGTACCTCGGGTTACATACACTTCAGGTTACATACGCTTCAGGTTAGACTCCACTAACCCAGAAATAGTACCTCGGGTTAAGAACTTTGCTTCAGGATGAGAACAGAAATTGTGTGGCGGTGGCGCGCCAGCAGCAGGAGGCCCCATTAGCTAAAGTGGTGCTTCAGGTTAAGAACAGTTTCAGGTTAAGAACGGACCTCCGGAACGAATTAAGTTCTTAACCCGAGGTACCACTGTAACTGAATGAATTGCTCTGTATTTCACAGGTTCATTGTATTACTGCTTGGACATGAATGTGGCTTTGACTTGTTTTACATTTTCACATACACTGGGTTTAGTTCCATTGGTTGCTCTGATGTTCTGTGTTAATTAAGTCGCTCGTGGTGATTCGCTTTGTTCTTCCTTTTGGAAGGAAAAGTGCGACAGAAGCAATAAATGACGTTTTCACATATTATGCTACCTCTGTAGTAGCAGCATGTGGGGTGGGGTGGAGCCACCCTCCTAACACTGGAGTCACTGCTGCCTAAGCAGCAAAGTCAGGGCTGTGCAGGTACACCAGTGCAATTTCTGGATTGGCAGCAGGGGTCCTGGCAGTGCACCACATAGCCCCCACCTTGCTTCTGCCCTGCCCCAGCCCTGTCCAGGTAAGTCGCAGTGCTACCAATGTGGGGAGAGTTGCTCTAGGGCCATGCTTCAGGGCTACACACCCCACTACTTCTGTCACTTAATATTTCTACTGCTTTTATACTTAGCTAATATTTCTTACCTTTCCATCGGGGTACTCTATTATTTCTTTCACTTCCCCATCCTCCTTTATTTCAGTATATAGTGATGCTCTTCTGGACAGTATTGATTTGAGAGGAGAAGCCTATCAACAATCAAACATGATTTTTAATTGCATGCATTTTTCTGCACAGAGTGGCATGATCTATAAAATCCCACATAAGAGGGGGAGTGGCACAGTATTTTATTCAAGAAGAGGGTGTTAGGGATCCCCCCCCCAATATATATCATTTCCAACTGTGATGCCCAAGCTAGCTAATGAAAACAAATAATGAAAAACAATATAAAAACCATAAAACAACACATAGATAAACCTGGTGTAAGTCTAACAGAGCTATCTCCGGCCAACAGAATCGAATGTTATCTTAGCACTTGGTTGCATGACAGAACAAAAAAGAAACACTACTGATACAGAAACATAGACATACAAAGAGAAATTCAGACACCCAGAAAACCAAACCTTATTTTTAGTCTCCACAAAAATAGGAAGATTTTCCACAGGTGTATTCCTGCCATTTGAGGCAATGCTGTTTTTCCTGGAGGTGGACATAGAAACCACTTGCTCAGAAGATTTATTGGATCTCTGAACCCTTTTATGGCTAGGATTCTCTTTCACCTGTAAAAATTGTTACCTGTCAGTAATCATCTGAAACCACCTAAGCCATATGTTTAAAAGAATCTGTTATATTTAATGCCATATGGTTTAACTGATCAATGAAAGAACCCTCTTTTCCCCACCCCTTTCCCCCAGAGCAGCGGCGTAGCATAGGTTACCAGAACCCGGGGTGGTGTGGAGGGCATGGGTGGGTGGGAGGGAAATGGGCAGAGTAGGCATGCACATTCAACTGCCTAAGGGTGTTTGTGTTGCCTAGGAGATCGCAGCCACAGAGATAAGAAAAGAAGAGTTGTTCCTTTGTCTGGCGAGGTCACTTCTTGGTTCGTATGGAGAAGCCATTTTTAATCAGAGCCCAGTGACAGAAACAACTGGGGCAACTGCCCCTGTGCCCCATCCCAAGCTATGCCACTGCAGAGACTCTTATCAGAGTAGGTTTTTAGGCCTGCTGTAAAATATGCTCAAGGCTTATACATAAACATACCTGTATTCCCACATTACTCAAGGATGTGGTGCTTAAACTGTCATTGCTTTGACTATTTAAAAATGCTGTGTCTTCTGAACTACCTGAAGTGGAAGAGAACGTGCCTAGAGGGATTAAAATATTTACATATTAAAAACTGTCAACAGCCACATATGAAAGCACCGATATTTCAAGTCCTGTATTCGGACTCCAAAGCATTGATACTGATGTTGTTCTTGGCCAGCAAAAGGGACATGTTTGAACAACACAGATTCATAGAATTGGAAGGGACCACAAGAGGGTCATCTAGTCCAACCCCCTGCAGTTCAGGAATATTTGCCCACCATGGGGCTTGAACCCATAACCCTGAGATTAAGAGTCTCATGCTCTACGGACTGAGCTGTCCCAATAGGAACTAGGAAGTACGCAACCATTTGAACATACTTTACCTTTCACACGCAGAGCTGAGCTGGTAAGTATGCTTGGTTCCGATTCAGACACAGGTGTCTTCCTTCCATAACTGTGCTGCTGACTGTGAGCCAACTGAGGCAAAGCCTATACAATGAAGAGGAAGCCTTTAAATGAAGGCACACAGTGCTCCTACGCACTTGAAGTGATTGAACAGGCAGGCTTTCCTCACTGTAGTGATGTGGAGCTGAGCCAAAAGCATCAGGAAATGCCATGGCTCTTGGAGAAAAAGGTATTGTGTGGTTTATAAAGACACCAGCTTGAAGATACGTTCCAAAAGGTTTAGATTTGGATGTCACTGGTCCACACGTTGTAGATCTTGTGAAGATTTATTTATTTAGAGCATTTGAACCCTTCAGCCAAAGAGGCTCCCAAAGTCCTTTGGCAGAACAAATTCACTGGAAAAGGAGACAGGCTTAGCCAAGATTAGAATAAATGCATTCAAATAATGCCTAACTAATTTATCTTTTATGTAAATGGGTCGACTATAGGTTTATATATATGTAGCAGGCTAGTTTAATTATATGCCAATAAAGAAAAAACCTTTTGTAAGAGGAAGAGGCAGTAGGCAATAATCTTCATAGCACCCTGCTTTGCAATTTGCAGGGTTTTTCCAGAAATAATAATAACAAATCAACGCTGCCAGTCTCTGTAGACAACACTAAAGTAGATGAACCAATGGTCTAACTCAGTACAAGGCAGCTTGTACTCAGACATTCCTGGATTGTTAATATCAGCAACTGTTGTGACATGGTTACTGTGTAATCTGTTGCACTGCATTTCATGCTATTTTAAAACTTTATTTATTGTACACCGCTCAGAGGTTTCTTTTTTAACATAAGCATTTTTATAAATTTCCTAAATAAATTCAAAGAATGTGCATTACTTTCTGTAGTCCAAACGGTGTTTGATGAGGGGTCCTCTGGCTTATGGGTGTCACACTTCTGTTATGAACTGCTTTACACGGGCTCTTCACTCTTTGTTCTCCTGCTGCAGATTTCAGTGACTCAGACCTTTGCAGAACCCTCCTTGTTGCCTAGAAGAGATTAAATGCTTTTTTAAAATCATTGCATGGTGTTGGCCTTTGCTGTCTTATTTGTGAGCATGCCACTAGGAATACTTAAAAACTGAAGATTTAACATGTTTCCCCAGTATTTAATAATACCAATAATCGTTAACATTTCCATAATACTTTCAAATGTGCTTCATTATCTGGATGTAATTTTTACAGCAATTAGGGATGCTCAAGGAATTCTCCATTGATGGACTAATCTGATTTATTGAAGCATGACTGCATCCTGTTTTTGTTTTATAGATATAATTTTGTTATTGTTTTATAGATATAATTTTATTGCAGATGTTATATTGTTATGTTCATTACAACACACCAGCTGTACACTGACTGTATGTATGCTAGAAGCAGTATAAGGCTATATGGGGACTGGGGAAGGATCAATATATCTTACCTGTGAATCTCTGGGGGCCAATTCATCTGGCGGTACTATTTTCCTTCCCATAAGCTTATCGTCAGGGCTCTTGTGGCTATTTTGCGACAGTTTCTCTACCAGGGTTCCTTCAGGTGGTGTCCCTCTCAAAACAGCTGCTGAGACCTGAAAAAGAAATTATAATGTAGTAGCAGTTAAGAATGTCTCATGTGCCCAGTAGGTTCAGCAGCCATTCTCTATAAACAGAGCCAGCGCACCTATGAGGCAAGGTGAGGCAACAGCCTCAGGCGGCAAGAGCCACAGGGGCAGCAGATGTGTCCTTCAAGGAATGCATTTAGGTGCCAAAATGTTCTGGGCCAGACTTGTCTATATGTCTAATTTAAAGAGCAGACAAAATTAAGGCTTCTTGCAGGCCAGCCACATTCTTCCTGGAAAAAGTACGGCAACTCTCACGAGACTGCTCCTCCCTGTAGTTTCCTACTCAAAACAGATGTGCTAGTTGAGGATGGACTCCAACTCTAGCCTGCCGCTTCTCAGAGGACCCATTGCCTACCTGTGAGAAGATCTGCTAGTGGGGAAAGGAAGAGGGAAGGTGTCAGCTTTTCCCCATCCATTCGGGAAGAGTTCTGAAGCCTGCTCTAGAATAAGAAGCAACATCCAAGGAGCCGTAATCCTTTCCCCATCAGTGGATCTTTTAAAAATGAGCATGGCTACATCAAAACAGCCACAGCCCATTCCCAACAAAGCAAGCCAAGAAGCCAAACACAAACAGGAGGTCTGCCTATCCTACCGGCGTTTCTCTTTTTCTGCCAATCAAATCCACAGCTCCATGTTTCCTTTCGCTTTCCATCTTCTGATGCTCAGAGACCCTGAGCTCGTCTTGAAGCTCCAGGTTCTGTTTGGTCAGTGCTTCGACCTGACTTCTCAGATCGCCATGGGCAGCATGCCAACGGGTCTCATTCCTTCTGAACTCCTCCTGCAGCCCTGCTATTTGCTGCTTTAACATCTGTCATTAGGAAAACAGGGTTGTTGATTTTCCAGGGAAAGGTGTGTTGCCATTTCTGTGTTGCAACATGGCTGAGTGACATCAGGCCCTCTCCTTATTTCACTAAACCCCACACAAGTACTACTGCTAGGAAGCTAACCTACATGTGGTTAATACCCAATTGCACCACTGTGGGCAATTGTCAGCCAAGGCTGGGTCTTCTGACTCAACTCAAGCAGGGTTTCTAGGAGGAGAGCCACGTTCACTTTAGGGACAGGAATAGATCACAGTAGGCACAATGAGGGTAATCTTGTCCAACCCCCTGCAATGCAGGAATCTTGAACCCCCAACCCTAAGAGTCTCATGTTTTACTGAGCTAGCCCAACAGGTAATATGAAACTGTTCTGTTGCATATGATTAGCTGCATTCTGAATTTAAGCTCCTGAAAGTGCAGCTGAGGGAGAATAAGTCTACTTTCATGTAATTTGGGGGTATGGTGGAGATGTGTGCCAAAGCGAGGCAGGGTGTAAGCACCATTTGTAACCTAAGGACTTGGGAGGTAAATCTTGAAAGGACCAAGTCCAGGGTAGTGATAAAACAGCTTCATGTACGAGAGGAACTGACAAGCCAGGAAACAGAAATGTAGGGACTGGCAGTGGTCTGAAAGAGACTGCTCCTGAATGCTAAAGGCCGTCTTTCCCTGTGTAGGAGGTAGAGGTGAAAACAGTTGATGAAGGACAAGACAAAGAGCAGGACAGAGAGAGGGGAAGTCATTAGTCAACTTAACAGCAATAGGAAAATCTCCTAGGTACAAGAACAAGTCCTCCTTTCCCCTGCCCTTGCAAGTAAGCTCCCCTGTTAAATTGCCATGCAGCCCTCACCATTTTTCCAGCTCCAGTAAGAGGAAGTGTTCTGATACACTAAACTAAAGGAGGCCAGGCTTACGGACAGCTGCTCTAAATGCTCATTTAAAAGAGGAAATTAGATTCAATTATGGGGAAGTAGCTCAGTAGTAGAGCATTTCCTTTGTGTACAAAACAGAACAGGTTCACTTCCTAGCATTTACAGGTAGGGCTTGGGAGAAGCCCTGTCTGAAATCCTGGAAAGCCACTGCCAGTGTAGACAATACTGCACTTAATTTTGAGGTTTCTATGATGCAAAAAGCATCATTGTGCAATATACAACTTACTTGTATTTCCCCTGATTCTCCTTTACCTACTGTCGTATGCTTCTCAAATTCTGCCTTTTCTTTCTGCAATTTCAGGGCTTCCTCAGTCTTGCACTGTTCCAGGGAATGCAACTTCTGCGACCTCTTGGCCTCAAATTGATTTATTTGTCTTCTGTTGAAAAAGAAACAAAGGGGTGATGTAAAAGAACAGGGTATCACATGTACAGGAACTCAAAGGTTTGTTTTCACAGATCTGAGCCTTGGGCATTTTTTTTTAAATTGGGGGAATGTGCTTAATACTACCTGTATTAAAACCAGGTATGTCATAGTCTTGAAGAAATCTATCTGTACTGGACCACAAGGCTGGAATGGAGTGCTGTTACCCTCATGTCCTTCTCAAATTTTGTGGTGTCTTCCAAATAAAGCTCAATAACTTTGCGGGCGTCAGGATTTTTTGAAATCCGGCAAGCCTAGTTTAGTAGAACTTGGAACTTTTGCACTATTCTATGACATTTTGTTTGGCTTGTGAAAGGTCTTTCCCTGATTTGGCTTGATAACGCCATCTGCGCACTCAGTTGCAGGCTGGTTTATATCAGTGTACAGGTGACACTGAAAGAACTTATAATTTCAGAAGCTTCTAAGACTAGACGGCAAAGTTTGGAAACCTAAATAGCAATGCTTTAAATAAAGATAATGATGTTGTTCTTTGCCTCAGATACAAAGGGATTGCACAAGAGCTACCCACGGGAAGGATGGCATATGAATTCCTATAGGAAAATAACCACAAACAATTTCCTTACCTAAGAAAGTCCATGGCTTTTGCTTGTTCTTCTTTCATCTGAGCTAGGAGAGAAGTTTCTCTCTGATGCACCTGAACTTCCGGTTCACATTCTAACTTATCAGTGTGCCTTTTCTGCACTTGCTCTACAAAGAGATTTATGTTAACATGTGTTAAAGCACAAGTCAGTCAAGTCAGTCTGTGTAACCATTTTGGTTGAATTTGATAACGGAAGTGTCTTCAACAAAGCTTTTCTACTGTACCATTTATCTGAGCTTGCTGAATGCAAGCTGAATTTTCTGGATATTAAATAAAAATCACTTGTCATTTTAAAATGTCTTACCTGGAGTAGCTCTTTTATCATCCACTTTTGCTTTGCTTTTGAAAGCAGGGAAAAGGTTGGCCACAAGATCACTTGTCAAGGAAGGAGGTTGCAAATTGTACTCTGCACTGTAATTGCTGGCAACACCGTTGCTCTGTGTTTTAGACTTCCTTCCTCCTCTTCTAGTTTTTGAGGGGTGACAGGAAGATCTTCTAAGGGGGGAGAGAGTCTTTCCAAATTTCAGGCTGCCATCATCAACACTAGATTCATTGCTGCTGCTGCTGCTGCTGCTGCTACTACTACTACTTGTGATAAGAGTGGCCTCCTGTTGACCTGCTGGCTCCTGAACACCAAACTTACTGGCAGGCAATTTTCCATGGTTTTTCAATGAGTAATCATCAGCTCCACTGGGTTCATCAGTGGCATAGTCAGCATCAGAAAGATCCATGTTCTTGCCAATGTTAGCTGGTCTATGGTTACTAGGCCTTATTGCGTACTGAGAGCAATGAGATTTAGGTTCATCTTCACTATCAGTAGATGTGCAGAGTGAATCACTAGAGAGGTGTTTTCCTTCCCATGCATTAGCAGCACCTGCATTGCTGTTCATTTGGAAATTAGCCATTGTGGTGACACATTTTCTATCTGATTTAGGTGTAACTTTTATTATTTGATCATTGACTTTCTTAAACCCAGGGTTGACTTCCACTTGGCCCTCTGGGCTTTTCCCCTCAGCAATACAATGCTCATTTTCACATTGTCTAATCTGAGTCACACTTTGAGCAACCTGAAGTCCAGAGCTCTGCTCCTCTTGATTGTCTTGGTTGCTTTCTAAGTTATGAAGCTCAGGGGTATCTGGTGAAGCATCAATGGACCTTCCTACCACCTGTGATACACTGTCTTCTAAGTTCTCCATAAGCCACATTGGAACCTTAAAATCCAGGGATCTCTTGTCAACCCTAACCAAATGATCTTGAGACCCAAGACTTGAGGTTTCATTTTTTTCAATCACCTTTGCTTTAACGTCAATTATTTGTTCATGACATTCCTGTGAACATTTGGACCTGTCAAACTGAGGTGGTACACCAGATACTTCTCCATTTACCATCCCTTTGCTATCACAACCACCAGATTCGCTGCTGTCTTTTATTTCATCTGACCTTCGCTCGCAATTATGAAGCTGGCCTTTTACATCCCCCTTGAAGGTGATACAATGTGTGTTTTCATCATCCATGATCAGCACGGTGGGGCTAGTGACCTGCCTTTTCAGTTGTGGGTGTTTCCCCAATAGTTCTTCTGCATCCCATTGAGAAGGCCATGAGAAATTATTTTGACAATCAGAGCTAATGCGTCTAGGAAATCTGGCTGGTTCCTTGCCAACACTGTTTCTCTTTTTTTCAAGCCTTGCAGTCCCTTCCCCACGTTTCAGAAATGACTTCTGAGCAGTGACTTTAGTCTCACGGGAGTTCTGTAAGGAAGACAGTGACATTAAAATGTGGTGAGATATCTCATAAGTTCTAATAAATAATGAATCCCAATAAAACAAGCAATCTCAAAGAGCTTGGGTGTGAATTTCCAAAGTTTCTGAAGAGAAGAATTCTGGCTCCAAAGACAATGGTTAGCCTCCTCTTGATTTTATTGGGGATTTATCATAGGCTGCAGCGTTAGGGGTCCTCCACCTCAAGATGGTGGTGGTTTCCCACAAGTAAGTATGTATGCCAGGCCACTGCCGGCAACCTGGTGTTCTCCCGACCTCATGGCCAGCTCGCTTGATGCCTGTCCCAAGGAATGACTCTGACACACACAGAGAGACACCTGCTGATCCTATTTGTCTCAAACCTTACATCTACACACCAGAGTGTATAATCCGAAGCCCTGCAAACATAGGAGCTTCCAATTTTCTTCTATGGGCCCAAAGGTGTTGTTTATATATGAGAAGTCCTCAATAAAGAATGCCAGGCATGTTCCTGTTCACAGAAGAGAGCAATGAAACCCCTGTTCAAAGAATGAATCATGCCAAATGGGTTTCAAAATCATGCAGAACCATAGGGTTTCAGCAGCATGACAAACATTATATTAACACAACTTATGCTCTCGTACCTGTTGCTGCTTCTCTGCTTGTTGAGAATCGACTTTAAGTTGCTCCTCAACAAATTCCTCAAATGTCTTCCGCCTCACTCCAATTCCAGGTCTGATCGGTCTAGGGAAATAATAAAGCAGATTTGAACATAAATATTCTGCAGCCATTTTCCATGATGACGAATGGAGGCTGAGGCATGTTACGCTGCTTCAAACTTGGAAGGGGAAATAGCAGAATATTAATAAGAGAAGGGGCAATGGATATCCTACCATTGCGTTCCCCCCCCCAAGAGGTTCAGAATTTCCTCACTGTGTCAAGTCTAATTAGCTCACATTTATCAACACCCTCATGGGGAAAGGGCCACAGCTCAGCAATAAAATATCTGCTTTACATGCAGAAGGAGAACCTGCCAAAAATCATAGAAAGCCACTGCTACTCTCTGTAGACCATACTGAGCTAGATGGACCAAGAGTCTGAAGAAGTATACGGCAGCTGTCTATGTCCGTGGACTGATTTTATGCTAGTTTCTTAATTTTAAGCTTGAAATAATTCTGTTCATGTAAAAATGCTTCCATCTCTAGACAGTATTGAATATGGATGGTGTAAAGATTATCAAGGGATCCCTCCTATATGAGGGGTGAGGAACCTATGGTCCATGGGCTGGATCTCACCCAGTACTGAATTTCATCTGGACTGCTTTTAAAGTGTGGGTCTTTAAAGGTTTAGAGAGCTTTGAAAGTGCAAACCAGATTGGGAGACAGCTGGGCCAATCTGCACATTCAAACCTCCCTCTCCCTTCTCAGGTGGGAAAGTACAGATCAGCACCAGTTGTCTGCTGATGTGATACAGCAGTACCTCAGGTTACAGACACTTCAGGTTGCAGACTCCGCTAACCCAGAAATAGTACCTTGGGTTAAGAACTTTGCTTCAGGATGAGAACAGAAATCGTGTGGTGGCAGCGGGAGGCCCCATTAGCTAAAGTGGTACCTCAGGTTAAGAACAGTTTCAGGTAAAGAACAGACCTCCAGAACGAATTAAGTTCTTAACCCAAGGTACCACTGTACATGCTTTCAGTGGCGGAAACCTGGACTGGGTCAGCAATCAGCCACTCAATACACATTTTCAAAACTCTCTTCAGGAACTTTTTACTTTTGTGTGGCCCCTGATTGACTCCTCGCCCCTCCACCCCATGGAACTTTGGCTCCTGAGAGAAAAGTTTCCCCATCCCTATCCTATACAAAAAGGGGATAAATAAAATGTGCTCCTTTCCCCACTTAACATTTGCACCAAACCTTCCACCAGTTCTAAATGTTTTAACAGTTTTAGAATTGTTTAATGTTTTAAGAGTTTTATATTAGATTTTCCCCTCACCTGTCATCTACATTCCGTGTCTTCATGTTCATTCTTAATCCAAAGGGGGAAAGAGAAGCATTTTCCTCTAACTGTTGCTCCCCTCTTTGTTCTGTAACAGGTGGCCAAGTTTCAAGCCAAGGTTCTCTACCTGGCAGACTTGCTTCTAAATATCAGGAAAGAACGAAAAGAATAAAGGCTTTTACTACATTAATTAGGTCTCTTGAAAAGGGGAGGGGAGAAGGAGGGGAAACTGGTAACAATGTCCCAGGGAAACTTTTCCTGTATTAAAGGGTGGAAATATACTCCCAAAATAGAAGCTGTCTGTGGACAAATGGTGGCTCCCTCGGCCTGATAGTGAGATGAGCGCCGCAACCCCATGTTGTTGTTTAGTCGTTTAGTCGTGTCCACCTCTTCGTGACCCCATGGCCCAGAGCATGCCAGGCACTCCTGTCTTCCACTGCCTCCCGCAGTTTGGTCAGACTCATGTTTGTAGCTTCGAGAACACTGTCCAACCATCTCGTCCTCTGTCGTCCCCTTCTCCTTGTGCCCTCCATCTTTCCCAACATCAGGGTCTTGTCCAGAGAGTCTTCTCTTCTCATGAGGTGGCCAAAGTATTGGAGCCTCAGCTTCACGATCTGTCCTTCCAGTGAGCACTCAGGGCTAATTTCCTTAAGAATGGATGTGTTTGATCTTCTTGCAGTCCATGGGACTCTCAAGAGTCTCCTCCAGCACCATAATTCAAAAGCATCAATTCTTCGGCGATCGGCCTTCTTTATGGTCCAGCTCTCACTTCCATACATCACTACTGGGAAAACCATGGCTTTAACTATACGGAACTTTGTTGGCAAGGTGATGTCTCTGCTTTTTAAGATGCTGTCTAGGTTTGCCATCGCCTTTCTCCCAAGGAGCAGGCGTCTTTTAATTTCGTGACTGTTGTCACCATCTGCAGTGATCATGGAGCCCAAGAAAGTAAAATCTCTCACTGCCTCCATTTCCTCCCCTTCTATTTGCTAGGAGGTGATGGGCCCAGTGGCCATGATCTTCGTTTTTTTGATGTTGAGCTTCAGACCATATTTTGCGCTCTCCTCTTTCACCCTCATTAAAAGGTTCTTTAATTCCTCATCACTTTCTGCCATCAAGGTTGTGTCATCTGCATATCTGAGGTTGTTGATATTTCTTCCGGCAATCATAATTCCGGCTTGGATTCATCCAGCCCAGCCTTTCGCATGATGAATTCTGCATATAAGTTATATAAGCAGGGAGACAATATACAGCCTTGCCGTACTCCTTTCCCAATTTTGAACCAATCAGTTGTTCCATATCCAGTTCTAACTGTAGCTTCTTGTCCCACATAGAGATTTCTCAGGAGACAGATGAGGTGATCAGGCACTCCCATTTCTTTAAGAAATTGCCAAGAGTTTGCTGTGGTTAACACAGTCAAAGGCTTTTGCATAGTCAATGAAGCAAAAATAGATGTCTTTCTGGAACTCTCTAGCTTTCTCCATAATCCAGCGCATGTTTGCAATTTGGTCTCTGGTTCTTCTGCCTCTTCTAAATCCAGCTTGCACTTCTGGGTGTTCTCGGTCCATATACTGCTTGAGCCTTCCTTGTAGAATTTTAAGCATAACCTTGCTAGCGTGTGAAATGAGTGCAATTGTGCGGTAGTTGGAGCATTCTTTGGCACTGCCCTTCTTTGGGATTGGGATGTAGACTGATCTTCTCCAATCCTCTGGCCACTGCTGAGTTTTCCAAACTTGCTGGCATATTGAGTGTAGCACCTTAACAGCATCATCTTTTAAAATTTTAAGTAGTTCAGCTGGAATATCATCACTTCCACTGGCCTTGTTATTTGCAGTGCTTTCTAAGGCCCATTTGACTTCACTCTCCAGGATGTCTGGCTCAAGGTCAGCAACCACACTACCTGGGGTATACGAGACATCCATTTCTTTCTGGTATAGTTCCTCTGTGTATTCTTGCCACCTCTTCTTGATGCCTTCTGCTTCTGTTAGGTCCTTACCACTTTTGTCCTTTATTATGGTAATCTTTGTACGAAATGTTCCTTTCATATCTCCAATTTTCTTGAACAGATCTCTGGTTCTTCCCATTCTGTTGTTTTCCTCTATTTCTTTGCTTTGCTCGTTTAAGAAGGCCTTCTTGTCTCTCCTTGCTATTTTTTGGAAATCTGCATTCAATTTCCTGTAACTTTCACTATCTCCCTCGCATTTTGCTTGCCTTCTCTCCCCCGCTATTTGTAAGGCCTCGTTGGACAGCCACTTTGCTTTCTTGCATTTCCTTTTAACTGGGATGGTTTTAGTTGCTGCCTCCTGTATGATGTTACGAGCCTCCATCCATAGTTCTTCAGGCACTCTGTCCACCAAATCTAAATCCTTAAACCTGTTCCTCACTTCCACTGCGTATTCATAAGGGATTTGACTTAGATTGTATCTTACCGGCCCAGTGGTTTTTCCTACTTTCTTCAGTTTAAGCTTGAATTTTGCTATAAGAAGCTGATGATCTGAGCCACAGTCCACTCCAGGTCTTGTTTTTGCTGACTGTATAGAGCTTCTCCATCTTTGGATGCATAGAATATAATCAATCTGATTTCGATGCTGCCCATCTGGTGATGTCCATGTGTAGAGTCGTCTCTTGTGTTGTTGGAAGAGTGTTTGTGATGACCAGCTTGTTCTCTTGGCAGAACTCTATTAGCCTTTGCCCTGCTTCGTTTTGAACTCCAAGACCAAACTTGCCAGTTGTTCCTTTTATCTCTTGACTCCCTACTTTAGCATTCCAATCCCCTGCTTGGCAGGGGGGTTGGACTCGATGGCCCTTGTGGTCTCTTCCAACTCTATGATTCTATGATTCTAAGAACATCCTTCTTTGGTGTCAGTTCTATAAGGTGTTGTAAGTCTTCATAGAATTGGTCAATTTCAGTTTCTTCAGCACCAGTGGTTGGTGCATAAACTTGGATTACTGTGATGTTAAAAGGTCTGCCTTGGATTCGTATCGAGATCATTCTATCATTTTTGAGATTGCATCCCAATACAGCTTTTGCCACTCTTTTGTTGGCTATGAGGGCCACTCCATTTCTTTTATGGGATTCTTGCCCACAGTAGTAGATATGATGGTCATCCGAACTGAATTCGCCCATTCCCGTCCATTTTAGTTCACTGATGCCCAGGATGTCAATATTTATTCTTGCCATCTCATTTTTGACCACATCCAACTTACCAAGGTTCATGGTTCTTACATTCCAGGTTCCTATGCAATATTTTTCTTTACAGCATTGGACTTTCCTTTCGCTTCCAGGCATATCCGCAACTGAGCGTCCTTTTGGCTTTGGCCCAGCCGCTTCATCAGCTCTGGATCTACTTGTACTTGTCCTCCGCTCTTCCTCAGTAGCATGTTGGACGCCTTCCGACCTGAGGGGCTCATCTTCCAGCGTCATAACTTTTATATGCCTGTTGTCTTTGTCCATTGAGTTTTCTTGGCAGGGATACTGGAGTGGCTTGCCGGTTCCTGCTCCAGGTGGATCACGTTTGGTCAAAACTCTCCACTATGACCTGTCCATCTTGGGTGGCCCTGCACGGCATAGCTCATAGCTTCTCCGAGTTATTCAAGCCCCTTCGCCACGGCAAGGCAGTGATCCATGAAGGGGCGCAACCCCATAGTCGCCTTTGAATGGACTTAACCATCCAGGGGTCCTTTACTTTTACCTTTTACTCCCAACTAGGATTGGTGGACAATTTTGGTTCACTCTGTAATTTGGAGGGAAACTCTCTGGTCCACATTCAATGGTTCATGCTCAAATTAGAACTTAGACACATAGGTTCAATTGCATGTCTACAAACCCTTCCAAATCTGATTCACTCCAACTTATGTTTTATGGGCGTGTGTGTGTGTGTGTGAGAGAGAGAGAGAGAGAGAGAGAGAGAGAGACGGAATAAGAATTTTTTTAAAAAAATCATTCATTCTGTGTTTCTTTCTTCTGTTCAAACCACTGCTAGGTGCTTGCAGCTTTACTTTGGTTATTTTACTTTAGCTCATCACCTTTTTCGTGAGGTTCAGGGTGCTCCCTTGAAACTTCTAAGAAGTTGCTGTTTGCTGAGGTTTCTGTGGCAAGTTGCTGCAACGTAGGCTTTATTATTAAGGGACTGGTTTGTGAGCTTCCATTATTCTGAGCTTGCAAAGAATTATCCAAAGGGAATTGGACAGGGAATAAAGCAGCTGGGACTCTTGGAAGGGATGGGATCATAGCAAGAAGGTGAGGAGGAATACCAGCAGAAGCTGAAAAGCCTGGATAAAGAAACAAAGCAAGGAGCAAAAATTAGTGTGGTCCTTGATGTCTATTTCCCATTTATCCAGAAAGTATCTACTAAACAGACTCCACACTAAAAACAAATGATTTATCTACCTCAGTGCCAAACTAGTTGCCCAACCTTTCTGAAGGCTATTGATTGTTTGCTTCTGAATGCACATATGGTGAAACTACAGGCAACTCCAGATGAGATCTTAAAATGTGTATGTAGATTATTGATATTATCACAAATGGGTTGCCAGCATCAGCTTTTTCTTCAACTTTTGATAAACTCTAGGTGCTTCCAGATGGGGGCTGAATTTTCAAATAGGTCACTGATATATCTCAAACAGGCTGTTGACTAGAGGCTATTTCTACTTACTGGATTTTCCCTGGGTATGGAGAATAAAAGGGTATGGAGACAAGCTGGAATTTTGATGCCAATGATGTGTGGGTACTACCAAAAAAAATGCATCCATGAGGGGACCTATCATCTTACAATAAACACCTGTCTAGACGCCCCCTATTTCATCTATGTCTATCATTTATCAACAGAAAAGGATGTTTTGTTTGTGATGCTTTAATAGGCACTAGAATTGTTTTTGTGGAGAAAGCCAAGCATCATTAGAATGTCCCACTTACCCAATCCTCCTGAAATCCCCTGTAATTTCTTGCATCCACCCTGCTCTTTTGAAATGTGTTTATAAAAACCAGAACCTTGGGTCAAGATGACCCAAAGACCTGTGGTTATTTTTATAGCCTCCTCAAAATATGCTGGAAGATATAACACACTGATGAAAAAGGCAGGAATCTGACATTCCTTGTAGTACCTGAATTAAAGAACGAAATTATTTTCTGCTGTTCAGCTACTAGCTGTTGAAGGTGCTCCATTTGGTGCATTATGAGCTGTTCCTGCTGCCCTGGACACTGAAAGAAGAAAATAAAATGAAAAATTGTCTAATTTACCCCTTAAAAGCAGTACGACAAGGATGGGGAACTTGTGGCCCTCCAGATTGTTGGGCTCCAACTCCCATCTGCCCCAGCACGGCCAATGGTTAGGGATTATGGGAGTTGTAGGTCAACAACCAATGGAGGTCCACAGCTTCCTCATCTCTCCACTGGGCTTAAATTAGTCATGGAACTACAATCCTATGCACATCTGAGAGTAAATTGCACTGAGTACAATGGAACTTGCTTCCAAGTAATGTATAGTCAAGTAATATATGGTCAAGACAGATAAAAGAAAGTATTTCTTCACACAGCACAGTTAAAACTACAGGATTCACTCCCACAGTGATGGCCACCAATTTGGAGAATTAAATAAATTCATGGAGGATGCAGCTATAAGACTCTCTCAAGGCAAATCTAAAAAAAATGTAATATAAACACTGACAATTGGGAAACACTGGCCTGCGAGTGTTCCAGTTAGAGAACAGCTTTTACCAGGGACTTTGAAGATGCTTAAACTCAGGACAAAAAGGAGAAACGTGCTAAGAGGAAGGCATGTTTGGCAAACCCTCACCGTGATCATCTCCCATCTGGAAACCTATTTCCCCGCTGTGGAAGGACATGTGGATCCAGAAATGGCCTTCACAGTCACTTACAGACTCACTGTTAAGACTGTGTTCATGGAAGACAATCTTACTCAGCTGCGAGTGATCACCAAAGAAGAAGGAGTTCTAGTTTCACTGCAGGGAGGCAGTATGCCTCTGAATATCAGTTACTGGGAATCACAAGGGGGGAGAATGCAGTTTCATTCAGGTAAGGCTAGCCTATTTCCCATAGGCATCTCATTGGACACTGTGGGAACAGGATCCTGGACCCAGCAGGCTTGCGGCCTGATACAGTAGGGCTCTTTGTTGTTAAATGCAGATTATATCTTTAAGGGAGTGTGGCATTTGCCCATTCATTTAGAAAATGTTTGAACAGGTGGGAAAGATAGACCAATAGGAAAGCCGGAGGCGGAGCCTCCCTGTGTATAAAAAGGCTTAGCCCGAGATTTGAGTTAGTTGTTGTTGTTGTTGGGAGTTGTTGGTGGGTAGTTGGTTGGTTTCAGTGGGTTGGCTGGTTGGGAAAGGCAGTTGGAGAAGCAGTTGGTAGGCAGTTGGTAACAGAGTGACAGTTAGGGCAGTGGGTTCTTGAGTGAGGGGAGGCAGAAGGGATAGAGAGAGGAAAATAAGACTAAGAAAGTAAAGAGTAACAACGTTTGGAATGCCGTAAAAGTTTGTTTGTGACTGAAATAAAATACACTCTTCTCTATTAATTGAGAACCTGACTGAGGCTGAAGTGATTTTACCGGGGAGGACCTGGTTGGTGGCAGCGATTAGTGGTGTACGGGTCAATAGTCCGTGAGACGACCGGGGGCTCCGTACGAACGCCACAGGGAGGAATAAACAACTACCTCTCACGTTATCCTTAATCATTAGCCATTACTGGGTGGGGCTGATGGTAGTTGAAGTCCAGGTAATCCATTTATTTAGCATTCATCATAATTTGCCTGCACAAAACTTACATGGTTGTCAGAATATGTACTTATATAGGGCATTCATTCTGATTTGTTTACAGGGCAGTTGGACAGCAACATACTTTCATCCTCATTTGCTTGTGAGGTGTTTACATGCTGCCCCATTAATCATTCAATCATCTCACATTTTTCAGTCCATTTCCCCATCACTTTCTTAACCACAAAATGTCCATTTTAAAATTATTTTTAAAAGTGGATTTGTTGTACTAGAACAACAGAGTGCTTTAATACACTTTAACTGTGGAAATCCTAAAGTTCCAGTGTGCGTTTAAATTCCTCCTGTAAAATAGTGACAGTCTGGAGACACCTTTTGTTTTGAATAGACACTAGTGCAGTATTCAGCAGGGTGTACAGAATTAGAGGGTTTGGATTGTAATAATGTTAACTTAGCTTAAATGGAACGCAACCTCACCTGTTTCTCGTTTTGACAGCATATAGCATCTTGAGTTATCAGAGGAGGAGGAGAAGTAGTAGCGGCAGCATTTGGGATTCCCAGGGTTTCACTGGTTTTACCAGCAGGTACTGTTCCTGCCTGAGTTGGTGGTAATAAGTGAGGAAAAAGAATAGAGCTGGCTGTGTAACTGAATGGCTTGGCATCCTGAAAGGTTTGAAGGTGGCCTAGGTCACCAGGTAGGCCAACGTCTCTTTCCAGTGTGCTGGACGTATTCAAGGATGTAAACTGTGCAGGAAAGGGGCTGTTTGTGCTGCTTACCCAACCCAGACTTAAGGAAGATCCCGTTGTTTCATCAGTTGTGCTATGACATGATGCTTGGGCTGGTGAATCTTTTACAACCTGCTCAGATAAACAGTCTTTCCTCTTGAAAATATCTGATTCCATTTTCCACCTTTTGAAACTCTTCTTATGGAACTGTGAATGTAGCTGAAAATGAGTAAAGCTTGTGGAAACTAATCCTAATGTCCTTCATTTTGATTTAACAGAATAGGGGTTTTTTGCACTGAAGGGTAAAGTTCTTTTTTTCAATAAAACCTGGAAAAAATATGCAGTAGTCAGGTTTTAAGTAGCTAAACAGTAAACATTAAGTAAGCTGTTGCTGTTGTTGTTGTTATTTATTCTAAACACCACCTTTCCTCCAAAGAGCTCAAGGCAAAATAGATAATTCTCTCCTTCCTCCCCTCTCCATATTATCATTTTCTCAAAAGCACTGGGGTCTTCTTGTTGACAGAATGATGGACTCACACTAATGCAGATCTTAGTTTGTTCTACCTGTCCCGCTTTATTGAACTTTCTATAGAACGTAGCATGTTTTAGTGATGAAGAGTTTGTGGTGGAAATGTGAGGATGAGAAGGGATTGGAGTGAACCCACAAATATCAGTTGTATCCAGATGCCAGGATTTCTCTTAGCCCCTGCCAATACTGTATTCTTAGCCACATAAAGACAGCAGTGGTTTTGTACAGAATCCCTCAGTAGCTGCCTTGGTAAAAACTAATCATGTTGCTAGATGCCTTTATACAGGCTCTGTGCCGCTACACGTGCCTCAAATGGATTGAACCCTTCCTCACATCTACACACTTGGTAGTTTTGGTCAAGGGCACAGACACTCTCTGTCATTGGCCAGCCACTACCTAATGATGGAAGTCAAAAGTGGACACACCATCACCCTGGCCATGGCTGAAAGAACCTCCACGTGGAAGAACAACAGAGAATACTTTAACAATTAAAGACTAACACAGGGATAATGGCATAATAAGCTTTGAAAGACTAGAGTTGGTCAACAACCTCTCTGATTTTGCTGCAATGGATTAACCTGGAAGCCATCTAATGAGGCCCTCTTGTCCAATCCCCTGGCCTGTTTCAAAATATCCTACTGCATTAAAAACAGCTCGGCATGGTGCTTGTGTTAGCTTTTGAAAACAAAACAAAACAAAACAAAACACCCAAAAACTAAGATTTCACAGCTGTTCTGAGCAGTTTCAGTCCAGAACTATATAGCAATTCAGCAAAAGTTTTCTTAAGGTTTAACTAACGTCATTTCTGAACACTTTTTTCTTATTATAGTTTTTGTGACACACACACTTTAAAAAATGCAGCAAGTGCAAGAATAGTCAATGTTATAACAGCAGCCATTTGCGCGTTTGAGAGGTTTAAGATGAAATACTCAAAATCAGATTACGAAACTGCAAAAGGCACCTGCTTAATACAATCCTATGCACCTCCATGGGAACACCGTGAAATTTACTCTTGAGTGAAGCTGGCTCTTAGGTACTATTTGGTACAAGGTTCATGCATTATTGTCCAAGCATGAAACATAACGACTGAGACTAGTGGGAATTGCTCCCAGGGAACTGTGAGCAGGATTGTAGCCTTGGGATAGCAAAGAACTTGAACCATACACTTCAGTCACACAGCCATCAGAAATGCTGTAAGGAAATAGCATTAAAACGCCATGAGTGTGCTATGTATCCCCAGCAAAATGTGCCAAGGAGCCAGTGTGGTTCTAGACTAGGGCCAGGACATCCCAGGGTTCCAATCCCCACTCAGCCACGAAGCTCACTGGGTACGCTTGGTCCAATCACTGTCTCACAGCCGAACCTACCTCACAGGGTTGTTGTGAGGAGAAAATGAAAATCAAGAACACCACCTTGAGCAACTCTGCGGAAAGGTGGGCTGGGTTTGTGACAGACGAAAGAGTCCCCCTCTGGCGCTCATCCAGACGCGTCTTCTCCACTCTGACCGTCTCAGTCGCTGCTGTGTCTGCATAGGAAGCCTCCCGGGGCTTGAAGGAAAAGACCTAATCCTTCGAGGAGCCACAGCGAGGCGTCGAGGGCTGCCGGCGTAGCTACAGCAACCGTAAACAGGAAGGGCTGAAGCCTCGGCTCGCCGAAGGGGCGGGGAGGGGCGGCAGCGCGGGGAACCCCGCTTTATCCCCCCCCCCCCCGTCGGAAGAGAGCTGCTGTGCTCCTCGCCTCGCCGAGACAGCCCTGGTGGGAAGCTTCTCCGAGGGGCGCGGAGGGCATTGCAGAGAACAGAGCAGATCCTGGACGTGCACAACCGGCAGGTCCTCCCCCCTCGTAGGCTCAGCCTCTCAAGCAGCGTCCCTAGGCCCCACCACGTGGCTCCGGGATCGGCAAGGAGCACTGGAGAAGGAAGTGTTGCCACTGCCCCGTCCCGGCCGAGACCCACCTCGGGCTGAGGGGGCAGACCCCACACATCCCTGGGAGGCGAGAGGGGGGCGCGCGCAAGGCCAGCTCCCTGCAGGATTTCGCGCGCTTCCCGTGGTTCCATAACTGCAAGCCCAGCTCAGCTACAAAGAAGTGCATGCATGGCTACATTCTGCAGGGTCGCCTCCATTTCTCTGCTGGGACTTTTGTCTTCTGCTTCTGCACTTTCCTAGCTTCCAGTACGACACCATCAAGTTCAGCTACTGGCTTGCACGGGATTGTCAAGTCCTTCGTTGGAAGCATTGCCGTCCTCATCTCCTCGCTTTCTTCTTTTATTGGGGCCCGAGCTATAAACTTTGATTGCAGTTAGAAGTGTGGGAGAAAGGAGGGGGAAGCCCTGTGGCAAGAGCGCAATTTCACTCATGCAGGCAGGGCAAGATACAACCCACGGTATTGTGATACGTTTGTGGGGTGCCTGGACCCCTTTTCTAATTTCTAGATGCCAGGCATAGTAAAATTGTTGTTGTTTCAGTTATATACTGCCCTTTATCAAAATATCTCATGGCAGTGCAGAACATTAAAAACACATTGGAAACATTGATAATCTCATAATAAAAGCACGGAGAAAGGCATCCTGAGCGACAGCCTATTAGTAAAATAGCCATCATAATAACAGTCTTCTCCACACTTTCACAGAACAAACCAGTCTTCCTGAGTCCAAGCCAACCTGAATAGCCAAGAAAGAAAGACAGGGTCAAGATCCATTCAGGGAGCCATCAACAAGGCAAAGAATTTTTGCCCAGGTGAATCTTTGCCCAGCCCAGAACATCTCCCAAGGCACAGAGTTCACCATTCCACCTGCCCAAAGTGCAGGTAGAACTACTGCCAGCAGGCTCTCTTGTCAGCAGCAACCCACTCAGAGTCCCCCAATAGAGTTTCACATGGGGGGACTGTGCCTGCCCAGGTTCCTCTGGCTCCTGAAGCAGCCCCAGTGCCATCACTTGATGACACTGGGCCGGATTGCCACACCATCTCCAGGCTAGCACAACCCACAAGCGTGCCCGGGCCAGCATGAGCGATGGGGTAGCGGGTGTAGCAGTGGCTCTGCTGCTGTGTCTTGCCCTGCCTCCACCTGGCCAGTGTATAGATTTCTCAGTCAGACTCATCTTCATGCTGCTCTGTCACTGTATTGGTAATAAAACTAGTGAAACACTATGCCATCTTAGGAAAATAATTTAATCTGCAACACAAAAATCTTTTCATGTTGTGGGGGGGGTGTCAGTCTGGATAATGCCCTGAGTCCCTTCCCATTCTTGGGGCCCTGTATCCAGTGAGGGCTAAAATCTAATAAAGGAGGTTGCTGAGCTGGTCAGCCATGTTTCTTTGGCCGCTAAGTGTCCCCATCAGCATCCCAAAACAATGAGCTAGGTTGCAGGAACTACAAGGAAGTAATGCTGCCCTCCAGGCTAATGGGTGGGCCTTTTCTCCAGACCCACTCACCTAGCTACTAATTATGAGGACAGTAGCCAGAAGCGTTATGTGTGAAGAAGCTGGAAGCAGGAGACACAGAGACATGCTTGCTCTCTGCTTGATCCAAAGCTGCAACTAATAGAGAAGCAAGATCTTCTGGGGTGTTCATACTGAAAGGTTATGCTCAGGTTGTATATATGCAGAAATGAAAACAAAGTTTCAAGCCAATCCAGCTAAAGATAAAGAATTGAGGAGCTTTATTTTTTAAAAAGCAATTGTCAAAAACTTTTCAACCACACTAGAAATCCAGTCAGTTACAAATTGTTTCTACTCTAAGTTACAAAAATAATATACAGCTAAGAGAAGTGCTTTTTAGTAAAGAGTATTTTGTGAATACTACTCAGACATATAATGAATATAATGAATACTACTCAGACATACAGTGGTACCTCTAGATACGAACGGGATCCGTTCCGGAGCCCTGTTCGCATCTAGAGGTAAATGTAACTAGCGACGGCACGTCTGCGCACGCACGCATCACTTTTCACCGTTCTGCTCATGCGTGTGATGTCATTTTGAGCGTCTGCGCATGCGCAAGTGGCAAAACCCGGAAGTAACGGAGCAACTCGAACACGCTCAATTCGAAGCATATTTAACCCGAGGTATGACTGTATAATGTACCAGCTGCACTGGCCTCCCATCAGCTCTGCTCTCAGGATGCTCTCCTTTATCCTCAGGTTGGTCATCTGCAAAAGATACTCTGAGCTCTGTTGGTCTGAAAGATCCCAAGGTTTCTGCATCCAATATGGATACCACTTGCCTTGGCCTCAAGTCAGCTAAGCTCCCAGTATGTGCACCTTCAGCATCATCATAGTCATCTGCAAAAGCCACTCTGCGCTCTGCTTGTTTGAATGATCCCAAAGTTTCTGCATCTGATACTGGTATCTCCTGCACTGGCCTCGTATCAGCTCTGCCCTCAAGATGCTCTCCTTTGTCTTCAGGTTGGTCATCTGCGAAAGCCACTCTGCGCTCAGCTGGTTTTGTAGATTCTGGAGTTTCTGCATCTGAAATGGTTAGCACCTGTACTGGCCTCAAGTTAGTTATACTACCAAAGTGCACATCTTCGTCATCATAATGGTCATCTGCAAAAGCCACATTGCGCTCTCCTGACATTTCTTCATCTGATGTGGGCAGCACCCATACCAGTTTCGGCTTCAACTCTTTTGTGGTATCAAGTTTCTCTTCTTCTTCTTCACCATCATATTCATTGACAAAAGCCACTACATCTTCTCTTTTATGGGGAATGCGTTCCGACTGTTTTGTAGATTCAAAAGTTTCTGCATCTGACATGGTTAGTTCCTTTTTTGGCCTCAAATCAATTTCACTTACAAATTTCTCTTCATCATCAGCCTCATATGTGTTTAGAAAAGCCAACACATCTTCTTTTTTGTAGGAAATGTATTCTGGATGTCTTATCAATCCACTTTCACTTTTAAATGATGTTTCTGGTGTGCTTAGCTCTTGCATTGGCATTAAATCTGTTTTTCTTTCAACCTGTTCTTGTGAGTCAATCTCCAATGTCCCAGCAGAAGATTTTGGTTCTGCTTTTGTCAAAGGCCCTGTTGCATCTGACTTCATTATGCTTTTTAATGATTTCACACTGAATGATTTAATACTAAATCCTTTTGAATGACAAGATTGAGTCTCATCACCAGCATAAATGGTTTTTGTGTAGGAGGAAGTTAGAGCCTGAAAAAAAAGAAATACAGTAAAATTATTATAGGGACTTTTTTAAAAAATGTATTAATTTTCTTTTTTTCTAATGAGAAATTGCTATAGGGACTTGATAGGATGAAGAATCTGATGCAAACAATATATGATCTTAAGAACTGTCTCTGTCTTCATATACCCTGCCCCAAGGATCATCACTGTTCTTAGAAATTAAGAAAGCTTCATCAAATAATATTGAAATCTAAACATTTGCCTATTAAATAACAAAATCCACAGAATCTTAATGATGACTCAAAGCTCTTCCCACAAGAAATCGATAACCAAAACAATTTCAGGAGCATATTCTCTGGGTCAAAACTGAATCCCAACAAATTGAGTCACATTGGGTTGGTGGGGTCATAGTCATAGTCACGCAGTGTTTGGTGTGCTTGTGTTGTTTGTTGGTGTTGAATAGTATTAATTTCTGTAGCATTTTAAATTAGTGCTAAAAAAAAAAATCATACCTACACTAAGGGAAACTGCACAGCCAGGATCACCTACACTTTTGCCCTGTACAGATGGTTACAAAATTCTGTGGCAAAGCCAGATTCTACTTGCTTAGAACAGAGTGTAGAATAATGGTATTTACCCCTAACGAAGGAGTGGGTGATTGCCAAGGAACTATGGTGTTTGTTATCACACATACAGAAGCATTAAGATAGTTTTTCGATGACTGTGTTGTTTCTCTTTGCAGCCATGGAATGAAAGCAAGGATGCTAGCTGCAGCAATATTGCAAATTCCCGTTACTACAAAGCCAATATTGTAGTTGCCGAGCAAGTCATACATTGCACCTGCAATAAAAATAGGCAGGTTAATTTTCCAAACTTAATTTCTCAAAGAATAACTTTATTTCAACTGTTCCTGTAAAACCTTGCATTATAATGACAAACCAAAAGAGATTTTAAAAATTCTTCCTACTTTCCGGGGCCACATCCCAAACCCAGGCAGCATAGTAAAGAGACTGCTAAATAACTGTAAGGTGGGGGGTGGGGGTGGTAGGAACTAACTGCCTAATAAAAGAACAGATTTGCATTGGTTGATTTACCTGCAAAGGGTGCACCAAAACAACTGCTTGCATTGACAACCATGAGAAATCCCAATGCAACGCTCTGTCACAAGAGACTAGGGCCCTGCGGGACCTGACATCTTTCCGCAGGGCCTGCAAGACAGAGTTGTTCCACCAGGACTTTGGTCAGGGCCCAGCCTGACTCCCTCCTCTGGCAACCTGTACAGAACTTTGCTTAACGGTTGCCATTAATTTGATTTTAATTAATTTTTATAATGAAATGTTTTAGAATGTTGGATTATTTGATTGTTTGATTATTTGTTTGTTGTTAGCCGCCCTGAGCCTGGCTTTGGCTGGGGAGGGCGGGATATAAATAAAATTTATTATTATTATTATTATTATTTTCTCGGGCCCCATCAAATCAAATGTAAGGACAGGTAAGAGAACATAGTTTCCTGCATCAACAAATCCCAAAACAGAGCAAGCTGCTATTAGGGAGGGAAAGAGAATTGCACTGTATACACGTAGACTACGTCTCCATCCAAGTGTCTAAATTAAGTACTCGTGAAGTTTATTCTGCACAAAAGTTCCTGCGCACCCTCCTTTTATAAGGTTCTGGTTTGTCTTTCTTATTTTCTTTCTTTCTGCGGGAACTTCAACACAGTCCTGGCAGAAAGTAACGAGTGCTGTATGTATATTCAAGGCTGGGCGGGGGATTTGTGCTCCTTCGGGTGTTGCTGCCATAATTTAACAGCAGTAAACGCAAATCATAGGAATAGGAAGAACCCATTAGACCAAACATGACCACCATTGCTCCAGTTACTGCAAAAAGAAAGAGAAACCGGAACCTTATAAAACGCTCAAGTTGCGCCAAGCGTAATAATACCAGTTAAGTGGTTTCAAAACATTCCCACAAGTAGCGCTGCATTTAAGGAAGGCGCACTTTATATACTTCCCTTGACGACGCACTTGCCTTCTTATTTCGCAAGATTTAGGTGCCACTTGATGGCAATAAAACTTCAACGCGGTTGACAAAAGCCTCGAATGTTGGAACCTTGAAGTGGAAGTGCGCTTCTCATCTTTCTGTCTCTGTGGCAACCTAGAAAGCAGCCCCGCCCGGTGTGTGTGTTCGACCATATTCCCATTGTCCCCGCCCCCGCTTTGGAATGGAGGCGGGGCCTAGGCTCCCTTCGGCTGCTGGGATGCTAACAGTGGACTAGACAGGAAAGGGACGAATGTCGGATGAGACATCAGCTAACTTTTCCCCACCTTTCGCGAAATTGCGGTGCGGTATCCGCTCCCGTTTAGCTCCGTCCATAGAAGGTATTGGTCAGGAGAGTATAAATAGGAACATCCATGGTTGATAGCGGGAAGAACAACTTGAGGAATCGAATGTGTAACCTGTGGCCCTCCAGACATTACTGGATTGTAGCCCGCACCAGCATGGCCAAATGGCCTGGGATGACTGGAGTTATAGTCTAGCAGTGTTAATTGGGAACAGTATGGTGAACATAAAGCCTTAAGTTTCCTCATATTATTTAAACAGTTGAGGGATTATTATTATTTTGCTTATAAGAGGAAAAGGCAATACAGAAATTAAACAGGGAATAATACTTATAGGCTCAATAAAAAACCCACCTCATTGTTTACCTCCCCACAACCCAAAAAGCCCCAGAGGTGGATTTTATCATGTTAAAAAACAGTGCATGCACCAAATTAAGTGGAAAGATGGATCTTGCAGCAAATCAGAAGTGTGTACTCAAAGATTCCCTTAATGCTCTGTATTTAAAGAAAAATCAACATGAGCAACAGAGTTACTTGCAGGTTTTGATAAAATTAATCATCAATAAGTGAGTTCTTCTGTGGATTACAACCAGTTCAACTTTGTTTGCAAAGCAGGTTTTTGTGCGTCAATAATGAGATTTTTAGATTATATAGTCTATATATTAAGAACCCTTTTCATGTTTTGCAGGCTAACAGACATCCATTTACCCCCCCCCCCCCCCCCAAGTACAGGTCTCTGTTTTCCATCATGAGCATATTGCAGAGATTTCAGTCTGTGGTACTGTTTGTTAGACATGGCTTGAGGCGACAGAGAACTCTGGCTGAGATCAATGCAGATGCTTCTTTTGTACACCCCCCTCCTGATGGGGCCTGGGGCTGGGTTGTGGTGTTGGCAGCAGCGATCCATTCCTTGTTTATCAGTGGCTTCCACAGTGCTTTTGGCGTTTATATGATGCCCCTTCTTACAACCTTCAAGGCAAGCAACTCACAGATAGGTAGGTCATCGTCACATGTTATATACGGTTGGATTAAGTATGATATAATGGGTGGTGTTCAACTAAGTTTTACACAGAGTAGACCCACTGAAATAAGCAAACATTAACCAACTGTGGATTTCAAAAGGTCTACTCTAGTGGGTGTTCGGGAGGGGGTGTTATCTTGCGCAAGGAGAAATCTTTGTGCTGACGGAACATTCACCTTAGTGCTACATTGACTACAACCTTAAGGGTTAATACAAAAAATAAAGAGGGAGTTAATATTACCTGTTGCATCTTGTTGATGTGTTGAAATAACAAAACAATGTGGCTTGTATATGTTGCCGCATTTTCATAGACCTCAAGGGTTATAGTATTTCATACCTGTGAAGCATATGGCAATCAGTTTTACTATATCGTTCGTGGCATGTGTGCATTTTCCTTCATTTAATTACAGCTGTTTGTCCTTTTTTAGCCTGGATCGGATCCATCAGCTATGCTTTCATTATGATATTTGGTCCTGTATCTGGAAAACTTCTGGTGAAATATGGAGCCATCAAAGTGGCAATAATTGGAGCAATGGTTGTCATGATTGGTCTAATGTGTTCTTCCTATACCTATGATTTGCGTTTACTATTTTTCACTCACGGAATCATTGTTGGCGTGGGATCAAGCCTGGGCACCACTCCAGGTAACACTTTAAAAAAAAAATCAGTCAAGCAACCTGAATCACAATAAAATAGCCAGTTGCATTCTTTGTTCTGAAAAGTTTGCTGTGTGTCCGTGAAGAAAAAAGTCACTCCATAATACAGGCCTCATATTTTTCATTATAACCACTAAATTTATCTGGTCATTTTGACAGGCTGGGTACTTCAAAATAACACATACTGTACCTAGTATAGACTACCATTTATTTATTTGAAGCATATATATCTGTTCAGGTGTGCAATGTCCTGTGTGTAGAGGGTGTGTGTTTCAGCTTAGGACAGTGTGTTGTGAGGTAAAATTTCAGTGTTGGGCACTGTGATGTGGAAGTCACAGCAGGGTGGAGTGTTATGGGGTTGAGGTGTGAAGAGTGTGAGGGGTTTGCAGTGGGTGGGGGTGTCCTCCATGACAGTTCTTCAGGTTTCTGAAGGTGCCCATAGACCCAAAATGCTTGTGAGTTGTGACCCTTCATCTACCCACTGCACCACACTGTCATATGGGGTGTAGGTGTTGTGTGGATATGGGGAATGGCCTCCTATGGCATTTCCTCAAGTTTCTAAATATGCTCATGGGCCCCAGAGAGTTGATGGCCTCTTGTTCAACCACTGTTCCACACTGATATTTCTTAACTAAAAGAAAAGGCATGACACATCGCATCCACTAGGTGGCTCCCCCTGCAGACATGGCAGTCATGACAAAATTGTAGCTGCACTTGTACTTTCAGTCATGCATGACACTGTTTTACCAAACCTAGTTTTGCATAGACTTTGATGGGGCAGGAAAACCTTAGTAACTTTTGCCATTTGTTTTTTGTAGGCCTGATAATGGTCAGCCTTTACTTTACTAAAAAGCGCTCATTTGCAACTGGAATAGTGATGGCAGGAGGGTGCGCAGGAACTTTTGTGCAGAATAAACTTCACGAGTACTTAATTCAGACACTTGGATGGAGACGTAGTCTACGTGTATACAGTGGAATTCTAATAATATGCATCATTGCAGGATTTGCATATCAGCCTCTTCAAAAACGTATGTAATGTTTTGGTCTTCTTAGTTAGTTTTCCTTCTTCTTGCCTTTGTTATATTCTGGTTGCAGATATGTTTTCATTTGCAACAGGCCAACTAGATGTGTCAGGAAGACAGGAACAAGGAGTCTATGGCCTTCCAGATGTTGCTGGACTACAACTCCCATAATCACTAACCATTAGCTGTGCTGGCTGGGGCTGATGGGAATCGGAGTCCAGCTGGAGAGCCAAAGCTTCCCCAGCCCTGCTTTGAAGGGTGGCCATCATTAAGAAATAAGTTTTGAAACCCTGCTTAAAAATTGGAAGTCAGGGTCATCCATACCTCTGTGAGGGAGTTATAATTTGGCAGTCATCACAGAAAATATTTTGTCTCTTTTGCCCGGCAGCTGAATCAGTCTCACTGGTGGGCTTGCAAGCAAGGCCTTCCAAGGCAGATCTTAATGTCCAGACAGACTCGAACCGTTTAAAGCAGGTGCAGGGAAGCTTTGCCTCTCTAGATGTTTCTGCACTACGACTCCCAAGAGCCTCTGCAAACGTGGCAACTGGTCAGGGGTGATGGGAGTTCAGCCAAAGGTTCCCCACAGAAGAAAATGAGATTTTGGAAAGTATGGTTTGCCACTCCTGAATGAAGAGTAAGGAAAGCTGCACATGCTGAAATTGCTTCTTGCATTTCACTGTTCAGTCTTGTATCCTACCTGATCACCCCACCTGGCAAATGACTTTCCATGGCTCCTTTCTCATTTTCATGTTAAGAATGCATAACTTGCATTGACTCAGAATCATCTGTAAGATGCAGAAGTAATTACTGAGTTAGAACCAGAGTTTAGGGCTGCAGCTGAAAAGGATGTTCATATGTCCCCCTTCCTCCACCAACAATATCTGATTTCTTCCATTAGATATCTATGAAATTCTAATTTCTCCCACATCCTGATACCATTATAATGTGTGATTCCTTGCCAGCCATCAGTAATGTGAAATAGAGCAGGGAATGCACATTATAACGACATTAGGTCATGGAGTCAGTTGAACTAGACATTACAGAGTGGGGAACAGGAACTTGAAAAATACATGAGAAATTTGTCTTCAGTTAACTTCAAGGACAGGGCTATTATTCTAGAAAAAGAGGTGCCGGAACTCACCGTGAACACCTCCCTCATTCTCTTAGAATGCCAATGGCACCCACCTGAGAGGTGTCAGAACTGAATTCTGGCTGAAAGAAAGCTGTACTCAAGGGGCTGACTCCCAGGTCATGCAGTGGCTGAAACTAGGCCAGTATCCCACAACCGAAGCCCTCTTTCCCCAGGATTCAGTTGATAAAGGGTTTGGTGCCAGTGGGGGAAGTAGAAGATTTCCATCTTGTTTTGTGAAATTTTAGTGAGATATGAGCATTTTAATTCTATTGTAGCAAGCTTCCTAAATTTAAGGGCGAGGTCAGAGTACCACTTATGCAGACATAGCAGACTAGTTAGGAATATCTTTTACCTTTTGTTTATTAAGCAAAAGGCATTTTCCTATGTCTCCATGTACTTAAAGCAAAAGTACAAATTAGATTTTTGTGCATTGGCTGTATGTGTTTGAAACCTCATATATGTGCTTAGGGTTTAAAACACATCTTCTCATCTTTACTGCTTCTTGATGGTGGGCCCTCATCCTTATTAGCCGTGGTATTTTGTAAATATTATTATGCAAATAATAGTTTGTTTCAATTGTGTGTTTTTTAAAGATAGAGCTCATCCAAGTGTAGTCGAAAAGTTTAAAACCTCCCCACTAAGAGGTTTTATTGTTGATTTAAGTTTGTGGAAAGATCGTATCTTTGAAGTTTGGGTCTGTTCTCTTGGATTAGCCAAGTTTGGATTCTTCATACCATTTGTGCATATGGTAAGAACTAGTTTGTACACTTGTTTTCATGCGAAATCCTCAGTATGCTTCTTTTCTGCTGTATTTTATATGTAATTTTATATATGATTACGATGCAACAACATTCAATATAGAATCAAATGTTTCATAATAAAATTCTTCTAAATAAGTATCTTCCTTGGGAACAAAACCCAGTAAGTGTTTGGACAATTTTAAAAGTGTTAGCAAGTACAGGTTGTACTTCGGTTCTCAAACGCCCCGGAACTCATACGTTTCAGCTCCTGAACAATCAAAAACCAGAAATGAATCTTCCCATTTTTGAACATTCTTTGGGAAGCTGAACATGCAAAGGGGCTTTTGCAGCTTCTCATTGGCTACCGGAGCGTCCTGCAGCCAATCAGAAGCCGTGCTTTGGAAGTTGAACGTTTCGTAAGTCGAACGGACTTCTGGAATGGATTCCATTCGACTTCCAAGGTACAGCTGTATTGTGGTAATATGTAACCTTATTTATATGCCAGATATGCAATTTCTTGTCATTATAATTTGTGCTTTTACAATTGTGCTCTCTATCCACATTTTACAGATGGTCAGTGGTGGCTGAGAAAAAGTGACTTACACAAAGCTGGTACAGAAAAGCGAAGTCCTTGGTTGTCTTCATTTTGAGAATAGGAGATATTTGTGATCTTAGATCAGTGCACCAAAAAGGATAATTTTTTATTGCTTTCATCTTAAATAACCCCGGGGAAGGCTGGCAAAGGTTGATCTGCTATAATTACCAAGGGACCGTATAGATCTGATGACACTTTGTAGGCACAGATTTTGTTGTTGCTTACTTATTTTTACATTCAACTTTTATGCTGGCCTGGGAACACTACAGTGCTGAAGGTGTAGGGTGTAAATAGACTTCAAATAAATCATTGGTGGGGGTGGGCAGGGCAGACTCACCTAGCAAGAACAGTGTGGTGTAGCGATCAGGGTGTCAGACTAACAGCTAGGAGACCAGGTGTCAGGATGCTGTCAGCAGCTCCCGGCTGGTTGCCCAGGAAAGTATAAAGACAAGAAAACGTTTCTTAGTCTTTTTTTATTTACAGAGAGAGGCTGTAGAACCCAGTCTCTTGGATAACGGTGTTGTCCTGAGTGAATCTCCACACACACACCCCACCTCTCCCACTTCCTCATTCATCATTCTCACCGTTTCTTCTGTGGGTGCTGCTACATGCCCTCTGTCTTCAAACTCTTTGTTCTCCTACTTTTAAGGCTTGATGGGTTCTGGAAGATGGAGGGACTGGAATGCTTTCTAATGAGAACATGTCAGCCAGGTGTTGCTCCGGCTCTCCCATGATTTCCCAGCTTTTCCCTTCTTCTGCCTCTGAGCTGCAACCTCCCACAAACCGCTGTTGTAAATCTATACTGTCTTCCACTTCCTCTTCCCTGGAAGGGTCAGGAGGGGGACGCGGTCTCCACCACTCCTCCTCCTCCTCCTTGGCCCAGTCCCTTACACTAGGGTACAAATCCCCACTTGGCCATGAAGTACGCTGGGTGACCTTGGGGCAGCGGTCACTGCCTCTCATAGGTAGGGGAATAAATAAGGAAGAGGAGAGCCATGTACTCCACCTTTGGTTCCTTGAGAAGAAGGGATATAGATGCAATAGATAAATAAGCTTGAGAAAGGGACCTTTAGCTGTTCCTTTTGAGACCATTTGCACTTTCCTTCGTTGTTTACTCTGCAGAAAGGCTTAAAGATGGCTACCAAATTATTTTATATGAAGAACCTGTCAGATGCAAATTATCACATCCCTTTATTATGGCAAATCAATGGTGTCATTGCCTCAGTTCTATACTTTGCAGCTGTCCACAGATTCTACTGAAGAGGGAGAGGGCAAGAAGAAGAAAGAAGAAGAAGAAGTAGGAGGTTTGATGCTTCATGGCAGATTCTCAATTAATTACATTAATGTATGTTTTGCCGACTCCCGGCAGTGTGCGTTCAAACACTCCGACTTACACAAGGAACCGCTGTAACACTGAAAGACCTGGATTGCTCAGTTGTAATCAGCGCTCAGTTGCCTAAATATACATTGTATTTTTGACAAATGCATAGAGAGGTGAATATAAACTCAGTGGCCTCATTTTGCAGATTAAACTTGCTGGTGACCTGGGCATTCCACTGGAGAAAGCATCCTACATTATGGTAGCAATTGGAGTGAGCAGCATGGTTAGCTCTCTTCTGTTTGGAAAACTCTGTGATATTGAACGAATCGATCGGCTGTATCTTAACCAAGTGTCCATACTGTCCGTTGGCAAGTATTCCACATAAGCATTCATTTGATTTTGTTTGAATAGTGCGAAGCTTTTAAGAGACTAGTCAGGATTAGAAAAACTACTCCCATGGTGAGCACAATTGCCGATTAGGACTGTGACTGAAATAAATGAAGTTCTGCTACTTGATCCAGCCAGGCGTGTGTAATCAGAACTCTGCCTCTGTCTCCATAGCTGGATGGTGTGTTGCATATGTGTTTTCTCTCTCTGGTCAGGGTGTGCAAAGCCTTATTGTAAAAAGTTGAAAATGTGATCAAAAATGGACCCACTGCTTTCTCTTATCCCTGCCAAGTGTCTTATGGGGGGGGGGCGGAGGTCAGCTAGTTAGGGGTGGGCTCAGTGGAATGGATATTCCATTTCTTCGTAATTATCGGCATGTATGGAATTTGGTAGATGGAAAAGTCATCCCAAACAATACACTAGGCCGATCATAAGAATTATAGGGCCTCTATATACCTAGGACAAGCACCAGACTGATCATTTTTCATTGGATACTTGCCTTTTAATGGCTCAATAAATAAAGAATTATCAGCAACAACTAACTAGTATTTGTTTTTAAGATTAATGCTGAAGTATACATACCTTGTGTATGCAAATGTAGTCTCCCCCCAACTATTTAAGAAGATTTGTGACCAGTTAAAAGAGTCAAATGGGTTCCACCATCATTTGAAATATGCCCATTAACGAGTCAACCAATGATATTGTTTATGTATCCCACCCAAAAAAACACTGGCCCAGTAAAGAGAGTAAAAAGCCTTCGATAGGATTAATTTATTTTGGAAGTGTTCTGAAAAAAGCCTAGGAATAACAATGCAGTTGTTGAGGTAATCTGAGATTCAAATGTGTAGTTTAGAAAATGGTTAGTGTTAACCCAATAGACTTTTGATTCCCTGCCCATCTGCTTATGAAATTCTCCTGAGTTTAAGCAATCATAGAATCATAGATATTCTAGTCCAACCTCTTGCAATGCTGGAATCTCAACTAAAGAATCCACGACAGAAGACCATCCAACCTCTACTAAAAAACCTCCAGTGTATCAGCAGTGATTTACTACGTAGCACCTTCAGAGATGGGAAGCTGTTTAAGAAACAGAAATTTGTTGAGTATGGAGCACTGAGCTTTCATAATGGCTGGATAGTGGACTTTTAAGGCTGTAACGTTACTGTATTGTCATGTTTTAATGAATCGGTAAACATGTTTGTCTGTAATAAAATATCCTTCAATGTAGTTTTTTGTTTTGTTTTCCAGGTGTGGTATATTTTATCATTCCTCACTGTACAAACTTTTCCTCCCTAATAGCAGCTTGCTCTGTTTTGGGATTTGTTGATGCAGGAAACTATGTTCTCTTACCTGTCCTTACATTTGATTTGATGGGGCCCGAGAAAATGCCAGTTGCATGGGGATTTCTCATGGTTGTCAATGCAAGCAGTTGTTTTGGTGCACCCTTTGCAGGTAAATCAACCAATGCAAATCTGTTCTTTTGTTAGGCAGTTAGTTCCTACCACCCCCACCCCCCACCTTACAGTTATTTAGCAGTCTCTTTACTATGCTGCCTGGGTTTGGGACGTGGCCCCGGAAAGTAGGAAGAATTTTTAAAATCTCTTTTGGTTTGTCATTATAATGCAAGGTTTTACAGGAACAGTTGAAATAAAGTTATTCTTTGAGAAATTAAGTTTGGAAAATTAACCTGCCTATTTTTATTGCAGGTGCAATGTATGACTTGCTCGGCAACTACAATATTGGCTTTGTAGTAACGGGAATTTGCAATATTGCTGCAGCTAGCATCCTTGCTTTCATTCCATGGCTGCAAAGAGAAACAACACAGTCATCAAAAAACTATCTTAATGCTTCTGTATGTGTGATAACAAACACCATAGTTCCTTGGCAATCACCCACTCCTTCGTTAGGGGTAAATACCATTATTCTACACTCTGTTCTAAGCAAGTAGAATCTGGCTTTGCCACAGAATTTTGTAACCATCTGTACAGGGCAAAAGTGTGGGTGATCCTGGCTGTGCAGTTTCCCTTAGTGTAGGTATAATTTTTTTTTTTTAGCACTAATTTAAAATGCTACAGAAATTAATATTATTCAACACCAACAAATAACACAAGCACACCAAACACTGCGTGACTATGACTATGACCCCACCAACCCAATGTGACTCATTTTGTTGGGATTCAGTTTTGACCCAGGGAATATGCTCCTGAAATAGTTTTGGTTATCGATTTCTTGTGGGAAGAGCTTTGAGTCATCATTAAGATTCTGTGGATTTTGTTATTTAATAGGCAGATGTTTAGATTTCAATATAATTTGATGAAGCTTTCTTAATTTCTAAGAACAGTGATGATTCTTGGGGCAGGGTATATGAAGACAGAGACAGTTCTTAAGATCATATATTGTTTGCATCAGATTCTTCATCCTATCAAGTCCCTATAACAATTTCTCATTAGAAAAAAGAAAATAATAATTTTTTTTTAAGTCCTTATAATAATTTTACTGTATTTCTTTTCTTTCAGAGTCTAACTTCCTCCTACACAAAAACACTTTATGCTGGTGATGAAACTCAATCTTATCATTCAAAAAGATTTACCGGTAGTATTAAATCATTCAGTGTGAAATCGTTAAAAAGCATAATGAAGTCAGATGCAACAGGGCCTTTGACAAAAGCAGAACCAAAATCTTCCGCTGGGACATTGGAGATTGACTCACAAGAACAGGTTGAAAGAAAAACAGATTTGATGCCAATGCAAGAGCTAAGCACACCAGAAACATCATTTAAAAGTGAAAGTGGATTGATAAAACATCCAGAATACATTTCCTACAAAAAAGAAGATGTGTTGGCTTTTCTAAACACATATGAGGCTGATGATGAAGAGAAATTTGTAAGTGAAATTGATTTGAGGCCAAAAAAGGAACTAACCGTGTCAGATGCAGAAACTTTTGAATCTACAAAACAGTCGGAACACATTCCCCATAAAAGAGAAGATGTAGTGGCTTTTGTCAATGAATATGATGGTGAAGAAGAAGAAGAGAAACTTGATACCACAAAAGAGTTGAAGCCGAAACTGGTATGGGTGCTGCCCACATCAGATGAAGAAATGTCAGGAGAGCGCAAAGTGGCTTTTGCAGATGACCATTATGATGACGAAGATGTGCACTTTGGTAGTGTAACTAACTTGAGGCCAGTACAGGTGCTAACCATATCAGATGCAGAAACTCCAGAATCTACAAAACCAGCTGAGCGCAGAGTGGCTTTCGCAGATGACCAACTTGAAGACAAAGGAGAGCATCTTGAGGGCAGAGCTGATACGAGGCCAGTGCAGGAGATACCAGTATCAGATGCAGAAACTTTGGGATCATTCAAACAAGCAGAGCGCAGAGTGGCTTTTGCAGATGACTATGATGATGCTGAAGGTGCACATACTGGGAGCTTAGCTGACTTGAGGCCAAGGCAAGTGCTGTCCATATCGGATGCAGAAACCTTGGGATCTTTCAGACCAACAGAGCGCAGAGTGTCTTTTGCAGATGACCATCCTGAGGATAAAGGAGAGCATCCTGAGAGCAGAGCTGATGCCAAGAGTTCAGGATCTACACATCCGACAGGATACCCTCCCCTAATAAGAGGAATGGCTTTCCTAGAGAACTCTGAAGGTGATGAAGAGCCCAGCCAATTCGAGACCAATAAAAACCCCCTTTAGAAGTGAAACTTCAACACATGTAATACAGGCACAGCAAATGCCTTCGACTTCCCATGGAAAAGAAGAGGGTATGGCATTTGCCAGTGATGATGATGATGGTGAACAAGCACCACAACAGAAATGATCAGAGTGCAGCAGCAATGTTAATGATACTGGATCAGTTACAAATCTGTCTGTCTGGCCCAGAAGGGTACATTACATAGTACCCTTGCTTGATGTCTGAGTAGTATTCACAAAATACTATTTACTAAAAAGCACTTCTCTTAGCTGTATATTATTTTTGTAACTTAGATGTAGAAACAATTTGTAATTGACTGGATTTCTAGTGTGGTTGAAAAGTTTTTGACAATTGCTTTTTAAAAATAAAATAAAGCTCCTCAATTGTTTTTCTTTAGCTGGATTGGCTTGAAACTATGTCTTTATTTCTGCATATATAAAACCTGAGCATAACCTTGCAGCATGAACACCCCAGAAGATCTTGCTTCTCTATTAGTTGCAGCTTTGGATCAAGCAGAGAGCAAGCATGTCTCTGTGTCCACCCATTAGCCTGGAGGGCACCATTACTTACTTGTAGTTCCTGCAACCTAGCTCATTGTTTTGGGATGCTGCTGCTGAATGATTAATGGGACAGCATGTAAACACCCCACAAGCAAATGAGGATGAAAGTTTGTTGCTGTCCAACTGCCCTGTAAACATATCAGAATGAATGCCCTATATAAGGACATATTCTAACAACCATGTAAGTTTTGTGCAGGCAAATTATGATGAATGCTAAATAAATGGATTACCTGGACTTCAACTACCATCAGCCCCACTCAGTAATGGCTAATGATTAAGGATAACGTGAGAGGTAGTTGTTTATTCCTCCCTGTGGCGTTCGTACGGAGCCCCCGGTCATCTCACGGACTATTGACCCGTACACCACTAATCGCTGCCACCAACCAGGTCCTCCCCGGTAAAATCACTTCAGCCTCAGTCAGGTTCTCAATTAATAGAGAAGAGTGTATTTTATTTCAGTCACAAACAAACTTTTACGGCATTCCAAACGTTGTTACTCTTTACTTTCTTAGTCTTATTTTCCTCTCTCTATCCCTTCTGCCTCCCCTCACTCAAGAACCCACTGCCCTAACTGTCACTCTGTTACCAACTGCCTACCAACTGCTTCTCCAACTGCCTTTCCCAACCAGCCAACCCCCTGAAACCAACCAACTACCCACCAACTACTCACAACAACAACAACAACTAACTCAAATCTCGGGCTAAGCCTTTTTATATACAGGGAGGCTCCGCCTCCGTCTTTCCTATTGGTCTATCTTTCCCACCTGTTCAAACATTTTCTAAATGAATGGGCAAATGCCACACTCCCTTAAAGATATAATCTGCATTTAACAACAAAGAGCCCTACTGTATCAGGCCACAAGCCTGCTGGGTCCAGGATCCTGTTCCCACAGCGGCCAGTGAGATGCCTATGGGAAATAGGCTAGCCTTACCTGAATGAAACTGCATTCTCCCCCCTTGTGATGCCCAGTAACTGATATTCAGAGGCATACTGCCTCCCTGCAGTGAAACTAGAACTCCTTCTTCTTTGGTGATCACTCGCAGCTGAGTAAGATTGTCTTCCATGAACACAGTCTTAACAGTGAGTCTGTAGGTGACTGTGGGTGTGCAGCTTCCTTCCCAAGCCTCTCCATCTGCTAAAGATGGGGTCCTTGTCGTCCTCCTGCTTCCTGGCAAAAGGCAGTGCGCAGCCTTCTCAGGTGCCCCAACGCTGGAGACCATGCCTGTCAGCACGTTTTCCTGCTTGATCGCCGCCACCACACCTGGGATCAGGGCGGTGGGGGAGGCAGAGGACATTTTCCACCGCCCCCTCCCTTGTTTTGGAGTTGCAGGGGGGGGGTGCGCCAGAGGGATCTTTGCACCACAGCACCAGATATGCTTAAGACGGCCCTGATGTGAAGGTATCAATTCATCAGATAAAACTTTAAAAATGATGTACCTTCACCTTGTTTTTATCATTTATTTCTTTATTCAACTTTTTTGAAAATACAAATTGAAAATCAAGCATAACAAAACAGGCGCAAAGGAACAGTATTAACAGGTCTAAGGCACCTCAGTGACTATATACTGATAATCTTAAACATTTTCTCCTTTAAAGTTCATTTACAGCGTTTTTCTTTACAGGGTTTCAAGACAAAGAGAGAAAATAACTCCCATTGTCTATAGTCTGGTATATCAGGGATGGAGGGCAGTCATTATCCTTTACACTTGACTAATCAATAAAAAAACTTCCTATATCTTCTCAAATGGGTCCTTTATCTTTTGTCCCCTCATTACCCTTAGTTTTTGCACTTTTGACTACATATGATCAAATTAATTAAAATGATAATTCTAAATCCCTTTTACGGGCCAGAGAGGGGAACCACACCTATTTCAATCAGCAAAAGAAAAGCCTATTCCCAGTGGTCAACAGGTGCCATTGCGACAACTTAGCCAATTCAAGAAAGCAGTGGGGCAAACCATAACAGTACACTTTCAATAATTCTTATAATATCAATAGCTGAAGTGGAACTATAACAAAACAAACACAGGAGCCAGCTGCACCCATTAAAGGAAGAAAGAGTCCCTGCATTTCCAGAAGATGGCAATCTTGTGTTTTTCTGGTATGTCTGAAGAGAAGAGGTATGCATGCAAACACCCGGAAACCTGGTCCCGCTATCAGAACAGAGAGACTGGCTTTATTTGAAATGTGTAAAGAGCTATTAGCTACCTTTGAAACTGACCAGTTTTCTGTGGCAGAAGCTTATACAGGCATGATGTATTAAGTGAAGTGATTTGAACAGTATAAAGAAGCCAGCATATCTGTGTGAGGCCTGAATAATGATTCTACCCCAGGATAACCATGTTGCATACACAATAATCCATTATGTCATTCACAAACTTCACTTGTCTGTCTGGAGTGGACAGTATCGGAACTTATCTTTGAACCAAGGGTAGTTCCACAGTTCATATGTCTCACACAGCACAGGCTTGTAATTATTTTCACAAAGTAGTTCCTGAACTTCACACCAATGAATGCATAGAGCACAGGGTTCATACCACAGTGCAGGAAAGCCAGAGTTTCCGTTACGTATTTTGCGTAAGCCAATTGCTTTTCACTCTGGCAAGCTTTGTCCAGTTTCCCCATAGATTCTGCCGTCACCAGGAGAACCATATTGTAGGGAACTTGGCACAGCAGAAAAACAACTACAATAGAGATAACCACACGTATAGCTTTGCTTCTTTTGGAATTCTGAGCCTGCACTAAGGTTCTGACAATGAAGGTGTAGCAAAAAACCATGAACAACAGAGGGACAAAAAACCCAAATAAAAGCTGGAAACTTAATATCAGCAATTTCAGTTGTACATTGGAATTTGCACTGGATTTGTGATCACAAATGTATGTGGTTGCATTATTGCCTGGAAGTGCGTAGCTTTCACTGAACATGAAAGTAGCACTTGAGATTAACATAGAGGAGACCCAGACAGCCAAACAGATCACTTTACTGTGGGCTAGACACCTTGCCCGAAGCTTAAATGACTTTATGGCCTGCACAATGGCCACATACCTGTCTATGCTTATGCAGGCCAAGAGCAACATGCCACAGTTGAAGTTAATGGCATAGATACCTTTGGTGAGCTTGCAGAGGAAATCCCCAAAAATCCAGTTGTCCAGAGCGTAGTTTACTGCCCAGAAAGGAAGAGTGAGAACAAACAATATGTCCACAATAGCCATATTGCAGAGGCAGACATCAGTTATAGAATCAGACCTCTTATATAAAACAAATGTCATCACTACAAACATATTTCCCACGAACCCCAGGACACAGATCAGGGAGTAAGCAATGGGAAGAAAGGCTTTCGTAAAGTTTCTGACTTCATCCTTGTCACATGGCATTGCAATCTCAGCATACAAATCAGAATAATCTGCGATGGTTGATTCTTCCTGAAAGGACAATGGATTCCGTTAAACACACATTTTGGCAAGCTCTGGTTTAGGTAAGGAAAACTTTTGGTAAAAACATTTGGTCTTCATTTGTTTGGTTCTTAAATGTAGGTTCTGAGGCAGGGGGAAATCCATGCTAAATAGGAAAGGCCTGGAATATAGCAGGGGAGGAGGATGTGCTGTAGTGGGAATGGAGAATCACCAAAATTAGGGCAGGGACAGAATTTCTTTGTTCTGGAGAGAGCAAGGTACATAGAAAGGCACACACGTCTGTCTCAAACTATGACCCAAAAAAACTTCCTGTATGATGCTCAACACGCTCCCTCACTCCATCTATTCTAGCAGAGAACCTGGGCTGGCAAGCTTGTCGTTTGGAATGTTGTCAATTCTGTTATAACACTGCTTAACTTCTGATTGGCTTCAGCAAATCTCATAAAATCACGATATCCCACATAGCCACAGCAAAATAAGTTACCACAAACATGGTTAAATGTGATCACACAGTTTGGTCTCAAAACTTTCCCACACAGTAACAGTCTTACAGCCCTTCCCCCACCCTAAAAAACCCATCAAGACACAGTTAAAGTGCATCTCCCCACATACCCTATTCATGTAGCTTTATATTCACACATTATAGGATGTGTGCATGTAGAGGAAGGAGGGAGAAATACATTTCATAAACTCACACAAAGTCATAAATTAATCAGCAGTTAGATTAGCACACTTAGGGGTGCCATACATCCAGGAACTCCTGGACATGACCTCTTTTGGGAGTCCTACATGACCATCCAGGGGGAATTTTCAATTTGTCCTGGATTTTGGTTTAAAAAAGAAATTGTGCACGGGCAGCTCTGGTTCAGGCTCTGGCACAGGATCTTGGGGTCAGCGGCAGTGGAGGGGCTATTGGGTGATTGCCCTAAAAAAGCTCAACAACTTTTTGTGTCTGGATTTTTACCTCTTAAAATATGGCAACCCTAACACTGAACACAGGCAAATTCGGGTTGCACAGATCAGACTTTTTGCATAAGGGAAAGTGAGGGGAAATGCAATGGAAAGTGTCAGATGCCACTGGTTTTGACACAACAACCTCTAGCCAATGTTCTCTTATCTTCCTGCAAACAAATCAGGATGAATGTGCACAATCTAGAATTCCCCCAAGTCTCACGCTAAGTATGCACAGGTTGCAGCCACAGAGGAAGAAACAGAATTGGCTTTGAAGTTCAAGGCAGCTCTGCTTGATCTCCCTCACCGGTTTCAGTACACATAACATAGTATTGCTTCCTCTTTTAGCCTCTGTGGTGAAGAGAACTGAGTTCAGAAAAAGACATACCCCGCTCATTATGGTGCTCTGCCTTTCTTTTGACCAGAGGAGACTTGTAGCAATAGCAGTGACAGTTCAGTTGGATTTACAGAAAGTCTCTGCAAAGAAAGGAAGTGGATTAGGAAAATGAAACAGGAAAAGTATGCGTCTAATAAGCCCTATGGAGAAACTGGTCGAAGTCTAGATCAGTGTCTCCTTGAACTTTTTGAAGTACACTTATTAGGTATTGTGCTGTCTTTGATTTCACAGGACTCTGTGAATTCTCCCAGAATTTCAATATGTGGAATATCATGGAGGACTGAATCCAAGTAGGTCAGACTTAGAGCTATTGAAATCAATGGCTGTGATTACATGTCCATTGATTTCAATCAGTCTGAATATGATTTGGTTGCATTCAATCCGGACTTTTTACTGTTTAATGAATGTGAACAGCTTAGCACAAATCCCTTTCTGAATAATGGGGTGTTTTTTAATGAAATAAATAAATAAATAATGGTGTGTTTTTTTATATTGGTTTGTTTTCTGCTGCTTTATTATGAGATAGTTGCATTTTAGTTGTTGAAAGCAAATCTGAGCAAAGGGAAAGTAGATGGGTGGGGCACACATTTCTAAACCAACCTTTTTCCTCCAGTGCAGCCAAGGTGATCTACATACAGAAGCAGCTTTCACTTCTTCCTCCTCCTCCTCCTCCTCCTCCTCCTCCTCTTCTTCTTCTTCTTCTTCTTCTTCTTCTTCTTCTTCTTCTTCTTATCTATTTCCCGCCCTTCACCTTAAGGTTCCAAGGAAAGTCACAACATTAAAGTACAACATTAAAAACACAATCCTCAAATAAGGTCCTTCAGCCCTGTTTAGGGAAGTTTTTAATGTGTGACATTTTAATGTATTTTTAATCTTTGTTGGAAGCCTCCCAGAGTGGTTGGGGAAACCCAGCCAGATGGGTGGGGTACAAACAAATTATTATTATTATTATTATTATTATTATTATTATTATTATCATCACAGGTCAAGTGTCAAAAGCCAAGGTAAAGGGGTGCCTTCAGCATTCACCGGAAGCTGTATAATGAAGGTGCCAAATGCACCTCTGTGGGGAAGGAGTTCCACAGCTTAGGGGCTGGAGAATGTAGCCCCATTGCATCCTTCAATAGTGCAATGGGTTAGTGCATCTGGCTAACCCGAAGGTTGGGGGTTCGAGTCCACCCAGTGACATCCGTGGGCAAGATTCATGTATTGCAGGGGGTTGGACTAGATGACCCCTGGGGTCCCTTCCAACTCTACAATTCTGCTTCTACGAGTCTATGACACTGCAACATTCATCCAGGTCCCATGAAACTGACCGCATGCATCTTCCCATACAGCTGTGGAACGCACATCCCCATGCATGGCAATCAGCTATTATGCACAACTAGTGTCCTGTGTCAAGAGCTGGACCAGGGTAAATTTGACACAGAATAAGTGCAGGTGCAGATTTGGGCTTTTTAATGACTTGCTGTTTTTTTAAGTCACTGCACATGGGGAAAAAATAAAGTGTAAACAGTACATGGAACTGAATGAAAAACTCAGCATAAACCAAAGGCTGCAACACAAGAAAGCTTACTGTGAAAAGTGAAAAGTATTGGCCGAGTGGTGCTGATGAAGACGAATCTCCTTGTTGAACAAAATAAGTGTATCCAGTAATGTCTGAATGGTTGCATGCGTGCGTTGTGGCTTCCTATGCTCACAACACCAAGTCCTAAACACAGCACATTTCAACCTTAAAAGATGTTTCAACCCATTTACCTGGGACCAAAGTTAAAGTGCCTGGACTGTTGATCTTATTTATTTTATTCCGTTTATGAATAGCTTCCTGTAAAACAAAATCTTTTTTGAAAAATATGGTAAAGAATTAGTTCATTACTTTTATATTCTGCCTTCCCATCAGAGAGCTCAAGATGTTATATGTGAGGATAGAAAGGGTCACAGGGCTGAAGGTTCATCCAGTGATTTTCATAGCCGAGTGAGGATTTAAGTCTGGCTTCCCAAGACGTATAGCCCAGCCATTACACCACAGTTCCTTTCAATTTACTGTGGACTACGCTTGGTCCAAATAAATCTAGTAAGGAAGGATGATACCTTCTGCAGTGAAGGCAGCTTAAAATACTTAATTTTGCTTCTCTGCTTCTTTGTTTGAGTATTTCATTTGCATGTTTATCCTCTAACAACTCCATTGCCTCTCAGGTTAGTTCCCTGCTTTGTTGCATTTACAGCACAATCCTATACAGATTTACCTGAAAGTAAACCACGCTGTGTTCAGAAGAATTAGATTTACAGTCTAAAAGAGGTTTTAATTAAGAGTTTGTGGAACAAGCAAATGCTAGCAAATCATATTATTAAATCTGATTATTTCTTCATCTGAATTACTGTCATGCTACCCATTAAGCAGACATATATACAGTGCTTTTTTCTGGGGGGACGCAGGGGGACGCGTACCCCTAAACATTTTATGAATCTTTGTACTTTTGTCCATTTACTGTATTTATTTTTCCCGAATTGAATTATAAAATGGTGATTTTCTTGCGTCAAAAAGAGAGTACCCCTAAACATTTTTTTTAGCAAAAAGCACTGCATATGTATATCAGTGCATTATATTCAGCAACAAGAAAATACCTGAAGAACTTTAGTTTCTATCGTGCCTATTGCAATTAGCTGGACTTACCTGCTCAGTGTGATACGTTTTGCTGTAGTTATTAAAATCTGCAGAAAAAGAGAGATGCTTTCCAAGTGCTGAAAACACATATAAGGTATTTTCTAAAGCACCTTGCCTGGAAGTCTGTTACACATGCAAATAAAACCTACACATTGAAGTCTTTGTTCTTCTGTCTCAGTTTGAAAAAGAACATTGACTTTGCTAGTGTGGTTACTGCGGTTTTCCAAATCTCACCATGTGTCAGCTCTTGGCTACCACAAACCAAAGCAAATTAACAGATAAGCTGAGAGAAAACAGGCACATGAAACTCAGCATGCTCCAAATAGGTTCCCAGGTGCAAGCAGCTTTTCCTGTCCCCTGCTTCTAACCTTCATCACAAACACACAACTTATTTTAACAATCTGCATAATTGCAAACAGTTTTATACATACAAATTAGTCTGGCATTTCTGCACAAAGGATACACAGCTTGATACGTGACAAGTATTCTACGCATCTTATTTCATGGCTTACTTAGGTAAGTTTGTGCCTACAAACAGTGCTGAGTGTGGCTCTTTTTTCCACTGCAGAAGTGAGTCTGGCTTCTCAGCAACTTTCCACTTCAAATGAGGGCAGATACCTGTTCTGAATCAACACTGATTTCCTTTTCAACGTGAATGTCTGTATTTTAAAGAGAGTTTTCATGTCTTCAGCCATGATGGGATCAAATGTTGGCTTGGCACAGGGATTTGAACCTGTGCCCCATGCACCAATGTTTTTGGGACTCCAATTCCCAATGATCATGGGTGATGGGAGTTGCAGCCCAGCAACCTCTGGAGGGCCACAGATCCCCCACCCTTGGTTCAATTCCTGTTTTAAAACGTGAAAAAACTCCTGAAAGATGGGATGCATGTGGCCCTACGGAGAGGGACTCTGATTCTTATGCTGTGTGTGAAGCATCTAGACCACACTTAGCTTGCTCAAAATATTATTATGAGTTGGGGGGTGGGGGTTAGGTTGTATGCCAGAGCCCCTCTTCTAATTTCTGGATCCAGCACAGATTCAATTGCTGCAAGCGCCAGGCCAGCCTGGTAATCGACCTCTGAGTCGCTAAGGGGACAAAGGGAGTGGCTCTGTGGAAAAGGGCAAACAGGTGGGCCTCCCTCCCCAGTCAGTTAGAAAGACAAGAGGCCCGAGTTTAGAGTGGAATTGTGATGTGACCTAGAAGCAAAGCAGCAGGATGGAGAGAGAGAGAGAGAGAGAAAGCTACGTTTGAGAGCAATGATTGATTTCTGTGGGTATCCAAGGCTGTGGCTATGAGAGAAGCAAGACTCTTTTGGAGCCCTCAATCATAGAGTCAGCAGGGGCATAGGAAGGGGGTGTGAGGGTGCAGATCACCCTGGGTGACATCATGATGGGGGTGACAAAATGCCGGCTGAACTTGACGTTGCCTGTGTAGTATAACCGAGCGGGGTTGAGTTGCATCGCGATGCCGACATGCCCCTTCCCACCTCTGTGGCCGGGCGCATGCGTGGTCGGCCAGACCCTGCTCTCCCTGCCTGTCCATGTGCCGCCCTCGCTCAGGTGCTGTGTGTGTGTGTCTGTGTGGCCAGGGTCAAAGCTGTGCTGCTCACAGGGCAAGGCATGGTCCTTCTAGGGCTGACGCGGACTCCCAAGAAGGGCATGGAAGTGGGAGAGGCTGCGGTCGCCTGCTTTTGCCTTTCATTTAAGGGCCAAGGTGCGCTGGTTTGGGGGTGGGGGGGTAGGAGAAGCGGCGCATAGGAGAGCTCCGCAGCCCAGCTGGTTTGAGGGGAGAGAGAGAGAGATCACACACTGGTTTAGGGGTGGAGAGGAGAGGAGGGGAGGCGAGAAGGAGCCATGTCTCTGATGAGGCAAGGTGGGATCAAGACCAGCAACAGCACCGCCTGCGCGGCTTTCTTTGATGGGGGGTGGAAGGAGGGAGGGGGAGAAGGTGGGATCTGCATTGCGATTGCCTGCGCTGCTCTCTTTGACAGATTTCAATTTCAATGGGGGGGGGGGACACAAAAAATTATGCACCGGGTACCACCTGACCTTGCTACGCCACTGAGACTCAGGTTGTATATATGTGTAAATAAACTATCATAATGACACCACAGCCCCTGCTATCCCTCATTTCAGGAAACCAAACCCTGGGTAAGCACCTGTAACCCTGGAGTCTTGCACTGCTTGGAGACTGGGGTGGCATACAACTATATACATCCCCTGAGTAAAAGGGAACTTACTCCTAAGTAACATGCATGAGATCACAACTTTAAGCTGTAATCTTGTGCCCACCTTTTTAAGAGTGAAAATCATCCTGAAGTAGGACATGCCGGAATAAATAGGCACAGGAATGGTTTTTATTATTTCTCTAGATAATTTTAGATATTATCAAAATTCACTTCTTAAAATTTATTATGTATTCTCACAGCAGTTCATTTCTCCTTCCTAGAATATGTACCCCCCCCCCTTTACAACTCTTTCTTGGAATATATTCAGTGAAATAAATGAAAGTTGTTACCAAGAAATGCTCACAGGAAATACACATTTACTTTGGTGTACATTGTTAGACATACTTAGAATCACAGAACAGTAGAGTTGGAGGGACTCAAAGGATCATTTAGTCCAACCCCCTGCAATGCAGAAACCCTGACAAACCCAACCTGTTTTTTTTTTTTTTAATATTTTATTAAGGATTTTCTTGTTTTACAGAAGTGTAGTGCCTCGTATTTTTTTCTTTCCATGTAACATTTTTACAAATCCATTTCATTTGTTGAGGCATTAGGGGAGAAGGAAAAAGAAAAAGAAAAAGAAAGGGGGGGTGGAGAGAGGGAAGATGGATAGGGGTGGGGTCGGGTGGCGGTGTTTCTATTATGTTTAATGTATGTAGAGTTTGGTGTCAGCGTTGCTTGTGTTGTTCACTTGTGTTCCAATCACAAGCAAACCCAACCTGTTTTTAAACATCCAATGAAGGAGAGGCCACTACCTTCTGAGGGAGTCTGCTCCATTGTCAAGCAGCTCTTACCCTCACCTCTGAGTCAGTCAACAGGCACTGGAGTAGGTAGTGTGTGCTGAATTTGGGTGGTAGGCACTGGCCACCTCACTCCTTCGTCTGATTTTCCAAGCAGTTCATGCTTGCTGGGTTTTACTTCTTTTGCACTCTCCTGTTTCAATTACCTCATCACCCCAAATAGTTCAACCATGTACTGGAGGTAGCTGCTTTTTTCATGGGTGTCCACCACCTCAGACCCGTTTCTACTATTCACAACAGCAGCCCACACAGTATTCTTTTTATAGGTTAATTAGAGCTTGAGTTCAACCATGAAATACATAAATAATAATGAACACATATAGAGCGCTGGTCCCACTGCCTCTAGTAATACACAGCCATCATGACTCATAGTCATTGATAACCTTCACCTCCACGAATTTTTCTACCACAGCCATAACTTGTGGCAGCGAACTCCATAGTTTAAGAATGCACCATGTGAAACAAAGGCAAATGGATGTGGTTTCCATTACACAGGATCTCCCTGTTTAAAAAATAACTTTTAATTATTACTTCCATTTCTGCTGTGTAGGCTTTATGAGCTTTTATAGTATGTCACTGGAACAAAACCAATGATACGAGAGAGATTTGGGGGAACCTTGAGGTTTCAGAAGTCCCCCAAAAAATGGTTTTAGAAAAAAACCTTTAGAAGCAGGAGTCTCCCCCAAAACAGCCCAATGGGGACTGAGCATGCTCAGAAGCCATGGACTGCTGATAGAGCATTGTGGAGGAAGGCATGGCTGACTGATTAGAGCAGTGATCAGGAGCACCGCATGTGCCAACCTTTTGTTGCTGGTCTCATGAGCAGTTCTAGAATTACCATAATACCTTTCAATTCTAGAAGTCTTTCTGGATCTGGCTTAAGTGTTTTGAGCTTTGTTTCACAAAGAAACTCATCTTTCACAGTGTCCCAGGTAGAACAGGAAAAGGCGACACCTGGCACAATCTCCCCATCATTGTTAAATGCAAATGAGCTAATATTTCCTGAAAGACAGGAAATTGTCTTTCACATCAACTCGCTACAAGTCATAACTTCAGTTTCTTATTTGAAAAACCAGAAATCACATTAGCAACTCTTTCCAAGACCATTTCTTAAGTCTGAAGCACTTCCAAGAGGTGGGAACATTTAATGTGATTTCATGAACGCATTAAAAAAGTAGGGACATGATTATAGCTTAAAGACCTTGGGTGAAATTCAGCATTGTGCTCTTCTTGCCATTCTATCTACAGTGGTACCTCGGGTTAAGAACTTAATTCTTTCTCAAGGTCTGTTCTTAACCTGAAACTGTTCTTAACCTGAGGTACCACTTTAGCTAATGGGGCCTCCTGCTGCCGCCGCGCGATTTCTGTTCTCATCCTGAAGCAAACTTCTTAACCCGGGGTACTATTCCTGGGTTAGCGGGGTCTGTAACCTGAAGCGTCTGTAACCTGAAGCATCTGTAACCCGCGGTACCACTGTACACAAGCATTGCAGCTTGCCAGGTAGAACAATTGCCCCTTCTCCTTCCCCCACAAACTGTTATGGGGGTTATCCCATCACCCCCCTGAACCAATCTTAGATAGTGCAGGTGGAGATGGAGGAAGCCCCATTGTGCTAGTAGAGGTCCTCACACAGAGCTTCTGCTGATGGGGCTAGTTAGGTGAATCCTACCCCCTTTTTTTCCTGGACTAGTTTCAAATGAGGGACCTAAATCCATGATTTTTTTAAAAAAAGAAAAACAGCTTTGCTTTCCAAGACTGTTCCAGATGCACACTTGCCTTCCAGATGCACACCCATGCCAGAAGATTCTGTTGTGCAGCACACTACACAGAAAAACAGACACAGCCCCTAATTGCAAGAGATAAGAACATCTGGCTTAACATCCATCTGAGCTTTTGCACTCATCTGCTCAGTTCCTTGTTTTACATAATTTGGTTAATGTGGTTAATTATCAGTCATACGATTTCAGAAATTTTCTATCTATCTCATCTTTCAGTTAGTATATGCGGAAGGAAAATAGTAGAGATGAGAAAATAGGTCATCTGCCATCTGATAATGCTGAAGAACTGCAGAGAGAAATTTCTTCCAAAGCCAATATGGTAAACATCATCCTGGTTGATGATACTCAGTCTGGGGAAGAGGGATTTATCTCTGTCTGGAAAAGTAGGATCACAGCTGCTAAGCCTTGTGTTATGGGTTCAGGTTTTGGTTCTTCTGTGTAAACAGGCGATAAGGCAAAAAATGATGTTGTAGTTCTAGCTTCTCTCTGAAAAATCATTAAGGAGCTGATGACGGGGGTGATTTTGGAAGGGAATTATGCATAAAGCACTAAACAGCATGTTTAAAAGAAAGAAACATATAACCATTCCCCAGTCTTTTAAGCAAAGAGAGTCATCCAAAAAAGTTATAAGGCATCATTATTCTGGGCCCCCTTTGTGGATTTTCTTTCTGCCCTGATTTTTTTTTTAAGCGATTCATAGAGGTGTATGTTAAAAATGTCCCTGAAGACTACCAAATTAGTGAATGCCTTATTTTAGATGGCGGAAATCCCTCCATTTTCACATTTCAAAAAATCCACATTAGCCCCTCTCCAAGCAGCTGGCAAGGCTTTTTAAAAATGTACAAATAGGGGGAGGGGTCTCTGTTAGACCTGTAATGAAATCTTAAGAAATCCACTCAACCCAAGAAGAGCCTTCTTTAAAATAAATAAATAAACCCTCTTTGCTCAACCTCCTTAGACTTCTTGGTATCAAATGCATAGTATGGTGAGGACACATTTGGCTTGGAAATTCTATCAGTGGCACAGACTTCCTTTGTCTCTGGGATCAATGTCCCCGATTATTATGGCACATTGAACCCTCTCACCAGGTACCCCACCCTATGGCTTATGATTAAGGAACTCTGGTACTAGTGATTCTTGAAAGGGCACGTTACATAGGAAAGCACTACTCTCTCTTGATCCTAGCTTAACTGCACCAGAATGCTGTTCAAGCAAAGGGCCTTAACTAGCAATTTGCTGTTCAGAATGCTGCTTGCTCTGACCCAACACTACTTCTCTGATTAGCTCCAGCAAATCTCACAAGACCTCAATTCTAGGTACATAGCTCAAGGAAAGCAAGTTCCCGTAAATATCTCCAAACATGCAAAGTAGTCACCATTGTTTTCCTCTAGGACTATACTCTCCTCTGGGCCTTGGCCCTGCTCCTAGCAGTTATGGCTGCTTAAGACAGGAAGTAGTTATTCCTGATTAATTAACCCGGTATGAAATTATTGACATCTGCCATCTTTAAAAATTAAGCAGCCCTTTTTAAAAAATCTACTTACTATAGATGTAGCTCATTCTAACAAACTTAAGCGCTCATGAAAAGTTCTGCTAGCTGCTTAACCATTTTCTAGTTTCCTGTTTGCTATTTATGTAACTGACATGTATTTGTAAAACACATTACATTGGTCTAAGACTCTCTCAGTTAAGGAGGCAGGGAAACTGATAAATTATGGTTATGTGTACACATATGAAGGGAACATTGTGTTTGTTAGTTTCTCTCCTCTAGTATAAGGGGGATCAAGTACCTAGGTTATCTGAACAGAAGTATTAATCCCCATTATCAATACAAATGGCCCAATTACAGATAAATCTCTAGCTAGAATAGTATTTTGTTGTTGGCAGCATTTGGGCAGTGGGGGGTATAGTTAAGGACAGCAGTCAGTGCTTTCCTCCATGTTTCCTTGCTGACAGAAGTAAGATGGGTGGTGAGCAGGAGAAGCTATGTTTTAGTGCTGGCACCTCCTCTGTGGAAGGACCACCCGAGATGCTCTTGTAGGCAGCGGGCAAAAGTTTTTTCAGTGAGTCTGCCATTTTAGGTATACCGTTTTTAATTTTTTTAAAAAAATATATTATACATAGAAAGATCTACAATACTAAGAAAAAACAAGCATTAAACAATAATAATAACCATTTACAAAAGGACCTTACATGATGCAACAAGTGTTTGATTTCTATAAAGGAGCATACTTGCAGAATTAGTACAGTGCAAGTAACTGACGCTACAATACACCTCATAAGACAACATGGTTGTGCGTTATCTTGAACCTTGTTATTCCAGAATAGAATGAACAGATACCATTTTTCAACAGCTTGCCTGCCTTCTCTGTCTTTTAGCTTTGCTAAAATTGTTCATTTTTTTCTATGGGCTGCTCTCATTTCTGTCACAGGTAAATGGAAAATGACCTCTAAGAAAAATGGAAAGCTGGCCGAAAGTATGCAAATCTAGCAATGAAGTCCATGGCTGGAGGTTGTTGAAGCTGCAAATTGAGCATTTAATGCTGCCAAAATTATGTATCAAAGGTCTAGTTTCTCAAATATAGTAAGCCCATGAAGTAATTCATCTGGAAGCAGTCTTTAACTAGTATTTTCCCCATTTGTTTTCCTCATCCGTGGCTGACCTTGTCTATTTTCCCCCTACTCTTTTCTGTGCAATTAATACTAATGCCATTGCATTAAAATAAATAAATGTAAAATCTGATGTGTATTTTTTTGTCTTTTCTTTCTTTTTAAAAGATGTAAACCCACTCAATTAAAAATAAAGTTTAAAAAAGGGGAGATGGAGAGAGGAAATTGAAGGAGGGGCTCAAGCAGGTTAAACCGTTTTTGTTATCATGTATATGAATGTTAGGATCAAGGGGAGGCGCACTGTAACATCAAAAAAGAATCCTTGCCATATTGCCTCCTTCCCCCAGCTATGGAGAAATAAAGTATTATTCAAGTCAGTGCTGGTAGTCTTTTAGTACTAAATAAATGAGAATTAAAGCTTCTGCTAGATCATACCGAGGCTCACCTACAGAAGACTGCAACTGAAATCTCCCCACTTGCAATTCCCAGCAACCAACCTACACCAGCATTCTGCCCCTGACATGGGTAGAATGCAGCCACTGCAGTTAATGAAAACCACAGCAGTGTATGGTTCAGAAGGATAGGCAAGGGAGGGGGGGAGTAGTACACTGCTAGTCTCAAGCACCTCCACAAGGTTTTTGTTCCAGCCTTTAGCCCTTGTGTCAGGGCTGTAGATATACTACTGCATTTTGTTCTGAGGATGGTAAAAATACATATATTCATGGCACACAACTGATATCAAGCTGTAGAGACTTTATCACATCAATTACAGTTGAACCTCTACTTACCACAGCCTCTTCTTACGGCAAACCTGGAAGTAACCGGTGGGTTTGCAGCCGTTTGCACATGCACAGAAGCGGGCAATCACCGCCCGTGCCTGCACACAACGGCGCCTCTCTCAGAGACCCATTTCGACCTCCGGACGGACCTCCAGAACGGATTATGGTCACAAATAGAGGTTCCACTGTAATTGTGAAATTTAGGTCTTCAACTATAATGGACAAATCACATCAGTCCTGATTACCAGAACTACTACTAAGAAAGTAGTTTGTAGACTTAAACCTTAAAGCATACTGCCAAATACAGTAAATAAATGCTTACTGGCATTTGTTACGATAACTGTTATATCAAGAAGCAAACTGCTCAAACAGAAGCTATCTTTTTTTTTTTTTTTTTACTTAATGTATCTGAAAAGTTATTTTTTACAGTACCCAAAGAATTACATTTTTAATTTCAGTTTCACAAAATGACCAGGACTTAATTTAACATATCATGCAGCAGGTATTGCTGAAGTTGTATCAACTTTTGCATCACTGACTCTATTTCACAAAGCTTACGGTTAAAACCTGTTTCCACATACATTTGCTCACAAACAAGTCCCACTGTGGTAGGGCATGATTTGAGATTAATGCAGTCCACCAGAGAAGTCCACCAACCACTACACAGCCTCCCTATGTGCTTTATTTGGAAGCTCTTGTATTGTCATTCTTTGGTGAACTACAGCCTAAAGCTGCAATTCTGCAATTACATACATCCAGGTCCCTTTGAAATAAATGAGGCAAATATACACACTTTTAGGACTGAAAGCTAATTTGCATAGGGGGCTTCAATGAACTTACAAAGGGATGCTTTAGATGTTTGCCATTTTTACATATTTAGGTTCAAATTGATGCAGGAGGTGTGATCCACAACTTCAGAGAGGCCCAGATTAAATGCTCTTCAAATCCACACATAAAAAACAAAAGACCACACACACACGCAATCATTTTAAGTGAAGGATTCTCATCACATAACATTCCCAAACTTTAAAACAGTCCTTCTTGGAATAGTTTTATTCAGTATTAAGCTGTGTTTCAAAGAAAAAACCCTCATGCTAATAACCATTTATAGCTTTCATTAAATTAACCAAAAAAAAGGCTATCTTAGAATAACAAATGTTTAAACATATAAAAATAAGTTTAGAGTTAAGGCTCATATTCCAGCTGCAATTTTCAGAAGTACCTAGTGATCTTGGCCATGCAAAACTAAGCACCTAAGTTGCAACAAGGGACCAACTTACTAGAAACCACAGGGATTCATGATTCAGCCACTAAAGTATTTTAATATGCCTCATGTTAGGCAATCTAACGAGTCAGTTTTGAAGATCTCGGTTTATATCTCCTGGCCACTAAAGTAATTTCAACAGCTAAGAGAGAAAAACTGTAATTTTAATTAGGTCAACAGAAGAGCAAGTTCAAATACTGTTTGTTCTTCAGCAAAAAGCCAAATGGTTGCCATGACATTAAGCCATGTTTGCCACTGTTTATCTGTTTTGTAGATCTCTTCCCTTATGAATTCTTGTAGATCAATCATCTTGATGTGTCTGTCGCCTGCAACGGACATCTTTCTGGGAAATATTTGACATATTACACATACGAATTAGCTTAACGAGACCGCAATACCACGCTCCAAAATTACTTCTTCTTTCAGTTCTTACAAGTTTAAAAACTCTTTTCCCAACTCCAGTTTGTTGGGGGAGTTTCTGTTGAAACACAAGGCACAACTTGGGAGGGGATATTTCAGCAGAGTGATTGTCTTAAAATATAGTCTACAAAGTTCTTCAAGTCAACAAATTAAGATCTTTGCTTGTTCTACTCATGCAACATCCTCTAAGTAATCTGCTTCACCACTTAACTGAGAAATGGTGAAATCTTGTGTGAAGTCTTCAAGCTAGGAGAAAAGAAAATATTAAAATGTTAACTGATGTTTAAAATCCAGTGTATTTTATAGCTAAGCTGTTCTTTAAAACATTATCTTCTATTAAAAACTCCTATCAAGAAGATCTCAAGTACTTTCCTATGAGCAAGAGGCAACACACTACTATCTATCTATATGGGTTGCCATATTTTAAAGAACAAAGAAGAGGACACATTTGCTATGATGACTCTACCTGTGAAAAAGAGGACATGTCCTGGAAAAAGTGGACATATGGCAACCCTATGTAAGTCTCAGTGAGTTCAATGAAACATATTCCTAGGAAAGATTGTATAGGATAGCAGCTTTAGTACATTAAATTTTCAGTAAAATAAGGAAGGAGAGCATATTTTAAAAATCAATATTTAGAAGCTTTGTGCCACTGCTGATGCTTGTGTTCATTTTATTATTGTAATGCTACCAACAGGGCTTCCCCTTCTCTTCTTCCCTACAGCATGCCCCTAAAATCTGCTCCAGAAGATTGGGAGACTCTCTGCAGCAGATTGTGGTGCAGGATGGAGCAGATGCAGGCATAAGGAGAAGAAGGGGAAGTTCCACTGTGTTTGCTGGCATGATGATGGATTTCATCCATAGTTGGGGAAATATATTAGCAATTTCATATACTCAAACACTTTATTAATTTCTTTTCAGTGAAGATTAAAAAATGAACTTTTACAATATATACTTGCTACTGAAGCAAAATGAAGAGCAAAATGGCATTTGTTAATGTACAGAGATACAGAATACTCCTAAGGTAAGAGAACAGTGATTCAGATCATACAGATAATTCTGTTGCCTGAACTGGAGACTTAAAAGTATTAATCTTTATTAAGTGCACATGAGACTGTTAGTTACTTGGGAAAATCTCAATATGTTTCAGGTGCCACCCCTCCCTCCCTTATTTTGGCCATATGGAAAAAGCATGTGTGAGCTATGCTGTGCTATGCTTCTTGAAATATGTGGTATCCCTGAAACCATAACCTCCACCTCTCATCCTCCTTCAAACAGAGAATATACTGCAATTATTAAGGAGATCTTACATTCAAATAAATTAAGCAGAGCTCAGTTCACACATTACTCATTCTGCACAGGAAGGAGAAAGGGCAGGGGTTGCTAATGTGGTACCATCCAGATGTTGTGAACTAGAACTCCCATTCTCCTTTGCCTGCCCTTCAATCCCATCCCCCTGCCTGGTGTTCCAATCAAGGAAGGCTGCAAGGCTAGGTCTGAGAGCCATCAGTTAAATTTCCTACAGTATCTCTGATGTAGTGTTGTTCTGGGGCATTGTGGGATTGAAATGCTGATTCCCAGCCTCAACCACCAGGCGCTGTTTGGAGTACCCCTGCTGCAATCAAGTAAACCGCCTGGGGAGTGAGGATCCTACTAATAGTAGGTGTCCCACTAGGTGGCACTTGGCAAGGGTCCCTTAAACACAGTTGCAAACAGGTACAGGTACTGTTTGGCTTAACTGTTTCTCACAATAACGATATGTTTGCAAGCAACCTTCAGAATACAAAAATGGGATTCTATTCTACTGAGAATAAAAATGGATACATGCCCATCCCGATGTAAAGTATAATATACATACTTTATCACTAGGATTGAAGTCGTCTAATTCTACGGAAATATCATCTATTTCTTCACCAATGCTGGCTTCACTTTTCTCTGACCGATGACTAGTACTGACATGAGGAAAAGTTAAAAGATGGAAACAATAAAGCTCTATTCTTTAATGTTAAAGAACACCTTATAAATTAAAATATCTATGAGAAACATTTCTAAATACCTAATAAATAAAATGTTGAATTTCAAAGTTACGTGTGGGCTAAACTGCTTAAAAGATCCTACATTAAAGTAAATTCATCAAATACCAGGAGTCGTTACTTCGAAGTGCCAGTGACTTACATGGAGCTCCCCGCACCCCACAAAGTGATTCTATAGAGAATTGCTGGTGCCATGTGATCACTTAAGGAAGCGTATATTTACTTGACTTCAAGAACCAACCAAGACAGCTCATTAAAAAAAAATATTTTCACACATCAAAATTGGAAGCACATAATTGGCTGCGTTCATGTCACAGTAATCAATGGCTAATAGTTTATGTTGAACATGTAGATAGCTTTTACTCTACTCCTTTCTACTAGCAAGCCGGAGAAAAACACCATGATCCTTGGTTTAGTGTTACATCTGAACCAGGGATCAGGGTCTTGTTTCACTCCAAACAAATCACTACCTGAAGCAAAGGTTTGTGCAGAGTGAAACAAACATGATCCCCAGCTCAGACACAACACTAAGCGAAGGATCATGGTTTGTTAACAAAAAGGAGCAAACTGGAAATTATCAGCATGTTCACTAGCCATGACTTTCCATAATGTGTGAACATGCCCAGAGTATTAGAACGTCAATAAATTAATAAAAGAGCAGTAAATAGTTTGAAAATGCTTGTGTGGTGTATAGCTATATGGAAACACAACTTTTTAAACCCTTTTTGAAAAATAATGGGCATTCTTTTTAACTTATATCAAATGCAAATAAATGCTTGACGTATACCACTCTGAATTTTCTCTTACCTATTGAAATCATCAGCATATTCCTCTTCATCCCCTGCTTATAAATAATTAAAATGGAGGATTAGAAAACTTGAAATTACATACAGTATTTAATTAGAAAGATGTGTTTGCTATCAACCTAGTTTAACAATGAAAATAGGACCATGAGGTTTCCCCCCCTGAAAAATAGTAACTTTAGAACAGCTTAACATGCTGCAAAGCATTTCATCAAACTTATTAATCTATGCATAGAAATAATTTTTATCTTTTGTCTGAACAATTACCAAACAAGATGTGGCAATAAAAAGTTCTTAATGGTGTCCTTCTGAAGAAGAGCTACTTGCCTAGTTCAAGTGATCCAAATTTAGAATTCATCATCTTTACATCTTTCAAAATTGAGTTTGCATCTGTAAAATAGAGGTTAGGAAGATCAAAAGTGTGTAACTGCTTCCTACAGAACCTACTTAAAATGCATGTTAACCAGATAGATGACAGAGCGAAAATGTGAAGTTGCTATGTTGGTATTAAGAGCAGCCATGCTGATTTTCTATGCTCATGTTCTCATGTCAAGATAAGACAAAAACCATGGCTTACTATGTATGAACAACAACAGCAACAATTTATTATTTATACCCCGCCAATAAATAAATAAATAAATAATTTATTTATACCCTGCCCATCTGGGCAGCTTCCAACAAAATATTAAAATACAGTAATCCATCAAACATTAAAAGCTTCCCTAAACAGGGCTGCCTTCAGATGTCTTCTAAAAGTGTGGTAGTTGTTGTTCTCTTTGACATCTGGTGGGAGGGTATTCCACAGGGTGGGTGCCACTACTGAGAAGGCCCTCTGCCTGGTTCCCTGTAACTTGGCTTCTCACAGTGAAGGAACTGCCAGAAGGTCCTCGGCACTGGACCTCAGTGTCCGGGTAGAACGATGGGGGTGGAGATACTCCTTCAGGTGTACTGGACTGAGGCCACTTCACTACTCCTTTCCTGCTTGTACTGGAAGCAGTTGCAGTTGGTGTGAAGGGTGAACTGCGCACCAGGCTACTGAATAGCAAGCACCGGTACTGCTTTCTGAGCAGGAAAGGGGCAAGATGTGGGGAGCTCAACACTGTGTGGGTCCAGTGGTGGAGCCAATCTGACTCTCCTGCTCCCCCTCCCCATGAGCTCCCTGTGCCTCTTGGCTCCTAGTAAGTGGGAGAGGTGTCTGCCAGGTGGAAGCCAGGTGCCCCACTTACATGCCAGTGACTGGGAGGAAACAAAATATGATCAGTAAGCCAAAAAAAAAACCTTGGCTACAGACTGTGTTTGTTTGTACTGAAATAAACCATGATCCCTGGTTTAATGCCAAGCCAATAATATTGGTTTCTTTCATCCTAGCAATGAGTAGGGGGAAGAAAAAGTAGGTGAGATTTGTTTATGCACAGTAAGTCATGATTTATAGCTTACTGTGACATGTGAATGCAATCTTCATATAATACTGGAGAACATACTTGCCAATTCATTCTCCTACTTCATAAAAGGTGACTGTTGCAGTTGAAAACTGATAGCTATCCAAGAAATATAGAATGACAGTGTGCCTAAGATGTTATTTGATTGTTTTGCTGATTGAATAGATTCTTTTTAAAAATTGTAATCTGCTTTGGGTCCATTATAATAGTCAGCAGATCATATAAAAGAAATATGCATGCTATATAAATTAGAATCTATGTACAAGAACAGTGGGGAACACAGAAATTTGAATGGATTCTATACAGAATGGGTGACTAGCCTGTGGCCTTCCAGGTGTTACTGCACCGCATTTCCCATCATTCTTGACCACTGGCTATGCTAGTTGATGGGAACTGGAATTCAACAATTTCTGCAAGTCCACAGGTTAGCTTTATAGCATCTGAACTGGTTGTCGGGAGTAACGTGCTGCAACCCAGCAATGCACAAGAACACTACATCACTATTTGCCAACTAGCCCTGGTTGCACAGCATTTATCACAGCTAGGTACCTATCCTCTTTTTCTGGTGCAAAATAATAACTTTAAACTGTTTACAACAACACCAGAATGGTAATGATCTAGCACAAAGCTAAGTGAAGGTATGCTCTTGTAATGCAAGATTATTATAATATTTAGAGCAAGGGAGTGTAATTTCTCACTCAACAACTTACTGTCAGACTTTTTTAGAGGAGGTGCTCCAGACAAAGAGCTCAGACCAGTCTTTATAGGTGGTACATCAGAAAGAGAAGCATTTCCTTCCTTGATAGAGTCATTCTTCCTTTAAAAAGGAGGGAAGGGGGAGAGATACATCATTTTTTAACTGCTTCAAACTGAGTCATGAATGTTGGCTCTCAATGCCAGTTATGGCAAGAAAAGCTCTGCACACATTCTCACCTATTCCAAAGCCTCTTCAGTGTAACTGTTTATGTCATGTGATGTTTTATCAACATAACCCAGAGGAAGAGATTCAGATGTAAATATAAATATAAACTGTATCAACCATGTTATGATTTTGAATTCAAGTAAAATTTTCTTCAGAAGCAGACATGGCATCAGAGCTGATTATTCCTTGAACCTGTATGAAGTAGTATGCAATAACAACCATTTGGTTGTTACAATTTTTCCACTTGCCTCAAGGAAAATATTCTGTGCACAACATACCATTTGCACGTGTGCAGAGCAATCCACCCCCCCCCTCAATACATCAGCTTGTTGTTCACTTTTAGACAGGGTTGAAGTGTCTTCTGCTTTCCTCTCCCAGCTAAGCTGGACTCTGCCGGCTGCCAAAAGTGCAGGCTGCCTGCTGGTGGGATGCCTGGAGGCAGCAGTTAGCAGAAAGCCCTGAAACAGAGCATTCCAAGACTAGGGAGGGGCTGAGCTAGTCCAAGATCTGCTTGATCAAGTCTCACTTCTGTCATGCAGTGACACTGAGTTTGATCAGTGTTGGCTTGTGTTGGAGGCGGGTTTCGGAGTGCCATTTAGTTTCTGGGACAGCTTAGGTGATGCACAAAGCTACTTTTAGACAGAATATTCTGAAGCTCTGCTGCATGCAGGGCTTCATCCATCATTCTCTAAGTTGAAGCACTGGTGTCCCGACACTGCCAGCCTTTGCAAACACACCGAAGCCATTATGGTGTCATCATCACAAAATACATCTGCATATATAAAGACATGAATATAAATATTTCTGAATTACAGGGTTCTATTGTCAAGCAGGAAATATATTTTCTTATTTTTGAAAAAGCGATTTCTGTAAATGGGGGAAACACAAAGGCAATCTATGGGCACTGCAACAAACTATTCTTCTACAATTTGTGCAAAACATGTACCCTCTCTTTTATTTATTCTAAGGTAGAAAAGTGCAGCATCCTCCAGCCTAAAACGTCTAACTATTTTATTGTCTAAAGGAAACATTTATAGTTGTAGTTCATTCAATTTACCAGTCATAACTTTGTTCTGGTTTTGGTATGGGATCATCAAAGAAGGAATCTCCCTCTGCATCATCTTCTCCTACTGCTAGATTATTCTTTTCTTTGGTATCTACATCATTGTTTGGTTGAGAAATTAGTTTTGTTTCATTGGGTAAGGAGTGAATGCTGCCTTTGCTCTTTGCTTCTCCAGACAAGATGCTTGTATCACTATGACTTGTTCCAGTAACCTAAAAAACAAACAAACCACTTCCTTAAACAAGTCATATAATTTGCTACCCTTGAGTTATAATCCATTTTTGTATACAAAAAAAGAACATACAGTAGTACATCAATAGTCATGTAGGCACAATGTCACTTCAACAGTTTTTCAATTATCTGTTAAATTAATTGCAATGTGTAGACAGAAATGCCAGTTTCACAAACTTGTAAAGAAAGAAGTTTAAAAGATAAAGGTTTCCTATTTATTTATTTTTTAAATATGTATATTCCACTGTAGCATTAAAAAAAAATCAAAGTATGGGAAATGATATATAATGAATTAAAAAAGGTATTTAAGTATACCTTCCCTAAGAAACCAGAGGCCTTTCTTCTGGGCATAGTCGGCCAAATGGTGTTAAAAAAGGATAGAACTTTCTTTATGTATGCAACAACAGCAGCAAGAATACTCATCGCAAAGTATTGGAAGACACAAGAACTTCCCACGCTGGAGGAATGGCAGATGAAACTTATGGACTATATGGAATTGGCGGAAATGACTGGTAGAATCCGTGACCAAGGAGAAGAGTCGATGGAGGAAGATTGGAAGAAATTCAAAGACTATCTTCAGAAACATTGCAAAATTAAAGAATGTTAGAGTGATGTTGGACTGAAAATAAGCGGTTTCCAGCTGTACAGGTTAAAGTTAATGATAGACTAAGATTAAAGATTAGGATTAAAGATGTTTAAAGAAATGGAAATTTGACATTAAGAGGGAAAATTTTAACGTTATATGATATTAAGACCAAAGATCAGGTTTAAAGAAGTTGAAGTTATTTATTTCAATATCGTATTAAAGCTAAAGATTGGGATTAAAAAAGTGGAAAAGAAATTGCTGGACAAACAATTTGGATTGGAATACAAAAGAAGGAGGTATGAGGAAGTCCAGAAAATAAGTAACTAAAAAACGGAAATGGAAAAGAGATATTGTTTTTAATTGTTATGTTTTTTGTTCTTTTATTGTTGAATCTTGGTTTTTTTGTGTGTTTTTGTTATATGTATTGTGTATGTTTTTCTTTTCTTTCTTTGTTGTTCAAAACTTTAATAAAAATTATTTAAAAAAATAAAAATAAAAAAAATCAAAGTATGTTTACAGCAATAATGCCATATAATAAAACCATAAAAAGTTAATGAGTTATTATAGTTATTAACCTGTAACAGTTATAGTTATTAAAGTTTTGAGATGTTTGCTACTCACTTGAGCCCCAAATGAATTTTACAATATAATCCTAAAACACACTTACTTGGCAGCTTCATTTTATATGGGATATATAACCCTTACACTCCATGAGCATCCAAGGCAACATAAAAACGTTATCTAGAAGAAGTATTAAATACCACCCTAAAGCCCAACGACTTCAATAGAATTAAATCCCAGGTTAAATAGATGTAGGACTTCAACCTAAAATTACCAGATTAATAGAAACAACATGAATAAAATGCAGTACTCAATAAAACAGCAGTATTGTTTTTCATTCATAAGAGTGGTAAATTTATTTCCACATCTGCACCAACCATTTTGCCCAAGCCTGCATGGAGTTCCACCTCATTATCAGCCTGATGGGTCAGGACATCGCCAGCATTCCAAGCCAGCACTCCACACATCAGCATAGGCAGCCACATGCTTGAGGTGGTAGACTGGGCTTCACCATAACCAGCAACCTTTCAATCGATGTTGAGCTGGACAATCGTATTGGCAAGGCAGCTACAGCAATGGCTCACCTCTCCAAAAGGGTACGGGAAAATGTGATGCTAACAACCAATACCAAGATGAAGGTCTACCAGGCTTCTGTACTGAGTACACTGTTTTATGGAAGTGAGTCACGGGCAACTTTCACCCGCCAGGAGCAATACCTCAATGCCTTCCATTTGTGCTGCGTCAGGCAGATTTCCAGCATCACATGGCAAAACAAAATGCCAAAGAAAGATGTGCTCTCCCAAGCCCACATTCCCAGCATGTTTGCAACATCAACACTGGTTTGGTCATGTACACAGAATGGAAGATAGCAGGGAGCACTAGGCCTGCTGGCAGACCAATTCTGTGTTAAAAAGATGTCTGCAAATGTGACATGAAGGCTGGTATGGGAATCCCTTGCAGATGACTGTAGTGCCTGGAGACAGTCAAGTCATGTAGCCATAGTAGTGACCAGAGGAGGAATGACCACTTTGAGAAGCAGAGGGAAGAAATGCCATGGCACACCTATAGCACCGAAACCAGATGACTTCGTCTGCCCCACCTGTAATAAAATATGTCTCTACTGTATTGTTCTCTACAGCCACAGCAGGTAACTCTCCAACGGTTTGACTTTACTCCCAAAGGCACACTCTTCCCAAGACAGACAGATGCCAACAATATCTGCATAAGGAGTGTCAGCGATTACTTTTAAATTCAGCGATTACTTTTAAATATACAGTATTAGAGTTAAAAATTTAAAAGGTGTGGTATCAAAAACTCTTCTTCGGGCTCTCACAATTCAACAAAGCTCCAATTTTCTTAGAATAGAATTTTTGTATTAGTAATCTGATACAATTTTATAGTTAAGGATTTATGACAGTTTCATTGTAACCAGTTCTGAAACCAATTTAGTAGTTCTAGCAGGTAAATTGCCATTAACCGCTCATCGAGAAATTTCATCTAGATTTTGAAGGCTGACTAATGCAAATTTCCATATAATCAAACAAATCACAACTTTGGATGAATGATTTAAAAACTATTCTGAACACTTAAAATGTGGTATACAAATACTAAGCATTACTATTTCCACTTCTCAGTAGCAGCATCCTAGAAGGATGATACCCAAACCCTTGTCCTTTCATAAAGATTTACAGGCTGAAAAAACCTATGCAATGCAAACAGGTAGGCACATCATTCCCCAAACACCTGCTATATAGTTAATAGCAATATTGGGGAGGGGGGTTAAGGTGGGTTTTAGTGCAGTTATCAGAGGGTAGGAGTGCTTAACTTTTACCTTCCCCCCACCTATCATTCCTTCCCAATTCTTCAGCTGGGGGCCTATTTTTTATCTTTGATCTGGCAATAAGGGGAAAATGGCCACTGAAAAAGGTTGCAAATGAGAAGGCAGTGGCCACAGCTCAGTGCTAGAGCATGTGTTTTGCATGCAAAATGTTCCAGGTTCCATCCCCGGCATATTCAGGTAGGGTTTAGAAAAAAACCCCGATTGAAATTCTGGACAGCCACTGCTACACAGTGTAAGCTGTACTCTGCTGGGAGTACCAATTGTCAGCCTCAGTATAAAGCAGTTTCCTCTGCTTATCTGTCCAACTGATATATTTATTAAAATATTTCTATCTTGCCTTTTCATTAAAAACTGCTCAAGGCAGCTTATAGAATAGTGGAGGTGACATAATGAATCCAGGGAAATATAATCTTAAGAACAAATTAGAAACTAATAAAAAATAGAAAAGCATCACAGCGTGGAAGAAAGGTTAAGCATCGCTGCACACATGCAAATGTCCCCCGCCACCCCACCAGCATTCACACAATAGGAGGCAAAGACAAAGCTGGGGACTGTCTAGTTTCATCCTGAATACACACCAGTGAAGCTGGTTCAGAGTTAGGTCACATCCACCCCATGCATTTAAAGCACATGGCTTTCCTCAAAGAATCTTGGGAACTGTAGTTTGTTAAGGGTTTTCTGTGTATGAGTGTGTCTGCATGTGGGTAAACTTCAGTTCCCACAATTCTTTGGAGGAAGCCATGTGCTTTATATTACAGTGCAGATGTGACCAGTTGAAAGTAAAAGCTGCTTTCAGAATAGAAAAAATGCTGAAACACTATTAAAAAAGCAATCCCACAAATGCCTGCTAGTCCTCAAATCATCTTATGACCAATGACAGTATAGTGTTTCAAAAAGAAGTAAAGGTCAAGTGCAGTCATCCATTACTCGGCCTTTAAAGAACCTTATGGTATTTTCCTATATGCACGCACTGGAACCTCAGTTCATAACCCAAGGCCTGCTCTAAGTGACTCTGCCAATTGAGGTATAGGTAGTAGCTATGCGTGAAAATACGTTTTTTGCTAGTAGCCCCATGATAGTTGTATGGTCTCCCTACAGAGACTTTGTTGGTATCTACTGTAACATATTTTTAGTGCCAGGCAAATACATTTTTATTTTCCCATGTTTTTTAATTTTTGGGTTATTTTACACTTTGTAGACTTTATCCCTTTGTTTTATATGATTTAGTGCTCCAGTTTTTGATTCTCAACTTTCTATTTTGGTATGATCTGTCCTTAGACTTGATACCTGTTTTTATTATCTGCTTTTTACCACATTTCAATTGTAATTGTGTTCATTTTTTATCTTGGTAATCTCCCAATAGCTTCTGTTACAGAAAGGCTTATAGACTTTACATGCAAATAAATAAATAAAATAAATACACTACTTGATGGTGTGGTCTTTGCCTTCTCCATTCCTTCAGGACAGGGTAAGGAAGGGAATATGATAGCTATCTCATAGGAAAAACAGCAAACCACCAAAAGCATCCTTTCCTAGCTCTCTTCATGCCTTCTGGACTGGCTTTCAAAAGATGCACAAGGTTGGGGGTGGAGCAGAGGAGCAGCAGTACTGTATTCAAGTAAGTGAAACAGGAAATGGGTGGCTATTCCCTGAAATCTTAATTGCAACTCTGCCACAAAGCTGTTTTTGTATAAGGGACAGGTCCAAACATCCTAACAGCCAAATTGAAATGTTTCAGATAAAGTAATTCACTCAAGATTATCCAAGATATACACTCCATTATCTCAGCACCAGTACACACTATGTTTAATGAGCAACCACAGGTAAGTCAGCCCTGCTCTGCCTGGTTGGAATCCTAAAGGTTCTCCCTTTATGCAGGGAAAGTTAGATAGTCCTCAGCTGCTTGCCTGCCCCTCACTTTGATGGGGGGAAATTATCGGGTCCTCTATCCTCAGCAAAGTGAAGGTCAGGCAAATGCTTCAAATTTCAAAGTCATATTTGGTATGTAGAAACATTCAGAATTCCAAGTGGGTAGGAAAGGGTTTCATTTCATGAGTTAATGTGTGAACTGGCCTTCAGTTAACCAAGAACTAACAATATACAGTAGTAACATTACTGAATGAAATTGTGTCAAAAAACCTAATTGTTAAAGTTTTGGAATCCAAAGATGTGACCTTTTGATACAAAAACTGCATGGAGTCATAAAATGCAGGAAGGAGGGCAGGCAAGCAAGCACCCGCTCCATAAAGATAGGTAAAGCTTATTAATAAGCTTTGCATTAAATTTACATAATGTAATTAATATTGTGCCTCAGAGTCTGTGTCACATCTACATATTTGTGGAGTTAGTTTACCGAATGCCATGAGTCAGTTGCAATGATTTTTACTGCAAGCTGCTCTTTCTTAAAGGTAGAACTACAAGCACCTGTCAGTTTCTTCTCCTCATGCATTTTACCTGCTCAGTTGTGTCCAAGCACCTTTTCTGTTTACGATGTCCTTTATACCTTGGTATCTGAGCACAAGAATAAAATAACGGCACAAAAATGAAAACAAATTATATGTGGGTTATGCTATGTGATTATTGAGTTAGATCTATGCTATCACTCTAAAAACCCAATTAAAAGCCTTGCCTACTACATTCTCTTTCTGCTTGACCAGTAGATTACTTCATGAGCTGTCACCTCCCACCTACTTAAAAATAATCACAGGCTTCAAATGAAATATGGTAAGAGATGTGATGAATGAGTCTGATAAATTTCATAAGCATTATAATCTACAAAATTTTCTTTCCAGTTTCTTGCCACAGGAAAAAATTCTGTTTTCCACCACGCTTTGCTTACACTGCCCCAGCACACATGTAAAATTTTAGCATTCATATTTGGAAGTGAAACAACTATTTTGAGTATGGCCTCTATACTTGGATATACTTTTGGAATAGTACAGGAAATACATTCAGTGTTACTAGACAGAAGCTACCATTTCTCCTTTTAAGAGAGATGCGTTTTCTACTTCTACAGCATTTCATTACCTAGTCTACCTTCTAGATAAAAGATCAGAGATATGAAAGCCTGGGTCACGGGGAAAGAAAAATTGGAAACTTTGGGAAACTCTGAAAAGAAGCTCTCCTGAAATTTTGGAATGAGTGAAATGCTTTAATACAGGTTTAATTTACAAAAAATGTGCACTAAGAAGATTTACGTAAAATAATCTAAATAATTAGAGAATACTTGTGTATACTGTACCTATAAACATTCAAATGTGTTATGTATTGCTTAACTCAGTAATCAAATAAACAAAGAGATTGTAATACTGTGATTGTATGAAACCATTTTGTATATGCTGTTTACAACAATATTTGTGGTTCTATTTTCAATGTTTATTTATTTCTCAGATGGCAAAAGTTCTGCACACACTGTTTAGGTAGCATACAGTGCAGTTCTCTTTCTTGAGTACTGGGTTCATTCACCATTTTGCTTGCATAAAATTAAGGCATTTATACTTTTGATGCTGTAAGCTACACTAATCAAAGAGTGGGTTTTACATATGAGTAAATGAGCATTGGATTAGTGTGCAAGTTCCATAAAAATGCCAAAGAGTACAATTTTATATGCTAAGTTATAAAAGGTGATATTTTGTTGTGAAAAGTAATAAAATATATGTAGATTTGATAAGGAAGTATTACTACTTCAGTTTCCCCCTGAGGAAAACAAATTGGTTGCTTTACATCAAGCAGTTGGTCCCTTACCTTTCCCGCCCCGATCTGGCCACAGTGATCCATGCGATGGTCACCTCCAGGCTTGACTACTGTAATCCGCCCTACGTGGGGCTGCCCTTGAAGCTGTCCCAGAAACTCCAGCGGGTGCAGAATGCTGCAACGAGGCTCCTCACAGGGTCTCTGCCATGGGAGCATTTTCACCCAGTGCTTTTTCAGCTGCATTGGCTCCCGGTGGCATACAGGGTCAGATTTAAGGTGCTGGTTTTGACTTTTAAAGCCCTTCACGGCCTAGGACCCTCGTACCTACGGGATCGCTTCTCCTGGTATGCCCCACGGAGGACCTTAAGGTCCATATATAGTAACACCCTAGAGGTCCCGGGCCATAAGGAAGTTAGATTAGCCTTAACCAGAGCCAGGGCCTTCTCAACACTGGCTCCAGCCTGGTGGAACGCTCTGTCTCTTGAGACCAGGGCCCTGCGGGATCTGATCTCTTTCCGCAGGGCCTGTAAGACAGAGTTGTTCCACCTGGCCTTTGGCTCAGAATCAGTTTGATTCCCTCCCCCCCCCTTTTTTTTCCTTTCTCCTCCTATGATGAGATTGCTCCCTAATTGTTTTAATATTGTATCTTAATCTTTTAAATTGTATTTTAATCAACTTCTTTTTATTATTGGTTGTTAGCCGCCCTGAGCCTGGTCTTGGCTGGGGAGGGCGGGGTATAAATAAAAAATTATTTTTTTTATTATTATTATACAGGACAATTTATTTATCTACTAGGAAGACTGTAAGCACTTGGTAGGATTCAAATGCCTTGAGTCATGTAACCCCTGCTGCTATGTACAGAATTCTGTTCACAGATGTGCAACTTGTGCTTACAGACTCAGACTGAAACCTTAAATGAGACCACAGCCAGTATGCAGATTTTACAATTATTACTTATACACCTTGAAAAAAACATTTTCATTTTTCATTGTGGGAAGTCATGCCAGTTAAAATAGTTTTAAACTAGTATAATTTAGCAAACCACAAAGTTCTAGCATGTGACATCAAAATCATATTCCAGTTTCTCAACACAGACAGTACCATTATGAGTCTCCTTTTGACCATCAGTCATTTTTAGCAGTGTTCAGAAATACATCATTTAAAACACACAAACAAAAACAAACACTTTAGTATTGCCTAGCAGCCTAACAAAAAGTAGCCATCAATTGTAATCTTCTTACAAGATTCAAAAGAATCTTCTTACCACTATCCACAACAGTGTCCTCACAAAACAACACTAAAACATTTTATCTTTAGAAAAACATTACTAGCACATTGTTAAGTTTAATAATTCCCGTGATCCCAAATGATTAGCCAAGCACTGGAAGTAAGTTCTGTTTTATTAGCTATAAACATTTAGAAACGTTAAAAAAGTGACTTGGGAAAAACAACTGGAGTGCATTTTTGTGAATATACTGCCACCTTGCTTTCAATATTTACTCTTCAACAAACTGCCTTTAAAAAAGAAAACAGGTATTGTCAAGATTTTAACTTTGGATCACACAAGGCATTGTGCGGAGAACAGTTTTCACCTAGATTTAAGAAAGGGCCAATTCATCCAGTTTATCCTCTTGCCCCCAATAAAGGAAGATTCATATGAAATGATGCTGTGGGAATAATCCAGGTAATGAAACCCATAAAAGGAACTCTCCAAAGCTAGAACCAACAGCTGCTACTTTAAGTGTTCCAAGAAATTAACAAAGACTTTGGGCTGCATGACAAATTGTTAACATGTACTTTCCAATGTTGTAATGTATGCAAACAGAAACATTAAACAATGCATTGCACTAGGGAGTCAGGATTGGCAACAGCTTTCTGATACATGCATACATGGTGGAAAATATTATTGATGCCGAGTGACATAAAACAACATTAACTTACAGGAAGGCACATATTACTGTTCAACACATCAGAGTGTGGTTGGGTTTACATTTACAGGGCTCCACTTCACTGATGAAGTAAGTGGCAGAAGTTCTCTCTGCAATGTTGTTTCTACATATAGACAAAGTCATCTCTGTTCTCTGTCCTACAAGCAGCTCATTCATGCTATAACAAAGGTACCTTTTGCTCTTCACCATCACATCACTAGCGATAATAGCTACACTGAATACATAATCTCTCTGTTTTAACCACAGCTACTGCAACTGTTTAGCCGGTAAGAGGATTTTCTCTGTTCCACAGCAACACCAGCAAATGTCTTACCAGTTCATGCCAGTTTTTTATTGTCACCTGCAAAACAGATGATTTCTATGACCTGATCATCTTAATGCCCTCTGGTATTTTCTCTTGCAACCCCAATGCTCCCCAAAGAGAGGTGGAAGAATCCTCATTTGGACTTAAATACTTTCTTCAGCAGATCAAGAACCAAGCACCTGGCCTCTGGAAATAGAATGGTGGACTAGATGGGTAAGGAGCCATCAAGCCACCTAATCCAGTATCCTGCTCTCATAGTGGTCAACCAGATGCCTAAGGGAAGTAGGAGGCTTCTAGCAACTGGTATTCAGAGGCATACTACTTTTGATCCATTCATGGAGTCACTATTCTTTCAGTTAGTTTACCTCTGTCCAGTACTTCTCTATGTATAGCATTCTTTGTTCAGTCTTTATTAAAACAAGCAAGAATCTGGTTAAGAAACATGAGTCTCTTGGGACAAGGTAGAAAACAGAAAAGCAAAGAGGTTGCAAAGAATTTCTCAGTAACTCTTCTAACAATGTAAAGCTTTAATCAAGATAATCAAGGCTGAAATTTCTTCTTAATATTCTGCTGGACAGTCAATACCTCCTTTTTTGTATTGGCACACTCCTTAGGAAATATATGTTTCTAAATAGAGATTGTTTCTTTTGAGGCTCCCAGTAATCTTGTTCTTTTGCTAAAACTACTAGAAACACAAAGCCAATCAACAACAGTTAGTCTTCTACCCGCAGACATGTATCTCATTAAATCTGTTTGCTCCTACAACCAAGGTTACATAGAGTAACACTGATACAAGCCTTTACAAAATCAAACTTGCTGCCACCACGGTTCTTTTGTTTAAGTTGTAATTTGATACTAGGAAAAAGAAAAAATCAACACTACTAAAAATCTAACCTTCCTTATCTGATACAAGGAACAAACAAGAACAAATGTGAAAATAAACAAGTCACATATGGTCCATATGGTCTACAAAACTAATTTCCCCAACAAGTATGCCAAACTCTTGTTAGTACAGGCTTGCACAATTTATTATGTATCAAGGTAAATACACAATATTCAAATCAGGCAAGCAACCTTAAGTAAACTAAGCTGGTACAGGCTGCCCCCCACATTAAGTTTCAATGGCCTAGTTTGCACATCACATTAAACCACAATTTAAAACAAAAGTTTCTGCAGCGCTCCTTCTCTCTCGTAGCATAGACAAAAGAAGCTAGAGCCTTGATTGTTACATCAGCTGAACCTGTGCTTGTGGTTGGTTTTCACCAAACAAACCATGAACAATAAGCTAAGCACAAACTTTGGTTACACTTGTAACCTTTTGTTTCCTTCAGATAAACCACATGCCTGGATATGAATCACATGGCCATCCAGACTTTGGCTTGTTTATCTACAGCATAGCAGCAGGAGTGCGGGAGAAAAGCAGTAGAACTTTTCAGCTATTCATGCTCTGCTTCTCAAATGAAGTAGCAACAAAAATTGCACATCACACATTGTCATTCTAGTTTTATAATATCACTTTCCAACTTCTTTCTAATTTATACCTGCACCCCATCAGATTATGGTTTTATTTCATTAAACAATTATCTGCCTTTATCATTCCCCGATATCTTACTTCCTGTTTAGAAAGTCAAACAGGGTCTATTAACAAAATGAAAGACTTGATAGACAAGAATGAACAGAGAAAAAAATTGAAAGTTGAAAATGTGCTTCTCAAATAATATTAAGCTTAATTCCAGTACTCTGACTTACCTTACTTGGCAATGAGTGTATGTTAGATCTTCCATCTGATGATTTTGGAGGAGAATGTATACCATCAGATATTATAGGGGCTACCTAAATAATAGTTTTAGAATAGAAAATAAACAATTTTAAACACACCAAAATATAAACATTAAAGTTGCTTGTCATAGTTTGTTTAGCATGCCTACATCAAGATAAACAGTTTATTAAGAAAGTTAGTATAACTAAAATACTACACATTTTCAAAATCCTTACCTCTCCAAAGTTAGACACTCCCTTCTTCTGCTGGCATCTTCTGATCACTTCCAGCAGTAAGGGCCCTTCTTTTGTAGCTTTAGCTTCTATAATTCCCAACTCCCGTGCTAAATTCTCTCGAGCCTCAAGCCCATTTAACTAAAAATAAGCATAAAGCATTCCCGGCCATTAACACAATATATTTTACACAATTGTTCTTTCTCAAATTCAAGATTTGACAGCTGACTGACAGAAAAAGAAATTGTCCCTAAAGTGCATGAGCACGACATTCAAGTTAAAGTTCTTAATATCTTCCCCCCCATTTATTCAAAAGCAGAACCAAAGGTTTAAACAGTGTTCCATTGTATTTGGGGGGAGGGGGAAAATCAGATTAGCACTGCAGTCTTATGCATGTCAAATCAGAAGTAAGCCCCACTGTTTGCAATGTCTACTCCTAAGTAAACATGCTAATGAACTGGAGAGATGATGGAGAAAAATGAAATTGGGGACAAAATTGAGGATGGGACAATTTCAAGCATGTTGGTCGAATTACTGTGTTATAATGTGTTATTATAATGATTAAATGTGTTATTACATTATGTGTTGTTATAAGAATTAAAATGAATATAATGTGTTATTCTCTAATTTGTTGTTATAATGCTTAAAATGCTTACTTACTGTGCTTGATTCAGGCTGAAAGACAGCCAAAGTAAAATCAAGGTTGAAGAATTGAAGAAATTCAGCAACCAGACTAGCCACCAATCGACCTACAAAAAGAAATGAGCCACATTTGGTTTTCCTGTACAGCATTTGCACTCACTATTAACATTTTCAGTTGAAATGTGAGTTAAGTGCTACTGTTTACAAAACAGGTATGATATAGTGAAAAAATGCTTTGGGCATTCAATAATGAATAAACAGGTCTTCCTATATTTCATTGAATTTCTTCAAAAATTGCTCCCAAACAGACTGGCATTCAAAGTTAAAACCTAAATGTAGTGAGGCTGGGCGGGGACAGGGGAACAGAGTAAGGAAATTCTAGGCAAGGAAGCCCTTTTCATTGCATGGTTATTTTGAAGGTAGACAAGGAAAGGAAGATCCAGTGTTAGTGATACTACACTTGAGAACGGGAAAATAGGAAGAATGGAGAAATAGGTGGAGGAAGGGCTAGTATTATGTAAGTCATATACTCTGAAACACTCTTTTATGAAGGGCTACAAAGACAGGGAGGACTTCCCTTTACACCAGCAGTGGGGAACCTCTGACCCATGGGTCTAATGTGGCCCAGTATGGGTCTAAATTTGGCCTTTAAAGCAGTTCCCCACAAACCAGACCCACCTGCCTCACACTTGATGTCATATACAAGTTCCTAAATGCTTAAAGAGTTTAGATTTTAGGTCCTGTGCACTTATCAAAGTTGACTCATGGGTTGTGTGGGGGGCAATAAGGGATCTGATCTGTAGGCTAGATTCAGTTCCCCACCCATTTTACATCTTCTAGAAACTAAAGTCTTATTTTGGACACACACACTTCTGTAAATTCCAAGTTACTTCAGGCCTAAAACCCTAGCAGTTATTGGTTAGCAATTCAACTGAGCACATTTCCCCGGAAACATCCATTTCCCAAATGTGGCAAATAATCACTCTGCAAACTTGCTATTGTTGTTGTTCAGTCATTTAGTCGTGTCCGACTCTTCGTGACCCCATGGACCAGAGCACACCAGGCACTCCTGTCTTCCACTGCCTCCCGCAGTTTGGTCAGACTCATGTTTGTAGCTTCGAGAACACTGTCCAACCATCTCGTCCTCTGTCGTCCCCTTCTCCTTGTGCCCTCCATCTTTCCCAACATCAGGGTCTTTTCCAGGGAGTCTTCTCTTCTCATGAGGTGGCCAAAGTATTGGAGTCTCAGCTTCAGGATCTGTCCTTCGAGTGAGCACTCAGGGCTGATTTCCTGAAGAATGGAGAGGTTTGATCTTCTTGCAGTCCATGGGACTCTCAAGAGTCTCCTCCAGACCATAATTCAAAAGCATCAATTCTTCGGCGATCAGCCTTCTTTATGGTCCAGCTCTCACTTCCATACATCACTACTGGGAAAACCATGGCTTTAACTATACGGACCTTTGTTGGCAAAACTTGCTATAACCTACATTTAAATATGAAATGCAGTCTTGTTTCCACTGAGGTTGCTGAGACTGACCTTTAACTGTAAAGCTATGTCATTCAATTGAGTTTCGGTTATTATGAATAAAGGATTTAGTAAGCCTTTTAAATCTTCAAAATATTTTACAATCTTTGTGTTCTTTACACAATACAACAATCCTGACAGCTTACTATTCCTATTTTACATAGGCAGAAGCAAGAATGATTTGCTCAAGAACATACAGAAAAGTACCAGGTCCAAGTACAGCTTTTAATCCACTTACAAATTCCTATTTAGTTTCCCTTCCTCCAGTTTTATAATTCAAAGGTCTGGCATGAGCAAAACTTTCACTCTGAAACTGCTTGAAGTTTTATGCTTATGCTTGCAGCCAACAAAAGTATAGCAAAAGGACTTCCGGGTTGGCGCCTCTGGCAATGGCGGATTTCCTCTGATCGGGAGGAATACGCTCCGTGGAAATCAGGGTCTGAACCGCCAAGGCGAGGTGGAGACCCATTAAAAACCACAGGCGGGAGAAGCCTGTGGACGTGGGATTCGGCTGGCACCTTTTGCGCCTCCCCTACTCGCGGGGAAACCCGGTTTCGGGGATCCGGAGTGACGTGGGGTGAGCGGCGCGGTGCTTCGAATCGACTGCTTCTTTCACGGAGTGAAGCCGCATTGCTGTTGCCGGAGAGCGCTGACTTTTTCCTGTGGACAATTGGACTCTAAACAACTACCCGTGAGTAGAACGGAAAATTGGATTTCTAAACTTCTTAATTTGGCATCGAAACGGGAAGGTCTCAAACAGGAAGTCCGCCTTCCTCTTTTGTAAATAGAGTAAAGCAAAGACGTTGCAAGCTAAAGCCTGGAAAGTTTTCTGTAAAGGATTAAATCTCCATCAGTTAAAATAACTAAACCCCCCTTGGAAGCAGGAGAAGAGGGGGGAAATTCTATTGTTTAAGCCTGCAGGAGAGAGAGTGAAGAAAGATAAATCACCACCGCTTCGAACCTGGGAATGGACTGTCAGTAAGATTGACGCTTTAGGAAAGTTCATTGACTGAGAACAAAACGATGTTGACAGATAGTTAAATAAGAGTAATACATTGTTTCAATTGCTTCCTTTTACATTTAAAAAGGAGGTGGGGAAAAGTAACTGAAAATTGAAACTAGCTCGGTGGCTGGATCTGTGCTTAAAAGGATGGATACAAATAGAAATTGTTTCCTTTAGAGGGAGCTTTTGGAACTGTTGCAGGAGTGGAGCTGGGGAATTTTCCAGCTGCAGAGATTAAAGAGTGTGAGAACTAGAGTTTGACCTTTGACAAGAATGTTGACAGAAGAAGCCCTAGTGATTGCATTTTGCAAGACAAGTGCTTTATTGGAACAGCTTCATGAGAAGATGGATGTGAGGACTACTAAAATTGACAACTTGGGACAAAAATTGACCGAGTTGGGACAAAAAGGGAATACTTATACAGAAATTACTCAGGAATTGACCCAGGAATCTGTTTTGACATGGCAAGCTGTGGAGAAGATGAAGGAGAAAGTTGTTATTGAATCTCAAGTCATTCAAGTGGAGGGAGCCCCGGCCTCCCAGAGGCAATTTGATGAACATAAGTTGTTGCCTTTTATGATTGAATCTAGAGAAAGTCAGATTTGGTGGGATGGCGCCCTGCTTGGATTGGAGAAGGAAAGTTGGCTAGATCCTCCTATGCAGGGATGCTCTGGCCTTTGGGACTTGGATTTGGGTCAGGGGGAGAGTGGCGCTCTGAAATATCTTTTGGACTTTAGTTCTGACTATGGAGAATGGGCTGACCTGTTGAGAAGGAATAAAGACATTGCTAGGTTGGAGCTCCCCCGAGATCTACTCCTCAGTGCCAAAGGAAGGAAATTAAGACCAAGATCAGCAGAAGACAAAGTAATGTGCATGGATATATATGAAGAAGATCTGCAGAAGGGACAGGGAAGAGAGTTAAGAGCCTCGGACAGAAGGTCACCAGGTTAATGGACTATATGGTATTGATAGAAAGGGCTGACAGAATCTGAGACCAGGGAGAGGAGACGGTGGAAGAGGATTGGGGGGGGGGAGCATAAAATTAATTTTATTTAGAGAAATGTTGTAAAATTAATGAGTGTTAGAAAAATGTTGGAATGAAATTATACGGCTTTAGTAGAAATGTTATAAGGAGTTAAATACAAATAAGTTTTAGGGTATTAATGGTAAGATAAGGTTAAAATAAATTATGATAATTATATGATAGAAAATAGTGAAAGATGGAAAGGATTTGCTGAAACAATTAATAACTAGAATACAAAAAGGGAGGTGTGAGGAGGTCGATGAAACAAGTTAATGAAAGATAAAGATATGGAAATATTGGATATGTTTTTAACTGTTTCTGCTTTTGTTTTTGTTTTGATGTATTGTGTTTTTTATGCTTTTCTTTTTTATGTATATGTATTGTAATGTGTTGATTTGTACTGTTTATTTATTTCTTTTTCTTTTTTTATCTTTTTTCTTTAATTCTTAAACTTTTAATAAATATTTAAAAAAACAAAACAAAAGTATAGCAAAGTGTAGAATTTGCAGATTCTGTCAACCAAATGCTGACAAGATGGAATTTGTACTAAATTAAGAGGGATGATGCAAAGTTAACAGAATTTGGAGAAGCCCTTGTTTGGGAAAATTCTAGCATAAAGAAAAAGCAGGGGATTATAAAAAGGGCAGAGAAAAAACAGAAGGTAAGCAAGTAAGAACATCAGACACAGTTAGCTCCAGTGGCATCAGTTGTAGATGAGGCCTTAAAAAACTCCCTGGACAACAGACTGCAGAATGCTCTGCCTTCTACATTAGTGAACCTTGCTCTGAACTAACCAGAAATTGTCTATGGCTTGCTTTTATCTATGGAAGGACAGGCTAACCCCTGTTTGCTGTACATCTACTTCCCACTGCAGTGAGCCATCTTTGAACAGTACTGTAATGATATCTCCTGATGTGATTTAAGCCTGCTTACATCACCAAAGAACCACAGAAACTCCCTCACTGATCTGCTTCAGTGTCCACACATTAATTGGGAAATATATATGGTATCTTTAACTAGCAGAGACAGAGCTTACCATCTTTTGTATTTAAAAACTTTTTCAAACTTTCATTTACCAGAGGTGTTTTGTTCTGTCAAAAAATGAGAAGAACAATTAACGATTACAGACAGAGATATAAAACAGGTAGATAACAATTATCTATATATACATGAATGCTTATGCATCCTCATGGTGAACCACGCCTATATCATAAAGTACCAGAATTTGGCAGCGATTAATTTTGAATGCCCAAACCAAGCTGAACTTGGGTATTCTAGGAAGAAAAGAGCAGGATAAAACATTAAATAATAACCATTGCTCTGTTTTGTGCAATAATACACAAAGTTTGAAATTTCAGTTCTGGAAGTAAGTTGGCAGCAGCAGCACCATTTTATTTACTGTTGACTCATTCTTTACCTACTTGATGATGCCAAAGGCTAGGGAAACACCCCCCTGTTTTTTCTGGAGCATTTGGCTTCCATCAACTGTAGACTTTAAAGTAAGCAGAAAGCACACAGTGTTTCCTCCTCCTCCTTTCAATTTGCAGCAGTAGCCCTAGAGTTCAGCATCTCAAACTATACTGTCTATCTTGGGAGACAGAAACAGTTGGTTAGACTTTGGGATGCTTGAACAAATAAGACCCACAAGCCAAGACATAGGTGTAACACAAACTGCAATAACTCAGTGATTCTACTTCTACCTGAAAGCTGGCTTCCAAGGATAGCAATGAAGGACACTTGTTCAACTCCCTAAAACTTGTGTTGTGAGGTCACACAGGATTCTATTATGCTTCTTAATGCTTTTTTACATCTATATGAAATGAAAAGTCCATTGTTTTGGCAGCTCCTTACCTCTATTTTCTCTTGCTCTTCTAATGCTAAAAATACAGCTGCTCGCAATTCTGCCTGTAACAGAGAGCCAGCATTTGTATAAATGTATAGCATTTTGCAACTGTATATTAAGAAAACTAGATACCAAGACAAACCTCACACAGAAGGGTCCAATTTAGTACTACACACAGAAACATTGGTCACACAGAAGTATGGTTAGGGATACAGTATCTCCATCATTTAAACTACAACACAGAAAACCACATAGCAGCACTTAAGCCATGTGAATGACACTTCAAGTGTTCAAGTCAACCTGCAATACTCATGAAAGGGTCTAGGGACACAGATTTTCTATCAACTTACCCTTTGCACATTGTACAAAGTGGCCAGTTTAGAACTTGGAGCAACATCATTATTTTATTAATTTAATTTGTTAGTTGCTTTATCTTGCCCAGGGCAACCCAAAGCAACATGCAAACAGACAACAAACTCCACAAAGAGCTGTTGCTTGCTTTATTTACATGCTATTGTGTTTGATATAGTGATTGCAATGTTGTTTTTTAATGCTATTGTGATTATTATGAGCTGCTTTGAGCTCAGCATTTGTTGTTGCAAAAGTGAAATACAAATATGTTATCAAATCAATTAGATACATAAAACCAAGAAGAAAAAAACATTTAAGATATCCTGCTCATGTGTATTTAAAGTTCATACACAGAATGAAAGGAAAAGAAGTATTTTATTCTCACTTGAAGTTTTACAAAAGTATGTAAATTCTTTAAATAATGTTTCAACACAACTGGAAATGGCTAAAAATACAGCTGACAAGGGATAATTTGGGGTAATGGATTGTAACTGGAGATAATGTAAAATACTTAACACAGTAATATTAGAAGCTAAGGTCACATCAACAAAGGCAAGTGGGAAGTAATTTAATCAAAATTGTATTGATTTGGTATAATTTGTGAAGATTGGGTTGAAATTTAGAAAATCAATAAACATAATTGGCAAAAAGTAAAGTTTTTTAACCCATGGGATTGGTTTCCTTTCTTCAGGCTCAATCTGTTGGGGGTCTTCATTTTCTACTGACACATTCTCATCCATAATTCAAATCCTACAACCCTTCTCTCCTATTCCATCTAGGGACATTCACTTCATTCCTACCCTCTCTACACAACAAATTACCCAACTATTTAAGAATCAGTGAACTGCCTCATGCTGCAAGGTGAGACTCTGCCACACATTGCATCCGCTTCTGAAAAATGAACCCAAGTAAATGACTGTGCTAACTTATCATTGTAGAACAAAGATCTATAAACATTTTTCTTGGAGGGTAATGTGTGTGTAATCCCAAAGAATGAGAGAAGTGGTCAAACTCCAAATAACAATGCCAAAAGGCCATTGGAAAGCATATATCCCGTGTCTTGGGGAAATGCTATACATTCTAGCTAATATATGTCATGTAACTGTCTATGCTGCCTGTCTGACAGTAAACATTCTAACAACTATGTATTAAATATCAGTGATCCCTCCTACTTCTACGCTGTAAAGAACGAAAACACAGACCAAGCTAAAGCGAAAAAGTCAATCAACAAACAGAAGTATGGCTTCAGCCTTCATTTCAGGGTCAGTGTATGCTCAGCTTGAGCTTTAAGTGCAGCTTATAAAGTGTAGGTGTTGACCTCAGATCAATTTAAAGAGTCAGTTGTCGTTTTAAAACCTACAGCGCAAGTTCAGAAAAGTGCACACTGTGGTGTTCATAACTTATCTAGAGATAGGGTAGCAAAACCAAAGAGGGATTTGGAGGAGCTCCAAAAGGAACTCCCCAATATGAGTGAACTGGCACAATTTAAGAAGGATATTGACAAGCTGGAATGTGTGTGCAGAGGAGGGCAACCAAGATGATCAAAGGTCTGGAAACCAAGCCTTATGAGGAATGATTGAGGGAGCTGGGCATGTTTAGCCTGGTAAAGAGGAGACTGGGACAGTAGCCCTGCGTCCAATATTGACTAAAACTGCCAACATTGTAATGCCTTGTTAAAAGTTTATGTTATGTTCACACTTTGAATACTTTGTGTAGTTCTGGTCTCCCAGTCGTTTTAGCAAAAGGTGAGAACGGGGAGAACGAAAAGTTTATAAAATTACACATGCTGCGGAAAAAGCATGAAAATACATCCTCTCCCTTTCTCATAATACTAGAACTCAGATCGCCCAATAAAGTTTAATGGTGTCAGGACTTTTTCACACAGCACTGCTAAACTGTGGAACTTGCTTCCACCAAACGTAGGAATGGTCACCAACTTAAATGGGTTGTAAAGAGGACTGGAGCATAAGGCTATCAATCGAGAAATCAGAAAATAGTATGCCTCTGGATACCAGATGCTGGGGAGCAACAGCAGGAAAGAAAGTTCCCACGTCCTGCTTTATGGACTGCTCAGGAGCACCTGGCTGGCCACTGCGGGACGGGCCTTTGTTCCGGGGCAGGAAGTCTCTCCGTTATGTTCTCCTGACCACCAACCAACCTCTTTTTGCTTCAGGAGGAGTTCCACGCATGCGCCACGAAGCAAAGGGCAGCGCGTGACACTTATGCCTAGGCGGCATTGTCCAGAGGGCGGGAATGACAGTTGGGAGTCCGTTAGCGCCGTTGGTGTCGACCCGCTCTCTCGCGAGGGCCGCGCCACCAGCACCTTCACGCACAGCACGCCTCTCCCGGCGTCAGGCGGGCATACGCCGACGCACTTCTGAGGCGCTCCCCTCCATCCCATAAAGCCTCCGTCCCGCTCCCCGCCAGCTCCTCACCTTGATTTTATTCAGCACCCCGCTCGTCTCCAGCGTCTGCACGAGGAGATCCCTCAGCTCCGTGTCTTCCTCCGTCGCGGTCGCCATCTTGCTTCTCCCTGACAACCACCTAAACTGAGCTAGTGACGAGACGAGCCCCCGCAGATTCGTCGCTCTGGGGCAAAGGGGGATATTTGCCGGGAAGGAGGCGGAGCGCAGTGGGCCAATGACTTCCTGACCGCAGTCGCCGCCCACTTTGGAGGAGGCTGCCCAGCGAGCCGCGCTTCCGCGCGCGTCGAATGTGCGGGTACGAACGGGCTGCTTGCGATCCGGCTCCGCGATTGGCTGGGGAGCGCAAGAGGCGGGAGGTTTAGAAGGAGGCGATGTTTCGCTAGATGGGGCTCTGCGGTTCTTGCTGCTGCTGAACGAGGCTGCCGGCGCAATCCTAACCGTGCCTACTGAGAAGTAAATCCTGTTGAATTCAATGGGGCTTACTCCCAGGTAGGTTAGGATTGCAGGGTCAGGCTCAGTCCTGAATGGAAATACATAGAGAGGGGTTTTGTTGCTACATTTTTTTCACTCCGGCTGGCGTGCAAAATGGTAGAATATGCACTGCACTTTTATAAGGCATAGATATGATACAGTTCATTTGCCACCCGGCTCTTCGCGGACTATTGTCCAATGAAGGTTCATTATCGCAGAATATAACTAGAGGAGAAAGGGCCTGCATAAACAGAACTGCGAAAATACCAAACTCCAAAACAATTAATACCTGCAATCCAATTCAATGTACATGGATTTTAAGAAAGTACCAATCCCAAAATATATTTTGAACCACTAGGCACTATTTTTTGTTAACTGACTGGTATCCTTAAATGTACTATAATTCGTGAAGCATTTATTTATGCTCCAATCCTAAAACTACTTAAACTCAAGCTCTATTGGTTGTACCCAATGTTATGCCTCCTCATAGACTAAAGTCTAAGGCTGTGTTCACACTTCTGTTTACTGTGCACTTGTGTGTGCAGTGCTGGGTGTTTAATCTGTTCTTACATGTTGTCCAAAACACACTTTGTTGTGAAATATTACTGTTTGATGTACAGTACTGTACTGTTGTTCAATCTATCTTTACACCAATGAAACCTTTAAGGTAATTCATCTCCAGCTAAGTTGTGAACACGTTTGCATGTGTAAATACATCCTTGCCTATCAACGCCCACGGGTGTGTACACAAACAGAAATGAATCTGACACTTAAACTGTTGATGTCAACAGCTAGGGGCAAAGCGATGTGATGGGGGGAGCAACATATTGTCTCTAACACACCCGTAAGTTCTAGTTAGGTGTCTTAAGGGCTGTATCCTGAAAATATGTATGTGGTAACTGTTATAGGATCAAGAGCTGAAGGTATCTTCAGAAATTATTTAGGCTGCACCTGTCTATGAACACTTTATCTGTGAGTAACATGCACAGGATTGGGCTGCTTTGCTGGTTCCTGCATGCACCTATTGTACTAATTATGGTTAAATCAGATGACAGTCCAAATAAGGAAGGGTGGAATTGTAAAATGGTAGTTGCTAACAAAATTGGAAAGGGCTAGAAATGTTTATTTTATGCCACAATCTTATGCCTGTTTACTAAGAAGCTAGACTCACTATGTTCAGTGAGATTTACTCCCAGGTAAGTGTCCATATGATTGCAGCTTTAAGATTTCATTAGAGCAAGGAAACATCCAATGTAACTGTGATGCGCGGTGGGGTGGGGGAACCTCACTCAGAGTGGATGTTACTGGTCAGCTCAAAACACTTTAGTGATACCTGGGTGTAAATAACATCAGAATCAGCTTACCTTTTAAAAATCCTTCACCCCTTTTAAATTTTGTTCTGCTGAAAGGAACAAGAAGGGTACACAATCACCTTAGGGATTTTAACCTATGCTGAGCAATACTTCCAGGGCCAGTTTTTGCTGCAATTCTAAACCAGTCTGCTGTAAACCAAGATGTAATGTACAGTACTGTGTTGAGTGTTTATCATTGCACAGTGGGCCTGACATACAGAGATGAAATAAGGCCCCAAACTAATGCTGATGCCAAGCTTGTAGAAATGTGCATTGTACTTAGTGTGAAAAGCTACCCTAATATTCAATGTGATTCCTTTTTTCACAGGAAAATTGCATGATTTTTAGCGTTTGTTGTTTCTAGACTTATGCTGCAGGTGGCACCAAAAATCTGTTCAGTACTTTAAAACTGCTGACTTCTGAAGCCAAAGACAAGTATGCAATTTTATGCTTACAGAATTAAGTTCTTAACCTGAGGTACCACTGTACTTGTTTAGGAATAACCACTATTGAATTTAATAAGACTTATAAATAAGCACACCATGTGAGTCTTTAGCTTATGGGACTATTTGTTTGTACTTGGTAATTTGTAGTTTCACTGTTATTATTATTATTATTTAAATTTGTACACTGCTCTTCATCTGAAGATCTCAGGGCAGTTCACAGCATAAAAATACAAGACAAAAAGACAAAATACATAATAAAAAACAAAACTGTTTAGGTTTGGCATGTGTAAGCTTTCTGCTTTTACAGATACCGAAGCACCCAAAGCCTTCAAACTCCAGTAACCTTTTGTAAAACTAGGAAGTAGTAAAAAAGAAAGAAAGATCCTAAACAGAGCCACTCTTTTTTTCTAAAGGGGGTGGGTGTGGGTGAAGACCCTGAGATCTGAAAAGCCATCTGAGTAGTTGTGGCAAACAGCAACAGAAAAAGAAAAATCTTTTTTATTATATGCAGGAGACAAGTGGAGGCATAGCAGTCCGCTCGCTGCACTTACGCAATGCCTCTTTTCCGCTGAATAGGCACGAACGACCCACAAGGGGCTCAGCGAGAGGCTGTGTGTGGGCGGGATTTAGTCGCCCAGCGGAAGTGCTGGTTCCTGTAGGGAAGTGAAAGCTGATGCCGCCCTTGCACCAGCTTTCTAGTTCAGCTCGTGCAAGGCAGGTACAAAAACAGCCGGTTAAACTTGTGAGTTGATTTTTTTTTTAATAAATCGTAATCTCTTGAAAGATTGTAACTTTTTAAGTCTCCCTGGTGCGGTTTGTTTTGTTTGTTTTCGAGTTCTAAGCAAATAATGCAGCTTAGAGCGGCAGCTGTAGAGCCGGGTATATGTTGATTCGAAGTAAGTCACACTGTGTTTAATAGGACTTGCTTCCAATAACTAGTGGAACTTCGTACCTACACGATTTGGTATCTAGTCCTATGTACAAGTACGCAGCAGTGAACATAGCGGGATTTTCTCGTAGCCATAAAGAAGACGCTGGGCGAGAGGCGGCAGTTGGAGGCTGTGGTTTCTTAGGGCTTTTCTCCTCGAAATCATTCCGGGCGTAGGACGTTTGAACCCTGTGGGCGGTTGGGAGATTGTAGCATGTAACTCGGCAAGGATGACTTCGAACAAAGGGGGTTAGGGAAGCAGCTGTATGTGTGTATTTGGCACTTCTGTTATGCGAGGCTGCCTCGGGTCAGGGAGCTGTTATGTTGCAAAGTGTATTGGCATATCCTGCGCATGTCAAAAAGGAAAGATTTTGAATTACAGTATTTTATAGTGAGTTGCATGGTGGAAATTCTAGGTAGAAGTAGAGTTTGGAGGAATTGTTTTTAGATTTGTGGCCTCTTTGTTCTCAAAACATTTCACAATATGCTTTTCCCAGAGCTGCTTTTTAATTGATTACAAGCACCTAGTTTCTATGCTTGGTTTGACAGTTTTCTTGCTTCCAGTATTTGCATTGATATACTACTACCTTTCTTCTGTAAGGCAAGATATTGTCCCTAGGTATCCCACGCAGCCTCTTGTCTAAGCACTGAGTGGTCTTAGTCTGGATTAGTTTCAGATTACTGAAATGTCCACATTATTGTATCATGTGCCTTCATACCACACTCATCCTTCCTATCCTATGACAGGTATTTCCTGTACTCTTTAATGAGTGTGATGTGAAGGGATCTTCCCTGCAGTTGTGTTAAGCTTTGAAGAGCTCAAAAATAATAGGAAAGATTCCTTCTCTACAGTAGGTAGCCAAGGTGCTCAGAATCTTTTGGCTGTGCAGAGCCAAAATGAGCCCTAGACTTTTCCTTTGGTTCTGTTGGGGAAAGTTGGGACAGGCTGTTCTTGCATTGGGCAGCCAAAATGCTCAAATGGCTCAGTGGGCCATCATGAAAAAAAGCCTTTTCTCAAAAAGTTGGAGTTGGAGAGCAGAACAGGGCCTCACAAGGTCAGGAGCTGAGGCTTCTTACTTGAAGATGAATCCCATTGTACACAACAGAATTCATTTCTGAATAAACATCTTCTGTATGATCTAGTTGAGATTCCTGCATTGCAGGGGGTTGGACTAGATGACCCTTGGGTACATTCCACCTTTACAGTTCTATGATTCTCTGCATTTGCTTCCACTGAAGATGAGGAGCAGAGTCTTGTCAACAACAGTTTTTGGCTTGTCTGGCAAGGCCAGCCAACATTTGTGCCCCCCTGCTTCAGCCTGTAGACCTGTTCCTGTGACTAGAGTCTTGTGCTATTTATAGCTGCGGAAGTGGTGCTTCTTTGTCTTGAGGCTAGTGCCAGCCATTGGTCATTCCCTCCTCTTGTCCCCTTCTCAACAGTTAGCTAGCATTTTGTGGCCACTAAGTATGCTCAGGCCTCATTGACCTGTTTGGGAGGTGTTTATTGTTTTATCCCACACTTTTAGACAACTACTGTCTCCCCAAACAAACAGCTTGCATCAATAAGAAAAAAAAGAGAAGTCACTGTCATTATGCTTATGAAGAGACACAGAAAGAAAGAAAATTGGTGGGGATAAGTAGAGAAGGAAGTTCGCTTATTTAAGACTAGAACAAAATGGTGAGCTAAAAGAAGGCATTTGTACTGAATGAGGACCAGATAAATCTTCCCTTGCTCCTGTTCTTTCTTGAATAGCAGTTAGTCTCCTGCCACCCATTCTTTGACTGATAAATGGAACAAAATGTCCTCCTCCTTGCTTCTTCAGCCCCAAGATAGCTAGCAGTTGAAACCAAAGGTTCTTTCCTGAAAGAGAGGAAATCAAACTTCCTTCAGCTGCTCATTTTCTGGCCGATGAATGGGGCCAGGTTTGTCTCCCCCTTTCCATGAGCAGCCTTATATGGACTTTGGTCCCCTAGACATTGGCCGGTGTATGCTGCTTTCAGTGTGTGCTGCTTTCAGCAGTGTAGTCTCAGGGTAAATGTTGTAGTGTCTGTAGTGTAATCCCCAGGTTTAAGATGATAATTTTTAAGAGAGGTTGCTTTTAACGCAAATAATAGAGCATTGTTGAATGTTTTAGAAACAGCAGAATGGGGGGGGGGACCCTTCTAATTCTAGGGTAGTCAAGCTGGTAGGGAACTAAGATGAGAAATAAAGGAAGTTCAAGGAAAAGCACAAGAAGTGAGTGGTAGTGAAGAGGAATCAGAGTTCTGCTTTATGCTTAAATATTTTATTGTGTTTGAAGATGATTCTGTTTTGACTTGATCTGACTGGAGTTGGTTTTGTGCCAGGTAAGTTGATGCATGAACAGAACAGAATCAGCTTAAATACAAATACTCCCCTTTAATTGACTTATGGAGAGAGTTTTGGCTTTTTGTGATCCGTTGCCTACTTTTTAACACGATTTAATTCTCAGGGGTTTTATTTGAAGACATTTAAAGGAAGTTTTGAGTAGTGCTCCAATATGTTTGCATGCATTTAATGGCTTTAGCAAAGCCAGAAAATATAGAAGGCCCAAACCACTTTTCTATCATAGAGTCACCAAAAAGCCCTGTGATATGCAGTCTCATCAAGTCCTGTTTTTTCTCCCTTCTCATGCATGCAGTCATTTTGCCAAGTTCCTGCAGGTTCCTTCACCTTTCATATTTATCCATTGCCAGCTCCCCACCACCACCACCTTATCTGGTCTCAGATTTATGCACACCTTTCTCACTGCAAAGGGAGTGGGGAACAGAGATCTGTGATGCTCCTTGGGATCCATCTGCATGTGGCTATTTTACCTACAGTAACATTGGAATAAGCCCTCGTATAATCATGTTAAGATCCATGTTACTTCAACAGAGAGAAAAAGAAATCTCGCAGGAAACATTAGGAAGCCTAGCAAGGAAACAGTGGTGTCACCAAATTTGGATAGGTCAACAAAAAAGCAAGAGACAAAGGAAGGCAAGCTACCTCGAACGTTTTTTGATTTGGTTGATAATATGGGACTAATTGACGCCTGGAGATTTAAAAACCCCACTATAAAACAATATACCTTTTTCTCAAACCCAAATCAGAGTTGGGGGAGAATAGATAATATCTGGATCTCGAAGGAGCTGACACAGAACTTAGCTAAATCTGAAATACTCCCACAAACTATATCTGACCATAATCCGGTATTTATGGAGATAAAGGGTAAAGATACTAGAGTATTTAGATGGAGAATGAATGAAGGTATATTTAATAATCAAAAGATAGTAAGGGAGGCGAAAGAAACAATCGAAGAATACTTCAAGTGGAACTTACACAAAGAAACAGCTATAGAAACGGTCTGGGATGCAGGAAAAGCCGTTATGAGGGGCTTCCTAATTCAGAAAAACAGCCATTTAAGAAAAGAAAAAGAGACAAAAGAGAAGAGATTCTAACACAGCTTATGGAGAATGAAAGACAACTAGCTACTAAACCAGGTGACGAGACAATAAAGCAAAATTTAAAAATATTACAAGCCCAATTTTCTATGATAGTTAACCAGGAAATTGAGTGGAAAATTAAAATGATGAAACAAAAGAACTTTGAATCAGCTAATAAAATAGGAAAATTCTTGGCGTGGCAAATAAGAGAAAGGAAAAAACAAAATACGATCTGCAAGATAAGGGATGGAGAAAGGATAGTGGAAGAGCCAAAAGAAATAAAAAGGATATTTCAGACGTATTATAAGGAACTGTATAAAAGAGGAAAGGAAATAGATTATGAAATAGACCGATACCTGGAAGATCACCATTTACAACAGATTGCCATAGAAGAGAAAGAGTTATTAGACCAGAGGATTACAGAAGATGAGATAAGGAAGGCAATAAAAAAGATGAAAATTGGGAAAGCGCCGGGGCCGGATGGCCTACCAGCCAAGTACTATAAAACATTAAGTGAGCAATTATGCCCAATTCTATGTGAAGTGATGAATAATATTTTAAAAGAGGGAAGGATTCCGAATACCTGGAAGGAAGCATATATTACTTTAATACCTAAAAAAGATGTGGATGCCTTAGAGGTGAAGAACTATAGGCCGATTTCGTTATTAAATAACGATTATAAACTGTTTGCGGATATAATGGCAGAAAGACTAAAAAGGGTATTAAAAAATAGAATTCATAAAGATCAAACGGGCTTCCTACCAGGAAGACAACTAAAGGATAACGTAAGAAATTTGATAGATATTATTGAATACCTGGAAACTAGAATAGATAAACAGGCGGCCTTGATATTTATCGATGCGGAGAAGGCATTCGATAATGTCTCTTGGCGCTTTCTGATGGAAAATTTGAAAAGGATGGGGATGGGAGAAAGATTCAGAAAAGGTATAGAGGCTGTCTATCATGAGCAAAAGGCAAAACTTATAATAAATAATACTACCTCAGAATTTTTGATATTTCTAAAGGGACGAGGCAAGGCTGCCCTCTGTCCCCCCTATTATTTATCTTAGTATTGGAAGTACTTACTAAGAGGCTGAGGGATACAGCAGAGGTTAAAGGAGTCAGGGTAGGAACTAAGGAACACAAAATTAAAGCTTTTGCGGATGACATTGCTCTAACATTAGAAGATCCAAAGCACAGTGTAAAAGAAGCCCTACAAAAATTGAAGAGTTTGGTGCTGTGGCAGGCTTTAAGGTCAATAAGAATAAGACTAAAATACTGACTAAAAATGTATCTAAAGAAGATATAGTAGACCTAGAACAAAAAACCGGAATTATGACGGCAAAGAAGGTGAAGTACCTTGGAGTCTGGATTACGGCTAAGAACATCAATCTATATAAGGATAACTATGAGGTCACCTGGAAGAACATTAAGAAAGACTTAGAAATCTGGGAGAGAATGAGATTATCTTTTTGGGGAGGATAGCGGTTATTAAAATGAACGTTTTGCCTAGAATGTTATTTTTATTTCAAACCATCCCGGTACTTAAAGGTTTAAAGCAATGTAAAGAATGGCAAAGAGCCTTGGCGAGATACATCTGGCAGGGAAAAAGACCGCGAATAAAAATGAAAATACTGGTAGATAAAAAAGAAAGAGGGGGTTTCTCCTTCCGGACTTATGTTTATACTATGAGGCGGCGTGTTTATCGTGGTTGAAAGACTGGATAACGCTAGAAAACAGAGACATCTTGGATCTTGAAGGCTTCGATAACAGGTACGGGTGGCACTCGTACCTGTGGTATGAAAAGGTGAAAGTACATAGAGGCTTAAACCATATTTTTAGAGGGCCAATATTCCAAGTATGGGAAAGAAATAAAAACCTATTGGAAAGGAAGACACCCTGGTGGATCTCACCAACAGAGGTGTTAACGGTCAAAAGTTAATATGGAAGGGAAGAATCCTACCTATGAAGAACTGACTAGGAAAACGGATCAAGGTATAAAACTTAGACCCTATGAAGAGATTAAAAACTCATTTACTGGGTGGTTGCAATACCACCAGGTAAATGACCTGTTAAAAGAAGATAAAAAGAAAATAGGATTCGAAGATAAAAAATCCAAATTCAATGTGGAAGTTGTTGAAGGAAAGAACAAAATACTGTCTAGAATATACGATATTTTACTGGAGTGGTATACAAAAGACGAGGAGGTGAAGGACGTTATGACTAAGTGGGCAATAGACATCGGCTATAACATCGATTTTGAGAGATGGCTAGAATTATGGAATACTAACATGAAGTTCACGGCATGTATGGCATTAAGGGAAAATATGTGGAAAATGATATTTAGGTGGTACCTCACACCAGTGAAACTGGCTAAGATCTATAGGTTAAAGAACAAAAGATGTTGGAAATGTGGAGAAGTAGATGGTGACTTCTACCATATGTGGTGGTTATGCAGCAAAGTGAAAGGCTTTTGGGAATCGATTTATAACGAGCTTAAAAAATTTTTTAAATACACGTTTCCCAAAAAAACCCGAAGCCTTTCTGCTAGGAATGACAGGTAAAGAAATCAAAAAAGAAGATAAGGTACTATTTTTATATGCCACAACAGCCGCAAGAATCATGTTAGCACAAAATTGGAAAACGGACGCCATACCTAATGTAAGTGATTGGCAGATTAAATTAACAAATTATGCCGAGCTCGCTAGAATAACAGGAAGAATAAGAGATCAAGATGAACAGAAATTTCATGATAACTGGATTAAATATTGGATATATATTGGGACTAAACTTTAAACGACACTGGCGGGATTGGAATAACTCTAACAGTAAAAGGTTATTATGTAAAAGAGATAAAATACGTGAATATAAAGTCTATTTGATACTTACCAAAGGAGTGGAAGGAAGTTCAAGGCTTGGCAGAGCCTAAAATAAATGTATTTATGATTTATGGAATGAATATATTATGTGTAATTTAAGTATTGGACTTTGTATAAGTTTATATGTATATATGTATAATACCAATAAAAATTTATCAGTAAAAAAAAAAAAAAAAGGAAGCCTAGCAAGGAAGAATGACATCCAATAAGATACTTGCATTACCACTGGAAACACTGAAACAGTTCTTAAAGGTTCTTAATAGTAATGTCACCTGTTTGTGGAATTAGTTTTCCTTATAAATAGTGTGTCTCTGCTGAGTGCTGTGTTCATATCTCAGTCTGCTGTCCAAACAGCCAGTGTTTATGGAGAAAAGCAAAGTGACTCTTAGAGGAATATATTCCTTTTTAAATGTGTTGCGTTCAGTTAATCAGGTTAAATGTTATACTGCATAAGTTGGCCAGGCCACATTCTAAGGTTGGATTCAACCCACAGAGTTAGGCTTGGTTAAGTCAATTGATTTCAATTTGTTTAAGAGCATTTAAGTTTGTATTAGACTGCAGCCTTAATCACTAGGGTTCACAGTTTTAAAAATTGCAAAGGTATAATGTCACTGGGTGTGACTTTCTTGCACATTGCTGGAGCCAGTAATCACATTGTATATTTGAATTGAGTATATGTGTAGTTCTGAACTAATACATAGGACTTGTCTATCAGGAAATCTGGTATTTGCCCCCAATGGATACTGGAACAAATAAATTAGCAAATGAAAGGTATATTAGGATATGGTTTTTCTTTTGGAAAATCATGCACAATTTTCAAGAACTATTGCAGGTTGATTGGCAGCACTTGATTTCTAAAATTTCAGTTATCGTTCATGGTATCGTGTTTTAAAACTGTGATTGAGAATCTGTGTCCCTCCAGATGTTGCTGCACTACGCATCCCATCACCATTGACCATGCTGACTGGGGCTGATGAGAGCTGGAGTCCAACAAAATCTGGAGGGTCAAAAGTTTGATTTCTCATTCACTTCTAACAGTTGCCTGATTGTGGTCTTGTGTTTACATGTTTTCTTTTCTATCACAGAGTCACCAAAAAGGAGCATGAATCCTATTACTCCATACTGTTTGTTTGTTGGGTGCTTTTGGCTTGCTATCTTTGGTGGGACTGCTACACATGAGCTGGAGGAAAAGTAAGTATTGAAACATCTTGTACAGCGAAGAAAGGCAGTTTTAATGACTTCTGTGCTCTGTGTCCTATTTCAGCCAAATACTATTGCAGGTGTGGATAACCTCTTTTCAGCCAGAGGCAAAAGTGGACAGAGCAATGAAGATACACTTTATCTTTTCTACACACCTTTCTCTACACACCTCTGGTTTTAGAATCAGCATTGCATGAAAATAAATCCAGAAAGTGGTCTACAAACTGACCTACCAAGTCTGGGGGTGGAGGGGATGTATGTCCATCTCGCTATAAATTATTCCAGTTAGGTGTGCCCCGCATTTTACTCTTAGAGTGTGTCTTTGTTAAACAGTAGTTCTCTAAGTGAGCTAACTAATCTCAAAAAACAAAGTGTTTCCCATCATATTGTATTACTCTTAGTTTAATTATTTTTAATAACCATATCAGTCATTTTCTTCTAGTTAATTTCACTTTTGCTTGCCTATGTTTATTTGCTATCCATCACATAAGATGAACTATCTCAGGTTTTTCTCAAAACAAATGTGGTAAATGAATGCTTTGAACCACGGTTCACCAAATCTTTTGAAGCATACAATGGAGAACTGTGTTTGCAACTGGAGATTTCTTTGTTGTTTCCACCACTGCAGCTCATAAGGTTGCCAAGGGAAGCTTCATTTTAAAATGAAAAACGTGTTTCTTCAGGAGTTTGAATAGTTGCTGTAGAAGCTTCAGAACAAACCTTGGACTTTGCTTGCAGTTTTTGGTTTATTTTTATCACAGCCTTAATATTCTTGTTGTAGTAAAGGACCATAGAAAATGGCTCAAGTTATCTTATACTAAGCAGTAGAAAATCCCATTATAGTATTAGGTTGCTGCGTACATAGCTGGTAAAGGTAAAGTTAAAGGACCCCTAACAGTTAAGTTCAGTCACAGACAACGCTGGGGTTGCGGCGCTCATCTCGCTTTACAGGCCGAGGGAGCCAGCGTTTGTCTGCAGACAGTTTTTCCGGGTCATGTGGCCAGCATGACTTAAGCCGCTTCTGGCGAAACCAGAGCAGTGCACGGAAACGCCATTTACCTTCCCATCGGAGCAGTACCTATTTATTTACTTTCACTTTTTCGCATGCTTTCAAACTGCTAGGTTTGCAGGAGCTGGGACCGAGCAACGGGAGCTCACCCCGTCGTGGGGGTTTGACTCGCCGACCTTCTGATTGGCAAGCCTAAGAGGCTCAGTGGTTTAGACCACAGCGCCACCCGCGTCCTACAAAGCTGGTAGAACAGCGCATTTTAACAGCTGTAAAAACTGATACTAAAGATCCAAAAAAAGATTCCCCCAAATTTTTATTGTTACTTGCTGCCTTTCTGTTCTTCAAACATCTTAAAAATATATATTTTTATGTTTCAGTGATGAGCATCCTCATAAGTGGGAAATGTTGTACCTTGTGCATCAGTGGCCAGTGACAGTATGTAAGGTGAGTTATTAATAAAAGGTAAAGGTACCCCTGACCGTTAGGTTCAGCCACGGCACCTGTGTTATTAACACGCTGTTGTTAATAAAGGTGTGCATTTATTCAAATGTATACTTAGCCCTATCATAAAAGCTAGTGGTAGATAACCAATTTTACAGCAGCATAGAAATTTAATAAATGTAATTTAATAAATAATAATAATATTAATGCTCCTGTTCTTTTAACAGCTACAGCAATTGGCAGGTTTAGCTAAGTTTGAATATTGGAACTATTTAGCTTAAAACTGTGTGTGTTTTTTGTTTTAGCATAAAAACTGGCTTTCCCTGATAAATTGGTTGACTTGTTTTCTGCAGATGAATGAACATGATTGCAAAGAAGATCCACTATTGTACTGGACAATCCATGGACTCTGGTAAGGTTTTAACTTTGAAAATAATGCTACATTATATGACATTTAATTAAGAGTTTGGCCTAGATGACCTATATACAGTGGTACCTCGGGTTAAGTACTTAATTCGTTCCGGAGGTCCGTTCTTAACCTGAAACTGTTCTTAACCCGAAGCACCACTTTAGCTAATGGGGCCTCCCACTGCCACCACACTGCCACTACACGATTTCTGTTCTCATACTGAAGCAAAGTTCTTAATCTGAGGTATTATTTCTGGGTTAGCGGAGTCTGTAACCTGAAGTGTCTGTAACCCAAAGTACTACTATAATTCCTTTTGGTCAAAGCCCATGTATCTAAAGGTATATTATTGAAACCCCACAAAAAAAAGAAACTCATTGGAATGTGATGCATCAGATCCAATGAATGGTGGTGGCCTTGAATTTGGATTCTCCAGGGATTGGAGCAGGATGCTTAGCTGCAAGTCCACTGAATGCTCAACCACAAACCTTGGTGGTTTTAGTGCCAGGCTGGGGAACCTTTGGCCCTCCAGACATTGCTGGACACCAACTCCAATAAGCTCCAGTCTGCACAGCCAATGGTTAGGGATGATGGGAGTTGTTGCACAACAGCATCTGAAGGACCACAGATGCCCCACCTCTGTTTTAGTGGCATCTAACCCTTACTATTTTACACCTACTTTATGCATGTCAAACTATTAAGTACAGCAATGGCCACTTACACTACATCTGTTTACAAGCTAGTAGTGTCTTACATTTGACAAGACTATTACAGTAATCTTGAAAAGCAGAGACATCACCTTGCCAACAAAGGTCCGTATAGTTGAAGCCATGGTTTTCCCAGTAGTGATGTATGGAAGTGAGAGCTGGACCATAAAGAAGGCTGATTGCCGAAGAATTGATGCTTTTGAGTTATGGTGCTGGAGGAGACTCTTGAGAGTCCCATGGACTGCAAGAAGAACAAACCTATCCATTCTTAAGGAAATCAGCCCTGAGTGATCACTGGAAGGACAGATCCTGAAGCTGAGGCTCCAATACTTTGGCTACCTCATGAGAAGAGAAGACTCCCTGGAAAAGACCCTGATGTTGGGAAAGATGGAGGGCACAAGGAGAAGGGGACGACAGAAGACGAGATGGTTGGACAGTGTTCTCGAAGCTACAAACATGAGTCTGACCAAACTGCGAGAGGCAGTGGAAGACAGGAGTGCCTGGCGTGCTCTGGTTCATGGGGTCACGAAGAGTCGGACACGACTAAACGACTAAACAACAACAACATTACAGTAATAGTATACCATCTCTTTGGAATAGTATACCATCTCTTTGGAATAATTAACCACCCTATCTTAAAATATTCAAGAAAGGCAACAAATTTAAATGCATAATCATAATATTTTTAAAATACCTTCATTCCTGTTTCCATTGTCCTCCACCTCTATGAGAAAATGCAAGTACGGATCAGCACCTCGTGGTTGAAATTGATGCATTTCTGCACATTTCATTATCACTGAAGTTTGTCCTATTTTTAACAAAGAAAAAATCATTTATGTTTAGGAGATAGATAGATAGATAGATAGATAGATAGATAGATAGATAGATAGATATAGATGCTTGATAGACAGGTCAAATTCAACTGGTACATGCTATTGGATCTCAATGCAGTTTGAAACTGCTAGGGAAGCTTTTATGTAGCTTATTTGTTTTTATAGTGATATACTGTGAAAGCTTTGTCTTAGGCATAATATTGTAGAAAAGGGATTCATTTTTTCCAAATGTAAGTTCAAATTGAAATATTATGTAGACCAGTTTCATCCACCACCACTGTTTAGGGGCATTTAAATTTTGTTCTGTTTATTCTCTCATAGGCCTGATAAAGCAGAAGACTGTAATAGAACTTGGCACTTTAACTTATCTGAACTTCAGGTATAAATTATATGAAAATGCAGATTCTGAGTATGGTTTTGTTTTTTGCTGTTGCCCCATCCAGATTTCTCATAGCCTGTCAATTGCTATTAGAGGTAGATATGCTGTTTTATTCTAAATCTCTTTCTGTACCATCCCACTCCAAGGGTTTGTGGTAGATCACAAGACATTACATTTTATTTTATTTTATAGATAAAGTGTTTTTTCATTTATTGTTGTTGTTGTTGTTGTTTTGCATATTCAAAAACAGGAACAGAGAGCACACTTAACCCCCTCCCTCTCCCACCCCCTGCCCCACTTACAGCTTCATACCAAATACAGCATTTATAAATTAAATTAAGAGTAGATATGTGACATTCTACAAAAATAGAAGATTCAACATTGTTGCTCTGTGCCATGCGTGGAAGAAGCTTATGCATGAGATAACCACACAAGGTTTTTGTTTTGTTTTTTAATGCAGACTGTAGCTGAAGAGATCTGATGGTCCCCTGAGCCCCTTCCAAAAAACCTGCTGAGTAGTCCATAGCTTTTAATACTGGCATAGTCCTATGGCAGCCAGAAACTGAAATACTGGGTTTGCTCCTTATGATTTACAGTCTGCAGGCATAAGTGTACATGGGGATGCTGCCATACCTGTGTTTGCTCTACAGTCTTTACAGCCAGGGATAGGGTCAGGTTCTCAGTGTAGCTGCATGTTTTATTTGGAGCTCAGTGCTGCTTTTTAGCTTATGAGAGCCTTTACTTACATTACTTACTTACTTATTTACTTACTTACTTATAGGATCTCATGGGTGACATGAAGAAATATTGGCCAGATGTGCTTCATCCAAACCATACCTTTTTCTGGTGAGTTGTGCCACTTTTAAACATTTTGGTAGTGTTACAAAATTATTCATTTTCAGTTCTTTTTTCCAGAGTGGATAGACTCTAGACATCCATAGGAACTAGGTGAAAGTGAATTCTAGCACAGAACTTCTAGAAATTATTATGGCTTTGCTTTATTTCCCTTTTCACCCACACAAATCTCTGCATTAGATCCAGAGTTTCTTCTGCTGACAGCAGCAGCATCTGAAAAGTGGACCATTGCCACCCATTTCCCCTCACCCCTTGGCTCCACACACCCCATGCTGTTCTTGGGTGTTTCCTAACTGCCAGATGGGCCTCTGCAGGAGAATGAAAGAACTGACAAAAATGCCCCCCTTTCTGTCAGTGGGACTGCACTGGATCAGAAACTTTGGGTAGACAGATGGGAGTCCTTCTGTTGGCAGAAGGCAAAGTCTGGATCCAATCCTCTGTAAGTTTGTAGGATATATGGAATTTTATGTCAGAGGAATATATGTACCAGATCTCAGTGCTATTTATTTATTTTAGACCACCTTTCAGGAATAAAATTCCTCCCAAAGCAGGTCACATGAAAAACAACAATAACATACAATAGATAACATTTTAAAACGAATCAATAAAACAACCCCATATTGTTAAAACTAGCAATTCAATGTCAAATATACAACATAATAAAGAAATAAAGTCACCAAGGCCAGGCCACACAACTGAATCCTGAGCCACTGGCATTCTCAGGCAGAATTTTAGATTTCTGCAACCTTATATTGTTTATTTGGGGGGGCAGAGTTTATTTCTTGCTCTAAGTCTGATATAGCAGAAACAGCATTTATTCTTTAGAGCAGTCCATCAAGCATGGTTGAGGTATAATTCCCATTTCTTCCAACTGAAGGTGTTTTCTGCTCTGTTTGAAACTGGACTGAAATACAGGCCAAAACTAGCCATTATGGGGAGCATATTGCCGTCACAACCAATGTCTCCATGGAACTGTCTAGTAAAAATGATATGTGATATAATATCCCTGTGCTCAGTGTGTTCTTTGCCCTGTACAAGTGGCAGCCAATAAAGTAGAGTGGGCCCAGGAGTAGTGCGCACAGTGATAGTGCGTCATGCCATATGTCTTACTTTACGAGATGTTGGTTAGAGCCAGCCACACATCTCCCTTAATGGCAGTGTTGGGCCATAGTTGCAGCATCACACTCTTGATGGCTGCATGCACAATTCCATATTGGAGCCCTAAGCTATATAATGTGAACATAGTGCAAAAGTCCAAAAACTGGTAGTGAAGAATAGAGAATGCAGCTTGCTGTAATGTGCGCTGCTTTTCTCTGTTCCCTAGCTGTCCTATTGACATGTCAAGAACTTACCCTAAATAAATAAATAGAATTTGTATGTTGAATGTGCAAAGTCCTATCTGTTTTCTATGTGTGGTGCTCCTCTTTCTCTACCCTCCTCTGTAACCTTGAAAGGAGGAAGAATCTGTACAAAGCTTTAGCGCTGACAACACGCACTGAAAGAGAATATTGAACAATTAACCTTTGTCTTTTTCTGTGATGCAGTCAAGCTAGTGACATCGTGCTTCATATTTGACAAGTGGAAATCTGCTAGGAACAAGGACAAGATGGTTTTCTTGTCAACTGACAAATGAAAAAAAAACAACCCTAGTTTTTCTTATATGCAGAAGCTTTCAGCGTTTGAGGTTTCCATAGTTTCCAATTTCATATGAAGCAGAGGAAGTAGAAATGCTATGTCTTTGAACTGAAGCATTCTACTAGTTTATCTCTTTCTGAGTAGCAACAGGTTCCTTGCAAAATACAGAACCAAACACCCGAAGAACTCCATTAATACAGAAAAAGATTCAAGAGTATTCACGCATAGAAGTTTCTCTTCAATATGGGGAATAATTTGGAACCCAAAATCACAATGGGAAAATATCCAGCAGCCTTCCACTTATGCAGCAGGACTTCCCCTTCCTCTCCCCTTCCTGCATTGCCCCCCCAATCGCCTTTGGAGGATCTCCCAACCCCCTGGAGCTGATTTGGGTGGGGGCTGTAAGGGTTATATAAAAACTAAACTATAAATATAAGGGGGGAAATAATATTATAGGAGCAAGGTATAGGTAACACGTTTCAGATATCTGTTTGGATCCAAAGTTTAATTAACACAAAGTTTTCATGAAAGGAAAGCTCCCCATTTCACCCTAATCACCCATCCCTATCAACACACGCTCTTTCTTCCCCAGCCCCCAAGCCCCCCAACGCCATGATCTATAGTCTCAGAAATTGTAAATCTACAGAGTGTACATATATATACCAGCGCTACTAGTTGTGGATATATGTTTGTGAAAATGTACATATTTTGCAACTATCCAGTATGAAGAACATCCCACTTTCCTGAGAGGAAGATGTATGTATGGGTAGGAAAGATAAAGAGTTGCAGAAGGGCAACCAGGGCCAAATAAAACAGGATTGTTGCTGCTTACATATCCTTTCTGTACTTCATTACTTCAAAAATGTAACTTTTTGTATCATTTTGTCCCAAACTGAAATGGGGATTTTTCTCTCCTGAAATGGCATCTCTTAGGACAGGCATGTCCAAAGTCTGTTTTGGGGGCCTAATCCGCCCCAGTGGCAGTTTATTTTCTGGGGTAAAATCCTAAAAAAAACCCTCAACTACTTCAATCCTAGAAAAAGGTCAACAACTTTGGTTGGCCCCCATGGCCCTATTTGAAAAAAGTTTGGACCCCACTGTCTTAGGAAGTGCACCCATAGGCATCTGCAGAAATTTTTGTGGGGAGGGGGCAGAGTAAATACACCAAACAAATGAATAAAATATGCAGAACTAGCATCAGATAACAGTTCTTCAGTGTCTGGGATGCTTCCCAATCTTCAAGTTGAAGGGCAGAGTACAAAATAAATTAATAATAATAATAAAATAATCACACCTATGATAAAATTATGAATACTTGATTTTTTTCCCTATAAGGCAGCAATCCGTTCACCTGGGAAAACAAGCATAAAGAATTTGAAAGCAAACCAAGAACTTTCTTCTCAAGAGTCTGGCAATGACTTCACTTTGTCTAATTGGTTAGATCCTAAATGTGAATCATTGCTCTGGCCTCATTCATTGGTGAAAAACACCAGTGGTGCCTGCAAGTTTTCTGGTTTCTCATACCACAAATGAGGATGGTGCCTGCAATGTTTTGCTTCATATGTCAGGTTCTACAGTTGCTAGACAATTACTTTTTATAAGAACGAAAGCTGTGAATCTAGGGATTGTGGTTTAGTGAGGCGCGGGGGGGGGGGGGAGAACAGCCTCTCTTGCCCTCATCCTACATTGGGAGTATACTCATAGAAATGAACATTGTGATTTAGACTTCCGAAATGCTTAATGATATGAAGAATGAGAGTGCTTAAGGGGAAGAGTGCTTTGAGTTGGAAATTTAACCAGGTACACATTTGAAATTTTCTTCTGAAATTTTAAGTATTTTTTTTTTGTAGACCTCTGAATACATCCAAATCTAAAGATGTAACTTTTGTTTTCTTTATGTAGGAAGCATGAATGGGAGAAACATGGGACTTGTGCTGCTATGCTGGAATCCCTTAATTCTGAGGAAAAGTACTTTAGTAAAGCTCTGGAGCTCTATAAAAGAATTGATCTTAACAGGTGGGGAAATGGATTTCTTTGGAGACCTCTGCAACATACAGGCATTCATCAGCAGCTATATTAACTACAGATAGTGCTCCACGAATGTTAGCAAGCTGCAGCTTTCCAACAGCCAGGACTTTCCATTGATACAGTATATGTCTATATCACTTTAAATGTTAATTATTTCTTTATGTGGGCCGGAACTTGAGTTGCCAGTAAAGTTCAGGGTTAGCAGAGAATATATTTAAAAAATCATAAGAACTCCAGTTCATTCTTATTGAAAGCATCTGTTCTGTAGGTCGCTGGCAAACAAGTAGCTACTGAACATAATGCATTTAGATATTGGGGATCAATATTTTGAGGAATACTGACAGCTATCAAAAATAACAAAGAAGCTTGTGGGAAGATAAGGAGAAAATTAAGTGCATGGAAAAGTAAAGTATAGATAGAATCTAAAGTGCTTTGGACAAGTTTCATGTGGGTTGCTAGCCACACCTCTAGGGTCTCATCATCACCCTACCCAAACTGAGGCTAGGGTGTCTTACCTCAGTACAAAGTGAGAATATTGGCCGACTATAACACAGTTGCATGTAGTGAATTTTTCCTGTTCAGTGCTATATGAAATATGTCTCTTTTTCAGTTATCTCTTGAAAGTTGGGATAACACCAGGCAGTACCAGCTACCAGGTATGGGGAGAAATTGTTTTGCATTGTTCTATGCCATTGTTTTGTTGTTGTTTTTCAATAGGTCTTTTGGTGAATTGTTTTAATTCTGTTTGTGTTTGGTACCTTTTTAATTATTAGCGTTCTATGGTTTTAGCTTTATCTATTTTATCTGTAAGCTATCTGGAGCCCCTGTCTGGGGAAAAAGCAGAGTATAAATAAATACAGAGTAGTACCTTAGTACTCAAATGGCCTGGCTCCTGAACAAATCGGCTCCCAAGCGCCGCAAACCCGGAAGTAAGTGTTCGAGTTTGCAAACCTTTTTCAGAAGCTGAACGTCCAATGCAGCTTTCGCTTGAGTGCAGGAAGCTCCTGCAGCCAATTGGAAGCCGCGCCTTGGTTTTCAACTTGGTCAAATGGACTCTCAGAACGGATTACGTTCAAGAACCAAGCTACCACTGTAATAATAGTCTTAGTAAACTGTTAAATATTACTGTTGCATCGTAAAACAAAATTTAAATATAATTCTTTATATTTCTTTTCCATAAAGTTTTTTGTGTAAATATTTGTTGAAGTGGTATTTTAACTCTTTCAACTCTTTCATGTTTTAATCCCTAGCTGGCAGCCATCAGAGATGCTCTTATAGATGCTTATGGTGTAACACCAAAGATTCAGTGTCTTCCTGGAGAAGAGGTATCTGTTTATTAATCTTTGTCAACCTTTCTCTTTTAGAAAGATTGTTTTTATTATTTGACATCTTGAAGTGGGGATTGCCCCCAACTTTTGAAAATAAAGATGTCTTACAGAATTGTATCCATAATGTTAACCTTTCAGCCCCCTCTATTCCTTGATGAAAATCTGTTAAACAATTTCTCAACATATGTTGGAGGGATGTCATCCTCAAATTTTGTTAAGATCCACATTAATATTCACAGAACTTGAAACCTTCCGAATCTAAAATGATACATTTTAGTTTATGTTTACTTATCTTTTAGTCATCTTGACACTATAACTTTTTAGTCTAATAACAAAAAATTACATTATAAAATCAATATTATTTAATATGAAAAAATGTAGTATACCTTTATCTCATTAAATGCAGCAATTAGCACATGGTTTATCAAGATTGTGGCTTCATTGCACCCAAATGCCACACAACTGATTAACCATTAAAATTTCTCTTTAGTGTTTAATATTTCTCTTTTTCTAGAAATGTCTATCATGGACTTTTAAAACAGAAGCTCCATTTTTGCTTTATTTTCCTACCAGGGTCATATACAGATAATCGGCCAGATGAAATTCTGTATCACCAAGGAGTTTACCCTGAGAAACTGTACAGAGCCAAAGACTGATCCCTCTCCTGCCCCTGAGGATCATTTCTACCATACGGAAGATTTGGAAATATGCAATGATACACTGACATATTATCCTTCACATCTGCATGAATGAAGCAGGAAGAAAGTGAAAGTACTTTTTGAAATACCATTGAGATTTAACAAAGCATATTACATTATTTAGAGAGAAAGCCATCTTTTTATCCCACAAAGATACTTACTGTAATACTTCATTTGAAATCCTACTTGCTTTGGAACATGTGCAAATGACAGTATTGGTACTAAAGCTATATAAATGGAGAAGATTCATTCTATGGAATAGCTATTCTTTCATTTGGGCAACTAAATTACCATTTTTATATTTTAAAAGGGGGCTTCATAAAGCTTAGCTTTTCTTTATTGAGTTGTAACTACTTGAAAGTGTTTTCACTAAAGCAAAATTCTGAATTAGTAGGTAATTCTATTAGGATTTTATGGAACAGCTTTCACACTGAGAGCCAGTGTGGTGTAATGGTTAAGAGCGATGGGCTCATAATCTGGGGAACTGGGTTCGCATCTCCGCTCCTCCACATGCAGCTGCTGGGTGACCTTGGGCTAGTCACACTTCTCTGAAGTCTCTCAGCCCCACTCACCTCACAGAGTGTTTGTTGTGGGGGAGGAAGGGAAAGGAGAATGTTAGCCGCTTTGAGACTCCTTCGGGTAGTGATAAAGCGGGATATCAAATCCAAACTCTTCTTCTCTTCTTCTTCTATATGTTTCAGAAAGGGCATGAAACATTCCACCCAGCCCCTCCCCCATTAAGCGGTTCTGCAGTTTGAATATTGTTGGCAACAATGAAGGTGCAATACTGATTGCTTCCTTTCAGAGAAAGTGAATCTACATAGCTGGTAGCTGGCCGAATAGCAAGCTGCTTCTGGTCTCTATGGCAAAAGCAGTAATGTATAGCTTATCTTACTCCAAAGCAATGCCATTGGCATCAGCAGAGTGACTGTAGAACAAGTATGTTGAAGCTTGAAATTACTACAGGCAGTGACCATTTTAGATGTGTCTGATATGTGTGCAAGCACACGCGCCTGCATCACGCTGAACCCAGAAGTGACCTGAAAACATCACAAAAAGGGGTGGGGCAGGGTCAGAACAAGGTGTTTCCAGGCTTTTCCAGTGATGTTTCAGATGTATGCGATTTCACGTAAGCGCATGGTGCATTGAAACACAACCCCCATGTAAATTGGGAGCTGCCTGTGTTCAAACAAATATGGCCAGTACTTTTTATAGAAATTTTGGCTTGGGCCTGCAGCAGTTTATCATCTCACATTCCATGAGGGTAATTTTTCCATTCCTCCCCCGCAAAAAAAAAAAGTCTCCAGAATTTCATCTGTGGATGTTAATTTTTAGCACTGAAATGAGTTCGACAGGATTCAGGATCCATTTCTCTGTATCAGTGATTACATCCAGCACTTTCAAACGCATGGGGCAAAAGTTTGTGCGTAAGTTGGAGCCTGTCACTTCAAGCACTCTTCTGGGAAATGTCACTTAAAAAATAATAATACTCGTGTTGAGAAATTATGTGTTACCTTGTCAGCTCTTTTTTTTTTTCATATCATGGTATCCTGGTCTGGTTCTGTGGGATGGTAATTGGGGGCACTGTGCCACAGTAGTTCAGATAGTAGCACTGGGAGAGTGCTTTTTGATCCTCTGGTGGTTACCTTATCAGGGCAGTATTTGGTCTCCAGTGCTATTTAATGTCTATATGAAGCCACTGGGAATGGTCATTAGGCGTTTTGGGGCAAGTTGCTATTAGTACACTGATGACATTTCGGCTGTGTTTCTCCATAACTTCTGAATTGAGGCAGGCCATGCGGGCCCTAGGCCAGTGCCTGAACACAGTAGTAGAATGGATGAGGTGGGTGGGAGCTGAGCTTGAATCCTGAAAAGATGGAGGCACTGTGGGTGAATGGTTCCTGTGTCCAAGAAATTGGGCAATTTCCTTCCCTGGACAGAGTTGCACTCCCCCTGATAGTTCATATGCAGTCGGGCGGGGTGGGGGGTGTAATTCTGAATCTAGCTTTGCGAGTGCAGGCACAAATAGCCCCAGTGGCTAGAATCACCTTTTAGGAGCTGTGCCTGGTGTAACATCTGCAACCGCTGGAAGAGCTTGACCACCATAGTTCAGGCAACACTGACTTCCGTATTGGATTAATGCTATGTATTCTGGGGAACATCCTTTGTGCTTGACCTGGCAGCTACTGTTACCGCAGAATGCTACAGCATGGTTACTGGCAGGAGTGAGAGATCTCTGCTCAAAATTTGCTGTGCACTGGTTGCTGAGTTGTTACTGAGCCAATTTCAAAGCTTTACTATTGACTTGGGACCTGTGGGGTCCTGGTTTACTTGCAGGATCGCCTTATCCATATGTACCCACTCTACCTCTTTGAATTGCGAACTGGCACTGCTACAATTGCCACATAATACTCATTCTACAATTGTAAGAAGTTTATCTTTTGATGTGGCAGTACTTGCACTCTTGGACTCCCTACCTGTTGACATCAGACAGGTGCCTTTGCTGTACACGTTCTGGTGCCTGCTTAAAGCATTTAGGCAACCTCCCCCCCCAAAAAAACACATAGATGTTGATGTGCCTTAATCTTTTACTGTCAATTTCAATTATCTTTTAAAAGTTTTTGATTGCTTTTATTAATAATTCTAATATTTCTTGTAAACCACTGAGTTTTTATTATAATCAAGCAGTATATAATTTTTTGATAGAGTTTGTAAGCAAGTAATCAGTGCCTTAAATGAGACCTTTCACAGAAACATGGATTTCTGATTTGTCTGATTAGTGACTAGTACCAATAAAACTCCAATCTACAAATTACTTACTGTTTTTCTTCAATAAAATTGTTCAATGCTATTTTTTTCCTCTTTAAGTTTATTAGCTTGTATGCTGTTAAATTAAAAAAAATTGATGAACTATTGCAAGCTGTTCATTTGAAGGAGCTTGACCACCTTTTTGCAGATGGTCTTTTTCCTCTTATGACCTTTAATACTGTTATAATAATAGTACCACATCCCCATAGACTGTTTCTTCTCTAAAGATAGAGGATACCCTCGATAATTTATTAATTTGTTTAAAAGTATTTCTAAACTGCTGAATATTTTTAAAGAAACTAAGTGGTGTGCAAACAACGCAAATCAACATAAAAACCTAAAACAGGATCCAGTCTTAGAGCAGGGAAAGTCTGCACTAAAAATAAAGAAAAAATAATACATTGTTACAGGACATCTGAAGCAAATAATTGATGTAATTCTCATAAATCAGTGAAGTGGACTTTAAGTAGGTGCGGAATCACTGTAAAACAGTGTCACTGACTCATAGGAAGATATCGCCAATAGTATAGAAAACATCTGAGAGTGGGAAGTTTGTATTTCCTTATCCCCACCCCCACCCCCAAAAAAATAAGGTCATCCATAAGGGTGACCAGAACAAATTCTGTCGCCAAATGGATGAACCCAAGCTGAAATGCGTCAACTTAATCCGTTTTCTCCAAGAGTGTCTGCAGCTGAAATACTGCTACCTTCTCAAGCATCTTGCTCAGAAAAGGCATTTGTGACTGAACTGATTGTTAGGTATCTCATGCTCAAATAATGACTTTTTTTAGGAGCAGTCACACTTCTGCTTTCCTCAGGGTGTCATGCACCATCTCATGTAAATATACATTACTACTGGTCTCACATTGGGTAGCTCAAATAAGCCATGCTGGGCAAGGGTTGAGAAAGTATGCTTTGGCCTGAACCATGACAACAACCTCGTCCAAGTCCTCAAGCCTCATTAACTGAAGCTGATCTCACCAAATCATGCAGTATGTTGCAGCAGACATCTCAAGTGGCTTTGTAGTAACGGCAGCATTCAACTCAGCATGGAGAGCTAGCAATAGTTCCTCATCGAAGCACCTGACAAACTTGTCACAGCAGACCCTCAACATTTCCAACACTCCATTCCTCCTGGCATGTAGAATAGTCTTTGCGGCCTTGATGGCCACACATCGGGTGTGACTTTACTCTTAACATGTGTCCAGTTGCCTAATACAACTTATGTTCTAGCTGCCATCCAATCTGCATTGTGGCTTGAACCTCCCTGGCTTTAGGCTCAGGAGCATTCTGGCTTCATCACAAATCTCATGACAATACAAATGAATGTATTAATTACATATTAATATAAAAAGCCAAAATCAGTTTTTAAAGCTCTGGACATTTAAAACGCCTATATTTTCCTGCTCTTCTAAGCAGAGCCGTAGCTAGGTGCATCCAGATTGTGCCCCTAGCCATGGACAAATTAGCTGTTCTTTCTGCCTCTCCTCCACCCCACCCCCATTCAATTTACCCTCTATTTAAAACCATTTCTTATGAGGCAATAATCAATATATTTATGGACTTATATATTTTGCTGATTTTGCGCTCCCCCCCATTGCCTGTGCCCCTCGCGGGGGCCACCTCACCACCCCCTAGCCACAGCCCTGCTTCTAAGGACCTCAGAGTCATACATATGTTATTGATGTCTGTTTTATAATCCTGTCGTGAGGAAGATTATGGTGAGAGATTAAACCCTGGGCTAGTCTGCTTAAATCTCTTACAGGTTCACAAATCAATAAGGGAATATTAGCTGTTCATTTTATGTGTGCCTATCACTGTAATAATAATCTGCTGTCACTCAGAAGACAAAATAATGACTAAGTCTTAACCTTGCAAGAGATACGGTAACCTGTTGTGGTTATTTGTTAGCAGAAAATTGCCTGCACTTAAATTGTCACTGTAGAAATTAGGTTTCGCTAGATTGTTAATAATCTTTAGCTCCCTTGCTGTTAAATGCCTGTCTCTTGGAGAGTGTTGAAAGAGTACTTCTAATGCACTTCTGCAAAAATTCAATAAAATTCAATTTTTTAAGGAAAAAATCATTTTCTTCTTCATTAAATGTTTAGGTGCATCGCTATTGAAATAAGGTGAGATATTACCATAATATGTGGTTTAAGAAACTTCCTAATGGAAGAGTCTGTCTCTAAAATACAGTTTTAATTGAACTGAAGCACCATGAACGGCAATGATGGAAACATGTTAATAACACTAGATATATTTAATATATGTATTTCTTCTCTGTTTTGAACTGTAAAACTCTTGTATAAGAAGCCTCCTAAATTAAATGCAGCCTGGTTTAGCTGCAAAGAACAGTTTGTTTCTGGAGTACTGAAAGACACACAAAGCTCTCAAGATGTTTTGGACAATATCATTATTCTGATTCTGGTACTCTACAAGCAGAAAATATGAGACAGCCAAACGCAGAGGTGCAAGATGAGTAAAGGTACGTATATAGTTAAGACTTCTTATGCTAGTGATGGGCAACCAGTGGCCATTGGACTACAACTCCCATCATCCCTGACCATTGGCTATGCTGGCTGAGGCTAATGGGAGCTGGAGTGCAACAACATCTGGAGGGTGCCATGCTGGTGGCAGCTTCTGTAATTGTCCAGCTGCGTCAAGACAACAGAATAAGATGGTATAACATTTTCTTACTCCTGAGGAAGATTAGAATTAAAATTTATTGGACATTTCACATGCTTAAAGAAAATGCCTTTTAATGATGATATATTCAGGTTTTTATATAGGAACAAAATTGTAGAGAGAACTATCGCCAAAATACTGCTGCAAATCATTCCACAAGTGGAGCGAGTTAAAGTAGTGTGCTAGGAAAAAGGAGATCACCTACCTGTGGAGTACAATAACAAAACAAAAACCCTTGGAGTGTGTATAATATTCTGTAAGCAGATACAGTCAAACCTTGGTGCCTAAATAACTCTGTTATTTTGGGCAGGGGGTCTTTGGTGTGACTTGTGTTCAACCCCCCAGGAGAGCAATAAATAAATAAATCTCCCTTTCTTAGGTACTTAGGCGACAGAGAGAGGAAATTATGATACACATTCTAAATGTATGTTGCAAAGAGCTGTTAACCTCCTTTTTCCAGGTTCTTCATTTTTCTCTGTCGTAATTTGTTCTTTGAAGCAGTTTTCTGTGCTGGATCAGAGGATGCTGAGCTTGGCACCTACAATGCTTTCAGAGACGCTTTTCCTTGTAACAATTGGAAAATGCCAAAAATTCTCATGTTGCTTTCTTCTTTTGATCATTGACCTCATAACACACTCATCTGCTATGTTCCTGCTTGCTTTTCCTTGATGAAATTGTAATGTGTGATTTTTTAAAAAAAAAAGTTTAAGCATATTTTAATTAGTCACATTATTGCACAGCAGTTCTCTTGCCACATGTGGGAGTGAAGGTATTATCTTTTAAACACAATTATTTCAAAATTGCACATGCAACCACTCTCTCTGAATGCAAACCTTTGGTGATGTGCTTTTAAAGTGTGTTTTGGGGTGAGAGAGAAAACCACACATTTGCCTTTTAGGTTAGAAGCCCCTCTGTTCTAAACGTAATATTTGACAATAAATTGAGTGGGCACATATTCTCTTGATTATTCTGTTAATAATTCAAGGGTATTCATTGGCGCCCGCAGAGGGGAAGGGGGAGAGAAAAATTCTAAATGCATTTATGCATTTATTTTAATGTTCAAACACACACACACCTCCAGCTAGTCAACAAGAAGTTTAGAGTGATCTCTGAGATCACTCCTATTGACAATGGCTGCCACACTCAAACTCCCTGCATTTTCCTGGAGGGAGTGCCTTTCTGGGCCAGCAGACAGCTCAGATAAATTTTTTGCTTGTGATCACAAGTGAATATTATTCAATGATAGAGCCAGTCACAAGAGTTCTGCAGTCTGTGAAACTACATAGATGCAATGGAACTTAAGGTCATATACAAGAGTTGCTAGGAATAATGGAACAGCACAGGGAAACCAGACCTTTAGCCTAAGAACAGAGAAGTGCAAGAAATTGGCAGAGGAAGTAGGTGTGGAGCATAAAATGCCTAGACAAACCAAACAACAGCAAAAAACAAAAACACGCCAATCATCCCAACCAATCCACAAATGAGTTCAATCGGTGGTCCATCTACATTCCCTACCCTATGATACAGCAACATCATATTGTGAGTTTCCTCACTTCTGTTCCTGTGGCAGCTGGTCACAGCACAATGGTGCCTCGTTGCAAGGTGGACATACTACAATATATCATTCAATCTTTCATTGGCTGAGTCTCTCATGGGTTGCTATATGAAGACCTTGAGGGAATTATTGTATCCAGAACTTTTATCCAGGCACATTTTCCCTAGAGGTAGCAGCATTGTCCCTCAAAACACTGCTGTGATGGGAGAAGCTGGGGGTCAGAATCCAACAACATCTGGAAGGCCACAGGCTCTATCACTGCTAGAGCCCAATGCTGGACTAGCAGTAAAACACTGGGGAAGAAATGGAGACGAAGGGAAATTGTTCAGTGATCTGGATCATTTGTATCTGTAACATTCCTCTAACAGAGCTTGATTATATAACAGTGCAGTTAATACAGTTGATTTCAGTAGCAATTGATGGAACATCCTTGTGAGCAACTGGGGAGGGTAATCGTAATTATTTTTTGTTATTTGTAGGGAGGGTAGGGGAATTCTGTTTCATGCTTTCTGACTTCTGAGCAAAACATTTATTACACTTTTTGTTTATATAGAAATGGAGCTCTGAAATATCGAAACAAGCTGAGATGTGGACCTGATTTGCTTCCTCTTCTCTAATATTTAGATATTCTTCACTGTAAGAAGCCCTGACAAATGTCATTCTTAAAGCTACATATATAGAGGCATATTCAGAAACACTAGCACATTAAATAAGATTCCCTTCATTTTCTCCGGCTTTGCAGTGAGCCTCAGTGATCTCTCTGGATCTTTTGAAGGCTCCTAGGTAAAGGTAAAGGTACTCCTGCCCGTACGGGTCAGTCATGTCCGACTAGGGTTGCGTGCTCATCTCGCTCTAGAGGCCGTGAGCCGTCGCCGTCCGAAGACACTTCCAGGTCACGTGGCCACCGTTTACCTTCCCGCTTATAGAGCGGTACCTATTTATCTACTTGCACTTAAGAGTGCTTTCGAACTGCTAGGTGGGCAGGCGCTGGGACCGAATGACAGGAGCTCACCCCACTGCAGGGATTTGAACCGCCGACCATACGATCGGCAAGTCCTAGGCACTGAGGTTTTACCCACAGCGCCACCCGCGTAAGAAAACAAGTCTTTTCACTAATCTGAAGCTGTTTACACATTACTGCTTACTCTGCATCCAGTGCGCTCCTACTTCTTAAGATACATACACATAATGTTAGCCACAATCCATTTTGATTCAGTATCTTGAAAAATATGGCTGTTTGATGCACTTTCCCCCCTTAAACTAGCTTCAATCCAAGTAGAAAACTTGAGCCACATTCACTTAGTACTTGAACCAAGTGTGTACATTTGAGACAGTTGCTATGCATGCACAGATGAATGCACATTCAACAATGACAGCTTTGGGAATAGGTGTTCTGGGGGGCTTGGGGAAACCAAACAGGTCATGTGCATTGGGGGAAGACATTCCTGTCCCCATACTGATGTGTACAATGCCATGCCAATGCAATTTGAAATGCAGTGGAGGAGAGGGCAACCTCGCTGCATTTTAAGCTCCAATGCATACATAGTCTGAGTCTAGCTGAGTGCAGGTCTTCTATGAAAACTGATGTGAAAGCTGTTGAAGACAACTCAGCTGAAAAACATCCAACAAGTAGACATTTAAAACAATGATTACAACTTAATTAAAAAACAGAAATGTAGGTTCTTACTCAGAAATGTTTTGCTTACTAAATTATAGCATGGTGTTCTGTGATTCAGATGACTGTACAGTTAGCGTTACAATGGGGACAATTTTACCTGTTTCTCTGTAGTTTTTTCATATTTAAGTAAAATGTTTCATCTGTTTTCTTGGACTTCCAGGACAGCATAATTCTAATAGTTTGAAAAATAAAAATCAGGACATTCTGTTCCTGGGTGCATTTATGTTTTGGATGCTTTTGTGTGAAAATAGCTGTGATCAACATTACTGTTATATAACAGGATTTGATACATCTGAATATCACATTTCATTTAATCTGAGGAGGGGGGAATTACATTTTATAGCTATTGGGTATGAGAGTGACTGTTTTATAAGTGGGCTATAGATTAAGATATTAGCATACAATCCAAACTTATGGATGTGCATTACCTGATTTATTTCCCCACACCAAACTCCAATTCACTGAAGCTGTTATTTGCACATGTACAATGGCTGCCTGAAATGTACACACTGGCCACTGTTTTCTAATTGGATGGTAGCTGGATTGAGGGAGAGCACATCAAACAGGAGTATTTTCCAAGAAGCTACAGGATACAGATGGATTGTGGCGAACGTCATGAGTATTTGGCTGCAAACAGCAGTGGTGGGAGCCTGCTTGAGCCACAGCAAATGGTGATGTGTACACAGCCTAAGTGCCAGAGGTCAGTAAGGTCAAATAGAATGATCCAAACAGGCTAGTGACCAGGTTCTGGAGCAGGCAGGCAAAGATACAAAGGGCCAGAAGCAGATGATGTGATCTAATACGGGGTGCTGGTGTTTAAGTAGTGGAGGGAACAGACAAGGGTGAGGTGAGGATCTGTTAGCACTTTCTTGCTCAGGAAAAGACATAATAAGGTTAGCAAGACCTCTGTTGGCTTCTGAAATCACCCAACTCCTTCTGGGCTGACTTTCCTTCTCTCCGTTACTGGTAGGGAATAGTGGTGCAGCAAAGCTCAGGTCTTCCTGTTTATCCTTCCCCAAGCTGTCAATAGTGATGCAGAGAGTAATGCACCCTGCTGCCAGATTCCCTAGTTTAAGCCTGCTGGCACATTTCAGTACATTTAGGGTTTCCAACTGGCTAGTTTTTAGCTACTTCAGCCTTTTCTTTTTAGCCAGTTG